TCTGTAAGTCCGATGAATACCGCCACTCTGGCTGCCAACGCCAATAGCAAGCGCAATACCTTGACAATATACTGTTATTGTGTTAGCTGTGTGTGATTCACACGGGCCGGGGTGTACTGGTATTGACGTGTTGCAACGAGCATTTGACAAATTGTCAATTGATATTTGTCTAATGTTTCCGCATTATTCAAAAGTGTCCAAGACAAACATTCGATGATGGACATTGAATACCAGGTAGCATGGTACATGGATTAATATGGCTGCAGCTGCTACGAGCAAAGTAAAAAAGCAATTGTGCGTCAGTATTCAGGAAGAAAAGGCAAAGAATTTGCATTTTGCTCAAACCTGTCTGAAATTTCCAGCGCATAACTTTGTTGCTTGACACTTTTCGACACGAAGAAGAGTGAATGGCATGTGTAGAGTGCTTTTGAATTTTTGGATTTTGAACATTTCAACAACTTAAATCCATTACTCACCCGCTCGTAGCAACACATTCAATAGCCTCTTCTTTTTATTCTTCTATTATAGCCGAGCGAGCCGAGTCTTCATCTTTTCTGCTTCCAAAGGCGTGTACTGCATAGGAAACTTTCAAAGCTAGAGTATTCATAACCATCCGGACCACACAACTTAGCCAACAAGTTTGCTGAGTTATGTAAGTCAATCTCGTTTCATAGGCTCAAGAATTCCCCGCTCCCAATGCGCAAAGCCCCATAATTCTTACACAAGTCCTTCCTCTCGAAAACTCCCAACGTCGACTTATCAGATATTGTCATCGTCCACACATCCGGATTATAGACAGGAATGGTGAGGGACTTTTAGAGTCTTCATTCGTCGAGAAAGAGCTTTACTTTTCAGTTATCTACTCAGTCCACTGTTGACGAGAGTGATATGCGTTAGATTTCAAGACTACATTGTAGTTGATGCTTATACTAAATAATTCAAATAACCGAAGTTATCTACGACTTCAAAGTAATGACTGTCAACAGTGAAGTGGGAACCGAGTTGCGAATGCCATGGCATTTTGTTTGATGTTACTTCGTAGTGCCCTCGTTCAGGCCAATAATGTCATTATCATCGGCGCATGCCATCAGCTGCACTCTTATAGAATATGTACCTTCTCCTTCGATATGAAACTATTACTAATTGAAACTGTTATTGATTTCAAAAATTACTATACAAGCCTCTAAAAATTTTTAGTCAAAATATTACATTGTTTTAGATATTAAAAGCTGCAAATTTATTTTAAAATTTTCAGCAACCCACAAAATTTAACCAACTTCGTTTTAAGCGTATGATTTCGCTATTGTCGTAAACTTCGAACAGACAGTCCGAACAATGTATTAATCGGTCCTAACGGCTAAGAGCGTTTGATTAGATTTCAAAAATTTTAATTAATTAACAAATGTGCTCAAATTGTACTGCAATTTTTATTTAATAAAATTCTTCATCGTCAGAATTTTCATCCACATACCTTAATTATTTTTTTTAATGAATTTTCAAGGTGCTAAAACAAGTTTTAATACAAAAAACTTTAATTCACAGTTTGTTTAATATTAAAAATTAAAGTTTAACTTGTAATTGTGATTTATTGAATGTGCTAATTATTGAACAGTGGCATATTTTCTACCATTTTAGTTCATTAAATATATTTATACGTCATCATGATGCAGCGTTGTTGTTTTTTTTTTTTGTGACGCACATTAACCCAATTAAAAATTGTCATGCCAATCCACAATCAAACTTTTTTTTACTTATTTTATAGTTGTATGTACATATGTATGTGCACGTGTCATACTTCTACCGATGCAATGTTGGAAATGTGAAAATTGTTTCTTTTTTCCTTTTGCCATACCAACCTGGTGACATTTTGTTTCATTTCTTGCACTTTCTCTGCGAGCAAAATGTCTTTACCTACGGCTTTACATGTATACATATTGATATACGAGCATACTATAGGTGTGGATGGTGGAAATAATCATTGTCATTGTGGTATAAGTATTGAATGCACTTTGTAATTCTACTTTTGATTTTGAACATTTTCACTTAATAAAAAATTAAGTAATGCGAGTGACACTAACCTATAAAAATCGTTCGCACGCAATTAGTACATATGTATATGTAGGTTCTTACATCTAATTTGTACATATGTATACATTCTCTTTCCTTAACCTTTAACAAATACCAAATATATTTTATAAATACGCACATCTACTTCTTCCTTACTGGTGTAGACATCGCTTATGCAGTTATAGCCGAATTAAAGTTCGTTCCTCCTTTTTGCTGTTTGGCACCAATGTGAAATAAAAAGCACAGCCAGGTCCTTCTCCACCTGATCCTTCAAATGGGGTGGAGATCTTCCCCTTCTTCTGCTCCCATTGGCGGATATTGCATCGAAAACTTTAAATTACATGCTGAGTCCAAAGTAGCATCCGTTGTCAAGAGTGATTCTGCATTACATTTCCAGTCTAAAATTATTGTTCGTGTTAATACTGGTTCCAAGATAGACGAAGTTATATCCACGACTTCAAAATTTGTACACTCAACAGTGACAAGGAAGCCGAGTCGCGAATGCAAAGACTGTTTGTTTAATGGCAGGATGTATTTTGTATTGTCCTCGTTCACTATCAGCCCCACAAGCTTTGCTTCCTCATCCAGCCTGATGAAAGCAGAACACCCGGCGCGGTTCTTGGCGCCAATAATGTCATCGCCATACGTCAGCAGCTGTATACTCTTATTAAAGGTTCTGTTTTCTATACACAAGTCTGCAGCTTGTACGCTTTTCTCCAGCATTAAATTGATTAGATCATGATGAAGCTTTTGATTTTTGCTTAACATCAGTTTACACAACCGCATAAGTTTTGCGCGAGTACCAAATGCAGTCATAGCGGTATAGAGACATCGGTGCCTTTCGTGCTGTAAAACCCTGCTTCAAAATCGACGAGGATGTGATGTGTGTCGATTCTCTTTTCATACGTTTCTTCCAAGATTCCAGGTTTGAGTAGAAAAAGTTATAGAAAATAAATTTAAATAAAAAGCTAATTTTTCTAATTCGCCACATGACATAAAAAAGAGCTTCACAAAAATCCAAATATATATCCAAATATACATATATTTATATATAATATATATATACGATACATATATCCTTCTGCGGTCTACGGTCTTATACGTGCGTGAATAGGCTTAATTCTGAAGTGGGTAATATGGTTGAACACTTTGGTGTATGATTCGTATGTTTTCTAATCATCGAATCCCTTTTAGGTATCGGGATTGACCTAATTGCAAATTAATCTTATGCAACGGCTTTTAGAAAGAATTCGAAATAGATCTACGTGTAAAAGATTAATATTAATACAGGACTTACCTATCGCAACAAAATATTAAAAGCACCAACCAATCAGCTAGTTGTTAATAGACGGGACTTTGTATAATTAAGCGAATCCAACGTAAGTATGTATGATGGTACATACGCACATTCGCGATATGATAATAAAAATGAAAATGGCTGTAGAAACAAGTAAAACCAGCAAGGAAACAAGTGTTGCAATAACAACAAAAACAAAAAACAACAATAAACACTAAGTTGATGTCACAATTTCACTTTCCTTTGTAGCAGACGCAATGCAATATTTATCGGGATTTTGTAAGCCAAATGAATACTTATATATATGTACATATATATATTATTAGTGCTTTGTAATCGCTATAGCGATTTTCGCCGAAGACTTATAAATAAATAATAAATAATAAATAATAAATAATAAATAATAAATAATAAATAATAAATAATAAATAATAAATAATAAATAATAAAATAATCAACGAGTTAATTCTAATTTTTAACGGTCAATGCAGTTGAGCATATTGAGAATACGTATTGCATAAGTTAATACTGAATACAAATAGCCATCAATAAGAGTTTCGCCAAATGTGTTCGAAGCTCAGCGATTAGACGGTGATTCTGGTAAGCAGTCAAAGTTTCATTGATTCTCGAAATTTCTTTGTCTTTCATCTCTTCCGGAGTTAACACAAAAATATTGTAGAATAGCGGTAGGAAGAACGAAATAATAAATATTCCTGTAGGACACGTTTAGAAATAATAACATTTTTGTATGTTTAATGTGATCATTAAATTGTTCAAAATATATTCTTAAATGCATATCGTAATTATCTCGCATCTTCGAACTGCACATCATATATTCTGAGTACGATAAATCGATAATAGGCGGTGCTTAAACACTAAGCTGAAAATCAACCTGAAAAAATGTATAGACTACGAAGAAACTGAAATAAACATAATAAAATCTTGCACCTGAGAATTTTCATCAAGAAAAGTAACTCATATTTTACACCATTCTTATATACGGAGAACAATTCATGAGACTTTTTCAAAATGTCACTTTCTATTGCGGTGATAATGTAAGTTGAGATGAAGAAAAAAGTGCAAAAAAGCGAATATTGAGAAGCTTGCGAGAAAAAATTACGCTTTTAATTTGGAGGGAGGCAGAGGATGTTTAGAAGTAGGGAAGATGATTGTTAATAATACCCTTAAATGTATTCATAGAGAGTTTTGGCTCTTAATGGACTTCGAGGGTGAACTCCATAGAAAAAAATTAGTTGTAGTGCTGGGTGACCATTCCTCTTTACACACACTGAATTTATTGGGTGGAGCTAACTTTGCTAACAAGATACAACTTGAACTACGCAGCACCGATTTAGACGTCGAGGACTAGCGAGACGCAGATGAAGACGCTGATGAAAACGCTGCAAGCTTGCCATAACATCTCCCTTAGAACCAATATAGTTATGGATCCATGCTAATGTTTTTTCCTAATGGTTGTGAATTTCCACAAGTTGATTTTTCAATAACAACTCCGATCAGCTGAATTTATAAGTCTATCTTGTGTGAATATGTTATTATTTTTCTATTAAATATGCAGTTGGATTAAAATTGATCGATTAATCGAACTTCGCAACAGATATCACAATGCAGAGAACTTATAATAGTTTCCACGCTGGTCCGCAATTGAACCTTCTCTATGTTATAAGTTCTCTGCACAATGTTAAATGCTGTCAGATTTGTATTCTATTATTATTGTTTATACTTGCCAATCCCAAAAATATCTGTTTTAAAAGTTGGAAAGCTAAAGAAGAAATGGCCACGGACTGGAAATGTGTTCCTCGCACTTATGAAGTGACAAAAAACCACTTACAAAGCAGCAGGAGCTACGAACATCCCTTAAAGGTTCATGCTGTGACGGTTGTAGAAAGTAAAGGCACAAATCAATGTTTCAAAGATAATCAAAGCAGTTTCAGCAGCACTAATAGTTCAAGGGCTTCGTCAAGCGTTTCTTTACTAGCTGAACCGCTTAGTTCAGCGTTCGATGGAACAGATCCGTTGTCACAATTTGCACGGCAAGAACATGAATTGAAAGACCCTTTATCTCAGATGGCAACCGAATATGTAAGTTTTTTCACTTTTGTTTAAAAAATTTAAAGTTAATACATTTATCAAAATATAGTATGTTTTGTATTATTAGCAAAAGAAAAAGAGTCGAGAAAAAATCGTTGTAAATGAAGATGACTTGAATTGGAGTTCTAAGCGTCTGGCTATTTTAAATCGCTTTACAACTTCTGAAAAATTGTCCATTTCAACAAGCTTCCTTTCAACAGGGAGCTCAGGAGGAGATGCGAGTAAGATCAAGCAATATGTGTGATTAAGTATTTACCCATGCATGTATATTTAAAATTAAAGTAAAAGCTCAAACTGTGGTAGCAGATAAGATAAAATTTCGTTTGGAACAACTGGATAACTTTGAGGATGGCACTATGCGTCACATGATTGATCTAACACAACAGGAATATATACAACGTATAGAACAACTCAACCAAGAGCTTGTGTTGTCTTGGAATGACGACCAACGCGTAAAATCTTTAAAAATTGCCATACAATGTTCTAAAATGCTCTCAGACACTTCCGTACTTAGCTTTTATCCCAGCCAATTTGTTCTGATAACTGATATACTTGATATGTTTGGTAAATTGGTATATGAGCGACTAAACATAAAAGCAAGTAATACCACTGGGGATGGAAGGTATGTTAATTGGCACAATTCTATTTTGTCGCTTATTAAAAATTTTTGCGTCATAGATTTTCGGATAAAGCTGAGATGTTGCACGAAAATGCGCGAGAAACTTGCCAGAATTGGTTTTTTAAAATAGCATCTATCCGAGAGTTGCTGCCCCGTTTATATGTGGAAATGGCTATTTTTAGATGTTACGAGTTCATCACACCTAAGTAATAATATTTAGTTAATTAATGGTATTTATATGATAGGGTGGGCTATCAGGCGACGGAAGTTTTTTGAAACAAGCTTTCAAATTTTGAATTTTCATTGCTAAAAGTTATTAAATATTTTTTTTATTTATTCAAAAAAGAGAATGCTTTCTTCAGAAGAAATCTATAAAATATAAATTGATCCACCTTGAGGCACACATAAATTATTTTATACATTTTATGTAGCGAATTTTATAAACACTTGCTCCGCATTACTCAAATGATCCGCGGTATTGGTGATCCTTTAGTGCAAACTTATGCACGATGCTATTTGGTCCGAATCAGTTTATCTGTAACTAATAATAAGGAATGCGTTAGGGAAAATTTTAAGGACTTTTCAAAGATCTACCACACGGTTAGTAAACGATTCTAAAGCAATAAAAAATATATAACATATACATATATACTATATGTCTTAATATCAAATTATATAGATTTTTAACGGCGCTGTTCGTTCTGAGCTGAATCGACAACGACTTAATATTGAAGCATATTTGGCACTGTATGGCCCAGCTATAGATTTCTTGCTATCAGCACTTGTGCACAAATGCAAACTTTATACAGAGGAAATAATGAATGAATGCAAGGAAATAAAAAATAAGTGAGAAATATTAATGCAACAAACGATCATTGCAAAATCGTAAACGAAACTTTTTTTTTACAGCGCACCACTATTGATTTCCATATTGAATACTTTCCAGTCGGAATTTATTGCTACAAACGCCTTAGAAATTATCAAGTTACTTGCAAACTCTAACACAGAAGGCATTTCAAAAGGACATTTATTCCGCGCGCTTGGCAAGAATTTAGGAATTTGCCCTCCACTGCCCGAACAGAGATTGGCAGTTTTAAATGCTGCTTTTAACACCATAGATACGTTCACCGATCCAACCGAGTACATAAATTGTGTAGAAGCTTGGGCACATTTCATTACAGAAAACTTTCCTGTAAGTATGAAATATAAAAAAGTTAAGAACTTAGCCACTAATGTTATACATCCCTATAACATTTTTTGTATCTCTGCATATTTTAATTTTTCGGAATGAATACTCTAAATTAAATGTTTAATTATTTATTAACGGTTTTTCAATCTACTCCGATAGATAACTGTGATCAACGATTTACTAGGAACAATTTCACTACGTATGAGCGCAAATCGAGTGTATGAGAAACATTACAGCCAGTTACAAACTATTTTAGACAAAATTTTACAATTCTTCAAAAATATAGAGTTACTACTAGTCCAAGAAAATTTTTTACCATTCTTGGATTTGTTTCAGAAAGATTCAATAAAACTTATTGTTTGTAAAAATATTTTGACAATGTTTCAGCTCAAGTGCGAAAATAATATCTCTGATGAAATTGTAATCAATGCGCTTATGTTTATTGGAAAGATTCTTAACGATTCTGTGAGGTGAGAACGCGAGCTGTACTTAATATTCAAACACATTTTCAATTATATAACTCGTTTTTACTCTATAATAGTGCTTTAACAGTAGAAGATGAGCGCCGTCAAATCGCAAGCTTGATAAGCAGTTTCATTCGTAAAGTATCTTTTCCACGAGATTTTGAGAGAGAACTAAGCTTTTATGTCTTGGCACGGGGTGCCTTTACCAATTTAGATGCTGTCTATATAACGTTAATTAATGCCGTCAATAAGTTGGTCATTGAAACACGGCGTATAGTTAATGGACAACATACTAACAAAACGAGGGCATTTGTAAAAGCGTGTATAGCTTTTTGTTTCATTACCATTCCTAGTATTTCATCGGTTCAAGCTCAAATGGACCTATATTTACTTTCCGGTCAAGTGGCACTTTTGAATCTCTGCTTAGGACAGGGTAAGTAGTCACTGCTATATTTTCTTAAAAAATTCAAATAATTTCCATTTTTGTATATATTATTAGCGGATGCTTGCTTTGAAGCGGCACTTCAATTAATTGGTGATTTACCCCGATCTGTCGAAATGGAAGGGAAACCCCGAAGTCTTGGAACGTATTTAGTATCTTATCTGTGCAATATGTTGGCCACATTGGTTATTGTGCCTGTTCGTAAAAATATGAATTGAATTAATTCTAATACCCGGTTGTTTGTTATGGATACATGCACATAACGGTCGCCTTTCTTGACATATTTTCGTTATTTTATCCTTACTACCGAAACAACCGGGTATCTATTGTTCAGTTCCAGAATTTATATTTCTTTATGTGCTATTAAAGATTAGAATTTCATTTTCTCTATTAGGATAGCCCAGATCAGGGAGTATTGTACCTTCTGCGTCTATTATTAGCTGCTGTAACGAAATTTCCTTTTGATGTTAATAGCTCAGGACCGACAACCGTGTATTTGCATGCTCTAGACATGTTATACGTGCAAAGTTTAGAGGAATTCCCTTATCATATACCTGGCGGTTAGATCATCCAAAAAAAAAATCTTAGTATTTATTTTAATTCTTGAACTAATTCTTTTACAGTAGTCTCAAACGATGAACTTTATGGACACGACCCGAAATTCATTGCTGAAGTCAATAATATATGCGTTCAAGTCATTGATGAGATTTTATTACAACTCAAAATACTGGGTAGCGAACATCAACAACGAACACAGGCCAGCTTAGCATTAGAACTATTTTTACGTATCATACGCTATGCAGACCTTAGCCAGGAAAAAACTTATAATCTCGCTCTTAATCTTTGGGCTCTTGCTTTAAAGACGGAGGACTATATCGACGTTAAGTTAATGGTAATGTTCCTTAATATTGTGTTCACTTCTGTTTGACAAAATTCTAATATAACGAGTTTCAGGAACGTACTGTGAAATCCGTTGAGTATATCTTCGAGCAAATCAAATACACAAATACGCAGCATGTTCAAGCACTAGGGCAATTATTGATCCGTGTTAGCAAAAAGTAATTACTACATTTTTATATTCAGCATTTAAAGTAGGTATGGCAAAGAAACTAACACTAATGTATTTCACATATAATATGTATACTCTTAGATGCATAAGTTGTAATTTATCATCGTCTCATAATTAGTACATACATGTAAGATATGTATTATTAATTCTATTTGCCTACACGTATATACTTCCAAAATATATTTTAATAATAAATTAACAAGATTCGCTTATAAACAATATAATTATACAAATCGAAATATAAAAAAGGAAATGAAATATTTATAAAAATTTTTTAAGTAATAGTTAACTCCTTAGAAACCGTTGCTGCTTAAAAATAATCAAAGGGCTCCTCTCGCCGCTGTTGTTTCATATTTTCCATTTCGAAGCTCCTTTCACCAGCAAAACTTAACTATTATCTTAATTTTAGTAAAATATGTACGAGTATGCTTACCTTAATCGAACCGCAATCGCTAAGAATTTTCTTATGTTTCCGAAGAATAAACTATTTTCTATTTAATTTTTAGTTTGACAATTTGAATGAAAATATTATAACTATGTGGGTGAAATAGCAATAAGTTATGAATGTGTTTGTAAATTTTTGGAGTTTAAGGGGAAAATGGGTAGCCTTGGCTGGCAGGATGCATACATACATATGTAATTTTCAGGAAAGTGATGAGGCTAAAGGAATTTACATAGTTATTATCTAGATCAGATATCTGATTATCTGATATGTTGGCATCTTCTCATCCCTGCTCCCTTGAGCGATATGCGATTGGCGTCTGCCCAGCGTTAGATGCCTCTTTAGGTATTGGGTAAATACCATTTTTGCAATGAGCCTAGTGCTCGCTTTGAATATATTCGACATTCTACCCCACAATCTTCCAACAGACACATATTTGATGCTACAGTGTCAACCAATACAAAATATGTCGGCTACCCCGAGCTACTACTTTGTATGAATTTACCTTGATATAGGTCTGCAACGTTTTTTGGAAAAATTTGAGTTTTAGCTTTGTTCATTAAGCTTTCGATAAAAATTTGCTGCTGTGTTTAGTTTGGTTTAGATTTAGGACAATTCAAATTTTTTCTCAACGAATCAAAGTTGCACGAAGCGACAGATGTATCACTTGTTAACACAGCAAAAGTATATTTCTCGCGTTGAATATAGAATTTTGTTGGCGCTGATAAAGAACCGAAGCGAATGGGTCTGGTAGTGAACGAGAACAAGACGAAATATCTCCTGTCATCAAACAAACTGTCATCACACTCAACACAACAACAATGTCAGCCTGGAAATCCAACACAGCATCGCTTTTGCCAACCGGTGCTACTTTGGACTGAGTAAGCAATTGAAAAGTAAAGTCCTCTCTCGGCGAACGAAAACCAAGATGTCCACATCTGATGAGTCTGCCCTGGGAGTCTTCCAGAGAAAAGTTTTGAGAAAGATTAATGGTCCTTTACAAGCCAATGGAACCATGAGCTTTACGAACTATATGATAATAGTAACATAGTTCAGCGAATAAAGAGACAGCGGCTACGCTGGCTAGGTCATGTCGTCCGAGTAGGTGAAAGCACTCCAACTTTGAAAATATTCAAGGCACTACCCTCTGGTGGAAGCAGAGGAAGAGGAAGATCTCCACTCCGTTGGAAGGATCAGGTAGAGTGTGACCTGGTTTCACTTGGTATTTTAAACTCGCAACAAACAGCGAAACGAATGGATGAATGGCGCGCTAATATTGATTTGGCTATATTCGCGTAAGCGGCCCATAAATGAGAAGATATATTGGGTTGCCTCAAAATAAACTGGAGATTATTTCAAAGAAAGTAAATACATTTATTAAATTATAATGATCTTTAATCGATTATGTAATTTCCATTTTGTTGGATGACCATTCGCCATCTTTCCGGCAACATCATTATTCCACGCTCATAGAACTTCGGTGCAAGGACAGGGACAGATGGTGGTTGCATCAACAGTTTCCAACCAAACTCTCTCAGTTTGTGGTGAGTGCCCAAAGGTGTGTGCGATCTAGCCCGAACCGAATTTGACAAACCAACTTCGACACTATTTCTTTTAAGGCCATACAAATTATGCAACTTGTTAGCAACCTGCGCTGCATTTTTTCCTTTAAGGAAATAATAAAGTAATATATGGCGAACAAATATACAACTGCGTGTGCAAAAAATAATAGCAGTTGCTAATGGAAATTTAATTAATGATTTTCTTACATTTAAATAATACCCGTAATTTGTCAATGTTAGAATGCAGGCCCAAATACTACTTCCCTGTATTTAAAATAATTTCTAATTCTAATTCATAAATATCCCGTTACTTTTTGTGCAACGCGATACTATTTTACTGTGATTTAAAATAGCGGTGCCAATAAAATTGCCGTGTTATGTAATCGTATTCAGATCAAACTTGAAATTTTAAATTAATTTTGAATGCTGGAAGAATTATTTCCGTAAATATATCGGTTTAAGAATGTTATAATATATTTCTATTCAAAAATGGACCTACATTCCATGCATTCCTCACTACCGTCTTTGCCTACCTCTTCCTTTACATCTGCTTAGAAATTATCTATAGAATTAAGGTCAGTGGACTGAGTCGGCCAGTCACAATCTAATTAAAAAAAATTGTAACGCCGTCTGTATGAAAAATCGCCGGTTTCTTATGGAGGCAACACATTATATGAATATCTACATACACTCTGGTTTTAAGAACAGGAGAACAGATATGCAAGAAGAGGATGCCTCAGTGCGCTCTGGTGAAGAAGTTATTACCTACGTTGATGATGTTGTAGTAACGTAAACCAGTAAGCTTCGACAAACTATTTCAAGTTGATGCAAAAATGACATTTATAAAAGTGTGAATGTCTACGGATCCGGAAATATAAAGGAATACATATCATAAATGCAGGATACTCCGTCATTAGTGAGTCATCTCGTTGATTCAGGCAAAAGAGCTATATTGCATTACAATGATGCATTCATCAATTCACCCAATGTAATCCTGTGGAGAGCTATTTAAAATATTCCTGCCTATTTTCTTAACAACCAATGACACCACTTTTTTTTATTGCTATATTTATTTAAAATTGATTTGCATTTTATACAATACTAAAACAAAAAATATTCAGTACTAATGAAATAAATGCGGTGTTTCTTGTTTGAACTGAACGCATATTGTTAATCCATGTATCCAATCACAACTACAAATTATAGATTTACTATAAATTTCTTTAGTTGGGTCCAATGTAACATAGCAAACGGGAAATAAGATTATTTTTGTTATAAAATCATATTTAAAATGTGTTTTGTGTTTTCTCGAGTATTTATGTAGTTGCAAATTTATGACTTTACTTATATGAATTAGAATAGATTTTACAAACATACATACGTGTATACATTTGTATCTCTACGATGCTCAATTTGCTGTACTGATTATTATAAATGCTTGCATTGTATTTCGCTGCCATGACTCGGTAACAGAATGAAATTTATGCTTATTGTATCTGGAATGCCTGCCAACACATCACATACCGTACAACAGGTCGTGGTTTGTGGCTCGTTAATATCTTAATATAATCTTCGAATAAAATCTGCTCAATCCAATATTTCGGGAAGTTTGAGAATTCGGTGTGCAAATTTATTTTTCTTTTTTAATATTTATTGAAGATTAGATTTTCTGTAAATCGTTTCTTCTAGCACAATTGAAGTACTACTCATGCGGCAAACGATTCAAAAATATTCCTCAATATTACATCATGAAAAAACATGTATTTTTGCAGTTTTTATTTCCGTTTATTTGTATCATTTTGAAAGTCTAAGTAATGTGGCATCAAATGTATGAAAATTCATGTGTATACAAAATATCGCCTGATCACCACCAATTACAATTTGGAAATTAAAACCAAATATTAAACATTTGTTAAGATGTGAATGAATAGTTAAGCATATTTTTAATTTGCTTAGGTCATAAAAAAATTCACGGGATCAAAACATCCTCTTTATTTTGTGAAATGTGTATGTAAAGGGAAATTACTTTTTTAATATTTTACTTTCAATCGTAAACAATCATATCCTAATTCTGATTTTAGGATTACATATGTATATTAAATTGCATAATTTATGGTAGTCTGCAATTTCTATTGAATTTTTCATCTTCTATTAAGAAATTTTCCAATTATTGATTGCCCTTACATTGTATAAAAAGAAAAAAAATTGACGTGAAAATTTTCATTGCTCAAATAAGTAGTTGCCATATGAGAAGATCAGAATCTATAATTTAAATAGATTCCGATACCTTGCAAACAACTTACTATTCCAACGACTGGACTGATTCTAACTCAAAGAATTAAGTGTTCAAAAATACTCGAATTGCAATTTCTATTGTCTATAATGCAAAAGCGAGTATCAGTAAAATGATACATTTCGAAAGTTTAGCCATTAATATTAATTTATTTCTTTTAATTATGCGTTGTTGTGTTTAGTATTTCTAAATTACGTTCTCATCGGCTCACTATTTTCCGCTCTTTTTTATTTTAACGATATAATTTATGTTTATTACTATTAGCTCTTCCTCTTCTCTTTATATTTTTAATACAGAATCCTTAAAGTAAACTCATTTTCTTCCATTACATTCCAATTGTTGCGTTTGCAACGTTTAACTGTGAAAGTGTGTGAATGTATTATGTATATGCCTGTATTGAATTCTTAATTAAATGCTACATGCTTTAAAATAATTAGTGTTGTTTTCATTTGTTTTATTATTATACTGATGTATTTTATCATTACCGTTATTATTAATAATCATTATTGTTGTTTTAATAATAATTCTGGTTTTAATAATTATGATTAATGCAAAGAATTTTCACACATTGAATAGGAGCAGGGACAGGAGGAATTTTTTGAATGTTTTTTTCGTTTCGAATGATTTCTGAAAGAGAATTTTTTATTTTTTATGCAATTGAAATGTATATAATGTATATCATTGTTGCTGTTGCAGTGTATATAATGCTTCTCGTTTTTTCATGTATGTGTGGTTGTTGCTGCTGCTGTATTACAGTAGGAAAAGGTATATATAGAGGGAATTTTAGAATTAAGTAAGGTGGGGTTACTTAAATTACGACACATCCTGATCTTCAACATCTTGAATCTCCGGCTTTTGCTCACCATCACCTGTAAAATAAATGATCAATTTGTAAAATTGTTGAGTGATTTTGAAATTCTTCGGAAATGTATCAGAGTTTATAATCAGCACTACACAACTTACAATACTGGGAGGGGGAGTTGGCATATTAAACGGCTGATACAAATGATGATATTTTGTTTATTTTTTTGTAGTTTAAAAAGACCAGATGTCTTACCAAAAATGTACCATTAAAATGAAAATTACCTAAAAACTGTTACTAAAATCAAATGGTAAAATAGATAATAAAATATCGTAATTTCTTCCAACACAGCTTATAAGCTCGTTAAAATGCGATACAAAATTGATCATTTAACAATGAGATGTGCAGTTTGCAGTTCTACATTATTATCAGTGACAAACTTTTTGCAGGTACGGCAATTAAATAATTTGATGCATTTCCGAAGGAATCATACACAATATGAAATCAAAAATTGTTTACACACCATCAGCCTGCATATCAGACGTCCATAATGTGAGATTATCCCTCAGCAATTGCATGATGAGTGTGGAATCTTTGTAACTCTCTTCACTTAAGGTGTCCAGCTCAGCAATGGCATCGTCGAAAGCTGCTTTCGCCAATCTGCAGGCGCGATCCGGAGAATTGAGAATTTCGTAATAGAATACCTGCGGAAACGCATATATATATTTGATAACGTGTTTGAAAATAACATTTTTTTCCGATAATATTTACCGAAAAGTTCAACGCCAATCCCAAGCGAATAGGATGTGTTGGCGGAAGATCATTCATTGCTATGTCGCTGGCAGCCTTGTAAGCAATTAATGAATTCTCCGCAGCGTCCTTACGATCCGATCCTGTTGCGAATTCAGCCAAATAGCGATGATAATCACCCTTCATCTTATAATAAAATACTTTGCTCTCTCCTGTAGTGGCGCATGGAATGAGGTGCTTTTCTAGCACATTCAAAATATCAGAACAAATGTCGCGCAATTCTTTCTCCACTTGCCCGCGGTAAGTTTTGATCATTTCAAGTTTTTCTTCGGCACCTTTGTTTTCCTCTTTTTGTTCGATTGAGGTAATTATGCGCCACGATGCACGTCGTGCGCCAATCACATTTTTATATGCGACTGAAAGCAGATTGCGCTCTTCAACAGTCAATTCAACATCAAGAGAAGCTACCTTTTTCATAGCTTCAACCATTTCTGTGAAAAAAATAATAATGACAATAAGAAATATTTTTCCAACAAAATATTAACTTAAGTTTTATTTTTAATAAATAAAATATCTTTCATTTTACGAGACTGTTCGGATTTTACAAGAGGTTTATTACAGGGAGCGTTATTTAGTTACAAGGTTTGGCGGGATATTGTGAGTTATCAAGATTTTGTAACTTCTATACAATCTCTTAGCGACCGCGATTACCCAGTGGTTAGCATTACGTACTGTTATTCGGAAGGCCAAAATTAGAGAAAGTCAATTTAAATTAAAAGTTTAGTTAAATTTTACCACTTCGGAGTGAATTTATGACATAAAATATAAGCTCCCCATAAAAAACCATAAGCCACTCGGGAGCGATCGAGTATAAACTGTAGGTCCCTCCATTTGTTGGAAAAACATCAAAACTCATACCACCACTCATACCACAAATTGGAGCTCGGCTACAAAGTATATATATAATCACCTGGGCTTAACTAAAGAAAATGTAAGATAGATTTTTAGGATAGCATTAAGTGGAGTGTAAAAATGAACATGTATATTTTAACTGAAAATCCAACACAGTTTGACAGGGTCGAGTCTGTGTCGAATACAGAATGTGGCATAAACACCGCCTTAGAATAATTAAAACTAAGCTGAGTTGAAGAAAATTTGGGCTTTTGTTTTATTACCACGAAATATTGATAATACATCACAAGAAAATGGAATAATACAAATGAAAGAAAGATCTCGATTTTATTTCATTCCATTTCAAGGATATCCCAACATATTATTTCTAAAAATTTTGTATAGGAGCAAGTAAACTAGCTTATGTTCCCCAATCGTTTAAAAAATCAAATACATAAGGCAGTTGTACAACTTTTCATTTTGCTATTGTTGTATAGTATATGCTCATGATAATATCTATACCGGTGGTAGTCCACATTCCATAAATAAATTCTACAAGTAAAAACGTGAAAATGCCTTTCACCTGCATTAGAGCGACAAGGCCGTCAGCATAGACCGGCAGAAATGAACGAGTGCGAAAATAGGAGGGTAAACATGTGATACAGACACACCGCGAACGTCACTGTTGATGGCATCTGCGCTATTGAAAATGTCGACTGCACAAGTACCATGAATTTGTATGTTACGTACTCTGCCAATAGCAACGCCGTCAACAAAAGTGTTGAACACACGTACCTGTATGTTCATCTTTTTCTTGCTTAAACGAACTACTTGCGCTGTCATGATTCCTCCGGTGAATGCAAATGTGTGATTACTTTACGCCAACAGAGATCAAACCGCTAAAGATAATGAGTAGATAGAGTATATATGTATGCATATGAACAAATTTGCACGGAACTTATTATAAAGTTCCACAACTACGCACATGCTTATTAGTATCTGAAAGATATGTAAAATGACGAGGAAAGTAGGCAATTTCGAATAAACATTTTAAAAGAACTAATACAGTGTATCACCATATATACTTCTTTATGTTGGAAATTCATACATGCATTTAACATTAATATATCCCCTTTACATGATATGTATGTATTGCTAAAAAATACAAAGCCCAGAGCAAGGTCATGGGCGATCAAATACTGAAATTTAGTATATCTTTGACTGACTATATTATTAAAAATAATTCTTCCACCTACTTTTGAGTACAATAATGCCCGACAAATAATGCGCTAGCGCAAACCAAGAGATTTAAGTACTTCAATTGCCTAACGTTTTCAAGCGCTTAAAATTTACTGGACTTCTTTTCAACTTCATGTTGGATATCTAAATAAGTATTAAATGAAACACATAAAATAATTTGGAAGAGACGACAGTTGCTGATATTGGATAACAGAATAACAGCCGAGTTTCCGTGGCAAACCTTAAGAAACAAGGAAAAAATTAGATCAAATTCCTTATTTAGTTAATAGGAATTTGAAGTTATGATTTATAAAACGCAACTACCTCTCAAACAAATGGGCACAAGTTGCCTTTAGTTTGCATTTTAGCGAACGGCTAGCAGCATTTGCCGCTAATCACGGTTGGTATTGTAGACGGCCGATCGATTCCATTCATCGATTTTTCGCGCTAGCAACCAACCACGAGTAAACCCCCACAGTAACGAGAAGTAATAATCAAGAACGAATGACGTATGTATATTCACGGAAAAAGTAATAGAAAACAAGCAAGCGAGTGAATCCAACTCGTACTTATGACAATTCTAAGCAAAATAAGAGAGGTGGATGGTATAGCAAATTAAATGAGTAGATAGTCACACCGTTCGCTCATTCAAGAAAAATGAGTATCCATGGTAAAATAAATGCCCTAATGACTCCACGGTAATGTATATTTTCCGAATTATTATATGAGATTCTACATTAAAATGTTTTTAAAATACATTTTTCTATTAGTGATGCCTATACGAAGCAAATGAATATACTTGAAAAATTCTCCTATCAATAAACATTTAATCAAAATTACCTCATGGTTCGAAGGGCATAGTAGCTGCAACGAACTATGTACAAATACTTCATATACTATTTCCTCCTACAACTCATATGTATGTAATTCAGATTATTTAAAGAATATATGTATAAGCATACATTAAAAAACTTGCCTGCAAACATATTAATGTGTAATACCCCAAAAAAATTAAACTATTAGCATTTTCAACCAAATATTTTCTTGCTAATGTATACCATAAATTCCTAATAATCTAACCACGCGAAAATAAATCACCGGCAAAAATCAAGATTTCAGTATCTTGTTAATCCGGCCATCTCGTTTCTTTGGAATATTTCTTGCACTACTTCCAGTTGACGCACCAATCGTTGTCTTCGTTAAAGCCAGTACACACCATGCCCCGCGTGGTATTTCCCTAGCATTTTTTTTTTTTTTTTTAGAATCCACACCCCAGAACTATATATTAAGATATGAATTTTTTACACAAAATTCTAAATTAAAGAAATTTTAATACCCTATCTACTTACCATCATAACGCTCAGCTTGTTCAGCCAATTTGGCCTTGTACACATTATTTTCGCGTTCAGACATACTGTTATATTCTTTTGTTAACCCCTTAGGCTCAAACTTTGAGACAGTTTATTTAAAATTATTTAATTTAGAATCGGCGTCCTTTTAAAACAAAGATTTCAGCGTTCAACACTTTTTTTGTCGTCGCCTGCGTTTCCGAATTTCAATTTTTTACTTTTCTCTACTACGAATTTTTTCTCTTCGACAAACGTTTTGCTTCTGCTTCTGCTCCGGCACTAATGTCGTTGTCGTTCTCGTACTCGTTAACCGACCGCTGCGCTATCGCTTTTCTTCTTCTTCCACTTTTACTCGGTTGTCTTGTAATCGCCGATTTACTCTAAACTTCTCTTCGTTATCAGAGCTGCTTTAAAACAGCATTAACTCTTGCGATAATACCTCCAATCTCAATTGAATACTATTCAATTAATATCTCTCACAAGCAAAATTACTTTAAAGAATTTTATTTGACAAACTATCGAATTTTATTCGCTATTTATGCACAGACTTCGATGAATGCGGATGTTCGCTGCAGTTAGCTCGTTGACTCGTTGATTCATTTCATATAACACCGAATAGTAACGACGCTTGACGAAGTTTGCTTTCCATAACTTCGTATACAGCAATCAATATGGCCGCACCTATTTCCATTCCTATATCGCGATCTCGTTTGTGAATGTATACTTCTTACCCACTACTTTAAATGTTTCGTTCACTTTTGCTGCAGCTGTCTCACTTTCTTACCGAATCGCAACTTTTAAATATTGTTGAACAAACAATTGTACTAGATTACAGTGGTCGCGACATTATCAAAAATATGTAATAGAAAGAATTTGAGGCAGCGATTAATTATGTTTTAACTTGCTTCAACTAACGTTTTTTCAAACATAACATGTGTTGTAACGAATTGCTTTAAACGAATTCACATTGTAACTAATTGACCGCTACATTGGCGGCTCTCATACATACCTCACCGATTATTCGTATTCAGCTTTGAAAATTTCCTAAATGTTCTTTTAATATCCAGAATAGACGAAAATGGCGCTCTAGAAAATGATGTGTTTATCGATAACTCTAAAAACTTGTTTTCTTAGATTTTTTTAGCTGTACACGAAACGTCGGAGGTTTGGGCGCCTGATCTAAGAGACATACCAGAGAACTGTGAGCCAGACGAGAACATTTATAGTCCTGGTAAACTTTACAAATGACGTGGGCATCCCTATTTTTTCATCAAAGCATCTGTTAACTTTCACCAGAATGGCCTACAACAGATAATGGTGTAACACCCCGCATAATGTGGCCACACAAATCTGGTCATTGATCGAAGTGAACAGAACTAATTTTTTTACTTCTAAAAGGTGTTTCTATAAGCATAACAACCTGCGATATAACTCGACACTGTATTATTGAGAATCATGATAGAAGGATGGGCTGCTTCTCAAAGGACATACTATAGATGAAAAGGAATCGATACAACAATACCCGTTATCGTTTTCTCTTAAACTTTTTTCTGATTGCATGTCATATCCTTGCCTCTGTAAGCATCAAGTCGTAAGAGGCGAATAAAATCCAATTGCTCCCGCGACAGTCGGGTCTTTATACCGGATCTACCCGGATTTGTATCCGGTCAAGGACTGTCACTCCCGCAACTTTTCAAAAACAGTACTCTGGGGAATATATTTGCAGTTACAACAACAACAGTGTTCCTTGGTCGAGCAACCAGTTTAACTAACCGACTGACTCTAATTTCAAATATCAATGTAATTATCGGTTAGATTAAATTAAAAAAACAATTAACTGTCTTTAACCGTAGAGGTAGATATAAATCGTCCAGTAAGCTCCTGTTTTTTTTTTTTAATTCGATTAGAATTTTGTTAGGACAATCTATTCCTCATACTATTCTATACCGATGAAGTACACTGTCAGGGGTTGGAAAAAAAACCCAAGTAAACTTTGTAACGAGAGAGCGGAATTTTGACGTTTGTAGTAGAATCATCGTCGGCATGCCACCGAAGCCACGTTGATGAATTAGACGTCTTGAATTTTGAAGCCATAGAATTAGAATATATTATTATTTTTAGTAGAACGCAAATTTATTTTGGATTCCTATAATTTACTAGAAAGCAGTGTTGACCAATTGAGCCACAAAACATTGCAAAGCAAGGTTGTTGCAACCGTCCCAGTGGCGATAATGCATTCATAAGCCTCCGGAAGCAACGACGATGCACAAATTGAGATATTAGTGGCGCTTGGAAGGAAAATTAAAGCTCTTTCTAGTTGTTGTTTTTTATTTGATCATAACCGAATAAACTCGGTAATAATTACAATAATTATGATAATATATAATATGACCGGCTTACACGAAAAAGGAATTTCAAACTGATTTTCGTATTTATTTAAGTTATCACTGCTGAAAGGCATCGTTGGATGGATATAAAGCATGTAGAATTTTATCACTGTTGAAATATATTCAATTTTTAATACAATTAATATATTGTGTTTAAAATGCTATAAAATTGCCAAATTTATAAAAAAAACACCTGAAAGAAGAAATAATAAACCGTACAAATGAACTGATTCAAATTTAACCGTCAAAATAAACAACAACGGCGAGACTGTCACTGTCAATTCGTTCGTATGATAACCGACTTTTTTGGCCTGAAGCTGAAGAACACGACTTGTAAAATATTGTTGCGAAAATGCGAGGCGAATGTCAGATGAAAGAGAGAATCCGATAACTAGTACGTTCTAGAAACGATAAAACAAGAACCTTCCATAGCGAACAATTCGATGCTTCTACGCTTTCGTCTGCGAGCAGCCGACTGCTATATAAGGGCGACACTCAGCTGCCAAGTCAAGTTAGTTACAAAGTGAACTCGTTGGCGTTAACATCAGTAAAGTCGTAAAGTAAACGCGTTGGAGATTACATTTAAGTAGAGTAAATTGTGAAAGTTGATACTAGTGATTGTAAATAGTAAAGTGTATTGTAATTGAATTGTGAATTACGGAGTAAATAAAGGACATTAGATTAATTCTTTATAACGAAAGATACTGCAAATTGAATTGGCGAGTTTTTATTTAACAATCCAGAGATCGTACCCGAAGGATTTAGAAAATAATCGAGGTTGATTTAGTAAAATCGTAACAATATGTAATTTCGGCTTCCCAATATGTTCCAAAAGTGTTCGAAAATGACCTCAAATGGATCAAAGTTTGCAAAATGTAGTGTTTTACATATAATACATACAAGGTTCAAATTACATGCATATGTACGTATGTAAGTACCCTGTAAGAACGGGCTGATGGGTTCACCAATATACTCACACGATTTCGGGCAGCACTAACATATATGCACATTTTTTTGTTTATCTTTCTCTTCTGAGCACATACAAATTGAAGAAGAATGCGGTTGAACGGATTATCCGATTTTCTTTGTTCTTATTTTCGAGAAGAACCCCATTTTTTAAAGTTTTCTCCGCAGCGGATAGCAAACAACGTAAAAAAGTGAAAAATATGGATAAGGATCCGGAACAAGCTGTGGCAATAATATAATATATTATCGATTAATTAACTACTTCATTTATTTACTCCATACTATATGGAAAATTTTGTTAATGGAGCAGTTTGAGTAGAATGGACGCTTCTCGTCTTGCAGCAGCAGCGTATCTCAAAAATATTCAACAAAACTTTGCGAGGGATAATTGCATTAAGATATTAATAACATCATGATTCGAAAATTATTTTTTAATTTTACTTAGATGTCTTTATACTCCAAAGGAGCTGCAATTATGTAAATACATATGTAGGGAATGACGTACACGTATACAAATGTAAACATCACGATTAAGAAAGTGGTAGAAAAATCGTTCTACGAGCTGACGAGATATGTCGTAATGCATTCCTGACATATGTTGGCTCAAATGATCGGACGCCCTGCAAGAATGTAATAAAAAAGGAATTTCATAAAAAATTAAATTCTAATAGACCTGTATGGGAGAAAGTAATTCTAAAGTGGTCACCAAACGGATCAGAGCAAACTAGAGTCCATGTTGTTTGCAATCGGATGCGTTCCGAGCGCCAGGTTAAGACCCCCAATTGATGACTATGGAACAACTGTTTCATTGCTCGACTATGAAGAAGTTCGAGTAGCAATCCCCCGCTTGAAAAACAACAAAGCGAAAACATGCTCGATGATTGTAACTTAAGTATACTCTATCCAATACACAAAAAGGGGATCCCAAAGTCTGAGCCAATTACCGTTGAGCAAGCCTCCTCAATATTCCATATAATTTTCTACCATATGTATTTAAGGTATGAAAGACTATAGCTCACCGCTAACAAGCTGATTGGGCTTCGTCCGTTTTAAACCATTTAGAATCACAATTGACCCGACAAAAGAAAATCAACAAACCACCTCTTCGTTGATTTTTAACCAGCCTTCGACAGCACGAAAAGAAGCTGGCTGAGCGAATTCGAACTGACTTCGGTATCCACACAAAACTTAAACGGCTCTGCCAACTGGCTGCACCAAAAGCTCTTTGAGGATCTTCGATAGATCAAGAAGACTCCTTATCGCGTGACTTCTCTAATTATTGCGAAATGGGAATTTATTAAAATAATGTTTGTTTACTTCTTTTGTTAATAAACACGTGAATATCAATTTCTTCACTTTATGTCAAGTCTGAGAGTGTTGAAATTTGTTTGTCCAAACAATTGTGATTTGATGATAATGATACGTGATAATTTCAAGGTAGCCATAACCTGTATAGCTAATGACAAATAAAATTTGAGAGTTAAGGAAGCGTAAAAAGGTTTAATGTTGGTAGTAAAGCAAGGCGAAACTCGTATGGAAATACGCTTTTATGGCCGTTTTGTATTGCGGTGTTAACTTTAAATTTAATTATGGAAAATTTAGAACGCGAAAAAAAAGTTATAACTTTATAATGCACTTTTCGCCGAATAGCGAATTTTCTCAACCTTCGCGCTGAACGATGAATCTCAAATCCGTACTCGAAATTTCTAAGGCTGCAACTACCCAACGAGCGTACCAGCCGTCCATAGTAACCTATCTTATGAGAGCGCCATGTAAACACAAAGTTATCACCGCTTTCCCATAGCGTTGATGACGTTTGTGTCGCAGAAACCAACGAAGTTTTGATTTTTTCTGTAAAACCGGCTCGGCTCATTTTTCGTTGCTATACAAGGTTGCCTTTCTTAACGTAACATTATATAATCGAAGATAATGCGTAGTTTTGTTCAAAATAAATGAAAAATAAATGCGTAACTACTTATTTGTTACCATATAGATTATGTATATTTGCCTTGTGTTTATGTTCAAGCAAATAAATTATGAAATTCGAAAATTATGAATTTGTTCAAAAGTGTTCAAACACACAGGCAGCTGGCAACATTTCTCCGCTCTCAGCGGCGTCGATAACTCGTGTGTTTATCTCGCCTTTTCGTCGCCACTTATGGACGGCTGGTAAGTGAAATGGGCAGTTGCAGCCTATGTTAATCAGACATTGTCATCTGGTTTTCTATGTAATCACTGATGTGCTGGCGTAAATACCACAAAATATATTGTTTATGGAGACCGGCAATTGCAAAAGGCCGAGTTTTGTTTGTTTCCTGATGTTGTTGTTGTAGCGGTTCACTCTCATGACAGCTGGTTCTACCCACTGAAGTTGACCTGGATTTTACCCGGTCAAGGTCTGTCACCTTTTGGCGATCTAACACCGTTTAGCTCAACAGGTAACAGTAATCTATAAACTTATAGCCTGACATCTATTGTCAGATTTTCAGTTTGACAGTTCAATTTTCATTTGCCAGAAAGCTTGGTGACAATACCATTGATATTTTAAAAATAAATGAAGATGAGGGATTTCTAAAGGTTTAAGATATTTTATTTAGCAAACAGTCTAGGTTGGCACCGTTTAACAAATGATTATGTTAAGCAATTCGCCTACGTATATAAACTGGCAATCAAGTTGTTTGCAATTTTCTGTCAAATGACAGTCGGGAGGCAATCACTGATTGTTGTATCCACCGCGTAACTTTTTTCCGAAGGTTAGATATCTCATTTCCCAGAAGAAATGTTTGCTTCATCATGGTTATCATTTGTTGGAGACGCTATTGGGGTTATCGACTTGACTTATGTGTCATTGAGCGCTATTTTATCAACGTTTAATAGTAAAAATATTTTTTTATTCAATTCATACAGGTGATCCTTATCTCGGAGCATGACATGATTGTTTTATTTGGGGCTCCTCTGCTATCATGCATAGTAGTTTTGAAAGTGAAAATCATAATATGACTTTTCCACGGCATTATGAATTACATTGTTCGTTATCGCAATTACGAACACGAATTATCCCACTCACACGGCACCCAATTTGACAGTTTTTTGTTTCACTGGTTTACTTTTTTGCTCCATTTTAAAACGCATGGAAAACGAAAGCTCTTAGTAAAAATTAAAAAAATATCGAATTGAATTGGTTATGTAAGTGCCAGCCAGTAGAATTCGACGAAAAAATTCTGTTATATCCACGTAATTTGGCGTAATTCGCGAATGACGAATCAAGTGATTCAGCATGTATTTGGAGTGCGAATTACGATTGAGAGAGCAATCAACATAATTGGTGTGACGTGAAAATGCAATATAACATGTTTTTGTTTTGGAAAACTTTGTAAGCCAGCCCAACTCATTTAATAAAAAGAATTACTATCATGAATTTATTTTGTTTTTATCATTTCTTTTTGTGTTTTTCTTATGTTTTGACGTTTTGTTAGGCTGTGGTGCCACCTTTCTTCTATTTAAAAAAAAAGAAAATGTCCCATTGTCGCTTATCGTTAAATGGATTAGTGAATCGCACAATCGAGATGAAAGGCGACAAATTCGCAAGTTTGTAATCCGACAAATCGTATCGAAAAAGTTTGGATTGCTTCATAGCAAAGAAGAAATATATATTGTAAAGACCGCTTTATGTGCTTTCGTGCTTAGCGATGTATATTGTATATGCATTCCTAAGTCTGGCATCATTTGAAAAGTTTGTGAAAAATTGTCAAATAGGATGCCTTGGATGGAATACAAAATAATATTAAGCTTTGAATAGTTTTTTCGTGGATTTATAAGCATTTGATTATAACTGGTACTTTTATGTAGTTATGTCAAGAAACGGAGATATTATGGATGGTATAGAACCGTGCCGAACATGCGGCATATTTTATTTAACAACTTCCAATTTTCTCCGCCAAATTTTCGACCCTTCAGCAGATGAGTATAACTTATCAAATATCCGTACTGAATTAGCTGCCTGGAATGTTGAGGTAAGAATCTACCAGTTTTAAATTCAGAAATCAATAAAGATCGATTTTTTTTTTTGTTAGATCAATCAAAGCGATGGCTTACCGCAATTCATTTGCACATGCTGCATTCTTGAATTCCAAAAACTTTTTAAATTTCGAGGACTCTGCGTAGAGCTGCAAGCTCAATGGAGACATTTTTACAATTTAAGAGAAGAAAATAAGATATATATTAAAAAAGAGTTGCCTGAGCCAGATGAGAAACTCGAAAATGTTTGCGACTTTATTTACGTGGATGACTTAAGCGATAGTGAATACAACAGCGAGACAAAAGGAAACTTTGGCTCTTTTAATATTTCTCATGTTCCTATTAAAGAGGAAATTGTTAATGAAACACCTATTGGAAATGATAAATTTGTTTCAACGACGGAAGATTCATTTCACCCAAATGAAATGGAAATGCCAAAAGGTAGTGTAGAAAGTACCCTCATTGATTCAAAAACAAGATACTCTGCTGAACCAGAGTTATTAGACAGATCAACTTGCTCAGATTCCAGTTTTGAAACTAAACAAGGATTATCAATGGGTGTTGAATGTACCTTGTGTCGACATATGTCATCTTCTGCTGAGGTCCACAAGCGACACATGCAAAGAATCCATGAAGTAAAGGATATGGATTGTCATATTTGTGGAAAACAGTTCAAAAATTCTACAAGTACCCGTCTAAAGTTTCACCTAAAATGGCACAGAATTAGCAAACATATTAAATGCGCCCAATGTGGATTTTTCTGTGATTCACGTGAAACACTTAAAGAACATACAAAGGCCATACATTCAAAAGTCGAATGTCCTACCTGTGGTAAACGTAAGTAATCATATTTACGTTTGAATGTAAACTCTTCTTAGTATGTAACTTTTCCTTAAAAAACACTCCTTTCTTTCTAGGCGTTTTGGGGAAAAAGATGAAAATTCATATGCGCACTCATGAACTAAGAACATGGCAATGCTCCTATTGCGATGAAGGTATGTACTAAGCATAAATGAAAGGAAAGGTATGCTTTGTCAAAAACAGCGATTTTTTTTAATTTAGATTTACTTAATGTAATAAAAATATATTTTTACATATATTTATAGTATTTAAAGCGGAAAGTGTACTGGAGTCTCACATTTGGCAAGTACACGCTAAAGAAGAAACCCCGCCTATAACATCAGTGGGTAGTCCTTCCTCAAATAAATTGTTGAATGAAGCACATTTACCTTGTAATCATTGTGACCAATTATTTGCAACACAACACGATTTGAATGCACATAACCTGGAGTGCCATTTGATGCGAAACACTGCCGAGGAGGAATCATACGTTGAGGGAGACATTCAAAGTGAACAGTTCCATTACGCAGACCAAACAGATATATTGCAAATTGCCGATACAAACATTAACGATACAGTGGAATCAGGGACAAATGAGAAAGAAATTTCATATGACTCAAGTAACTATAACGAATTCACACATGTTATTTCTTCTGATGAGGAAACGGGCGAAAATGAGATCCAGACCGATACAATTAAAGAATTCCCTTTTCCAAAATGTACACAACCATTTTTAAGTACTGAAGAACTTTGTACTCACTATCAACAGCATCTGCAAAAGCCTGAGTTCAGCTGCCATATATGTGGCAAATCTTTTGAACTTAAATTTAGTCTTAATCGTCATTTGATCAAACACAAGACGCAGTAGTTTAAATATATGTTATTATCATGATTTATGTGAATTAAAAAAAAAATTCAAAGTGCAATAAATCACTTTGGAAAAGTAAAATAACAATAAATATAAAAAGTGAAATTTTAATTACTCTTATTGGATTATTTTTCATTATTAGATTTTTTTTATTTTTTATGAAACTAAATAATTGTTGTTTGGCGGCCGCGGTAGCCGAGTGGTTAGCACTTAGAATTTCAGGGTTCAAATCCTGAAAATAAATTTAAATAAAAAATTAAGTTAAATTTTCTGATGGCGGTCGCCCCTCGGCAGCCAATGTCAACCCCTCCGAGGGTACATCTAACATGAAATTAGGCTTATAAAAAAAACCATCAGCCGATCGGAGGCAGCTTAGTATAAATTTTAGGACCCTCTATTTGTAGGAAAAACATCAAGATACAAATTGGAGGAGGAGTTGGGCGGAAAATCGCTTCAGCGGTTAGAAAATCATAAATATGAAGAATTTCACTATTTCGAACTAAAGAATCAATGTTTTAGCAGCGACAGGATCATTTCTGATGTAAATTCATAATCAGCTAGTTCTATTCCCAATTAACGAATGACATGTTTTGCTGCTGTATTACAAAGTGAATTATGCGGATCTCATACTCCAGCTTGTAAAACAATGTATCAAATAGTACCACTTTTATTTTCATATATATATCTCAGGAATTTGATTTTCTATAATTTTGTGTGTTATTCTGAACAAGAATTCAAATATTTTCCTCATAAAAGTAAATAACTAAGGAAACTAGAAATTTTATTGAAGGAATTAAGTTTTATAACTTAATATTATATAATATTAACTTCAGTGTATCAAATATACTGGTAATTGCATATATATATATATATATATATACTACGTATACTTACTTCATACATTTTTTGGTATTTTCAATAAATCCACTATTTCCTTTTTGTTTAATATATTTTATTTATTTATTATAGTCACTCAAATTATTCATGTGCTTGTATTTATTTGTGTTATATGTGTGTTTTTGCAAAAAAGGATGCCTATGTACGAACATTATGTAATAAGAATATATTTATGCATTTCCTTATAATTATTCTCAATGCAAAAAATAAAAATTTAACTTAAACATTCTACCTGCGAATTTGTATCTATGAATTCTATAAAAATGGTATTTTTAAAACAGGATACTGGTAAACAGTGATAATTGTTGTAAATTGGCTACTCAAAGGGAGCATAGTTATATGCATACATATAATATGTTATCTGCCACTACATTTGAGAGCATGTTTTAGAAATAATCAGAAATAATGAGATTGGAGAAAACCTTTCATGGTTTATTTGCCAACCATAGATTTGAAGAGGAATGGGAGTCACAATTATGTGTATTTAATCAATCTCATATACTTCATTCTCTTTAAACCCGGGAGGGGGAGGTGCTGTACCAGGTCCAGCACCTGATGAGGCAGGCGGCTGTTGTTGTTGTTGACCATCCTGTCCAGCGGGTGTTTGAGAGTAACCTGCTGCATTCGGATTTTGATTTGCATACAAAAGCGGACTCATATACATTCCGCTGGGATGAGCAAGTGTGGTATGTAGAGATAAAAGATCTTTATACATTGCAGGATTATTGTTGTTCATTTCAGTATACAAATGCTGCAAGTATGTGGGTACAAGCTGCAAGGCTTGATTTTGTGTTATATCTGGATGATCTTTGACAATCTTCATATTGAGTAACTGCAATAACACATCTGAGCGAAAACCGAAGATACGATTAGAGGTTACACCGCCTGTGGCATTGGCCAATTGACCACCAAAAGCACCACGGTCATAAGACATGTATTGAGAAGTTTGAACGCTTCGCGTCTTTTCTGCTTCATATTCCGCCCAGGCAGCTTTACGTTCGGCATCATTAAGATTCTCACTCTCTTCATTTTCCAAAAGTGAGTCATGTTCATGATATTTAAATATCAGAGACTCATGTTTACTAAGCAATTCAGCGAATAGGCGGTCTTTGGGCAAAATCGGAATTTCGCGTTCACTACTTGGCATCAGTTCATAGGAATAAAGTTCTTGAAGATCAGACTGGTTGTAGTGGCGAGAAATTTGCTGCTCATCGATTACTCGCTTAGCCGTGGCTTGTTTTGCAACTTGACGCTCATATACCTTTTGTTCCATGGTACCCATGGCTATTAGACGATAAATATAACAAGGTTTTTCCTGACCGAAACGATAAACTCTAAAAATACTCTGAGTATCATGAGAGGGGTTCCAAGAAACATCAAATATAACTACACGGTTTGCTGCTACCAAGTTAATACCCAATCCTCCAGCTCGTGTTGAGATTAAAAATAGACGACCACGCAAGTTTTTAACATCATTAAACTTTTTACACATAGCCTCACGACTTTCGACAGAGCATGAGCCGTCAAGACGAAAGTAGTCTATTCCTGGCTGCCAAAAACCTTTGAAATCTCCAACATCACCTAAGGAGAGCAAACAAAGGGTTTCAATTTAAATTTTTTATGTATTACCCTATAAATTACCTTCATATTCGTATCCCCTTGTCTTACTGTCTATTAATGCCAAAAAATGTTCAATGACGTCAATTGATTGCAAAGATTGTGAAAATACAAGAAGCTTGTCGCCAATAATCTCACATTCTTGTAACAAATTCATTAGAATAACCAATTTCGGGGAATGATTAATGTTATTTAATTCTTTATCTTCTACGAAGCGTTTCCACCACTCCGATGGGTCAACCTCAGGTTGCGATGGTTCCGTCTCTTCAATATCACTATCTTTGTCAATCTGCTTGCGGCTACGGGTTCGGCTAGGCTTGCTAATGTTTCCACTACCACCTCCGCCACTGGCAAATGACTTAGACGAATCCACAGAAGTATCTGATCCTGTGCCAGATTCTGCTTCGTCTTCATCGTCATCGCAAATGAAATCCTCCATTGAATCGGAGTCATTTGCTTGCTGTCGCTTTCGAATAACTGTATCACTATTCATTCGCAAATTCATTGGGTGAGTCCACACCCTCCGCAAATCCTGAAAATCTTGAAACAAACGTGCTCCTTTTCCACTAATATCAGAACCACTTAGGTCGCGATGGGTGGTCATGTAATATTCATATATTTGCTGTTGCAGATCAGAGAGAGTGGTATAAACTGTATATTCGTGCTTTGGCGGCAAATAGGGTGCCAGAACCGAATAATCGCGCCGCTGAATGCATCCTTCCAACATCTTGTGTAATATATGCGACCGATGCTTCATTAAGCGAATATCTCGCTCAGTAGAATCGGTGTATTGGCCATTAGTAATTGGATTTACAAAACGATTTAAATACTCCTTATAAGTGCCAAGAAGATTTGGCTTAATAAACTGTATCATGCAATAATCTGCAAGAAAAATATTGGGGTAGGGAGTAATTTTAAAGTGTCGAAATCTGTAATACCAAACTAACTAGCTATTGGAAATAATGGACTTGTTATAATATTTTGATAGATATAATAAATACATAACGCTCCATTTTCGATTTTTTATAAACAAAAATATAAAAATTAATTATTCTATTAGGAATATAAGAAAATTTAACAAAATATGCCTAACTTACATTCTTTGAGATTGTTCTGAAGTGGTGTACCGGTAAGAACAATTCGTCTTTTAGTACGCATTTTTGTCACGGCTTTGCTAATGGATGTTTTTTCATTTTTCAGTAGATGACCTTCATCACAAACAACTAAATCTGGACCAGGATCTACCAGGGCTTGCTGTAATACCTCTCGTTGCTTCTTTCGTAATCCTTTAGCTTTTTCATTAGCTAATATGCGATACATATCATATCCAATAACACAAGCACCGCCCTCTTCAAACCATTCATTCAATTTGAAAATTCGTGTTGGTTTGTCCTTGTACTTGGACATATCATATACTTCAACGTGTCGCTTGTTAGCAAAAGATATCCATTGTTTGAATTCGCGTGCCCAATTATTAAGAGTGCTTAATGGTGTTATTATTAGTACGCGTTCAACGCCTGTACGACTTGAATTTACCAATAAAGTATGTGAAAGTGTAACAATTTGTAAGGTTTTCCCTAAACCCATGCAATGGGCCAGAATACAACCAGAACCAGCATTATCTTCAGATTCTTTAATTGTTTCGAAGCAAGCATCCCACATGAATTTAACGCCGGCCACTTGATGGGGTTTTAATTTTTTAAGAATACCTTTATCGACTTCAAGCAAAGGTTCTTCTGTTTCCTCATCAAAATCGAGCACCAATTCATTGACCTCAACGTTTTCTGGCTTTTCATAAATTTGGTTGTAAAGTTTTTGGCGCTCCTCTATGCGTTTACGACGTTCTTCTTCTTCCTTAGTAGCATTTTTAGTAGAAATATCGAGATCCTTGGTTTTTATAATTTTGCGGATATGTTTGCGTTTATTTTTATTTTTTTCATCTGCGTCATCATCATCAGATTGCATACTCTTTTTGCCCTTTCTTTTACCTTTCTGATCGCTATCTTCGTCATCACTGCTGTCTTTTCCACGACGTAGACGCCCGCGTTTTTTTGGCGCAGGCTGTGGCGCAAAATCAGAATCTTCATCAGTGCTCTTTTTTCTTTTATTAAAAACTCTTTTTTTTCGTGCCGGTATCACTTCACTGTCGCTACTTTTTGCATCCGATTCATCAGAATTTCCATCTATATTAGCAATAGATTCAGAATCCTCTGATTCCGAATTCATTACTCTTTTTCTGTTTGATGTAGCCGATTTATTTTTGTTGAATGTATTATCGACACTATTGGTATGTTCGCTCTTGTTTTGAAGTTTTATAGAATGTTCGCCACCATTCACCTTAGTTATAATAACAGTTTGTTTTAATAGATTAGGTGTCGGGGTAAAATGTGTTCGTTTTATGCGAACAGTGCACTTCCTTATACGGGGTAATGATCCCGGTATTTGATGTGACTTCTCGTGTTCCGCCAATTCGCTTGATTTTGCAGAGTTCGCCGAGTTTTTTTTTGAAACTTCTTCAGTTTCTTTATCTTGGTCACCTCCACTCGCTTCGCTATCACTTAATTCTATAAACGTACAATTGTTTCTGTTTCTACGTTCGGGCAATCGCCTTGGTTGCAAAGTTTTCTTAACTTTTTCTACTAAAGGTTTTTCCAGTAGTTTTTCTAATGGTACGACACGCAGTTTGAATTCATTCGCCGTTTTTTGAACACACAAAGTTGTTTTGTTTTCTAAAATATTATTCAATGGATTATTGTTTGACGACAGGGCGGCATTATTGGTTTCACAATTATTTTTATCAATGCTTTGGTTAGTAGAGCCATTTTTATCTTTCTTTGCTGATTCGGATTCTGAAATGGTTTTTTTATTAATTTCAGTACTAGCGGTATGGGGTGCGGTATTGTCTTCTGCTGAATTTGCATCAGAGTCCGAGTGTTCTTTTTCGAGGCCCATAGATGCAATTTGAGGAAAATATAAACCAATAAGTTTCCAAACCGGCTCACGTTAGAGATTAGTTCTCTAAGTAAAGGCCACCATTAGATTTCTCAAATAGGAATGAAGAGAATCTGTAAAAAAACAAGAAAATTTATTTTAACAAAACACTGATTGATATACCTCTGTATATGGCATTAAGTCCAAATTTAATTTTGAATATGTAAGACCCTTCATGTAGTAAAATCTATTTTCATGCCATTGTTTTGTTTTCTTTCTGCAGCCCTTTTTTATACGTATTTTAAGTAACGTTCATGTTCGGAATTCATGGGTTGCATTTGATAAATAAATAACAATTAATTATTTTTTTCATAAATTTTGGCAGAGTTAAATGTACTAATCAAAACGAAAAACTCTTTTTACTAATCTGGAATTGCAAATACATCCACAACCATTTGTAAGTTTTTACATATATACATTACATTACATATGTACATAAATATATATGCAGTATAGTTTTTATTTAAGATTTTCTTCACCGAGTTTGTCTACAATATGTATATCCAAAGTTTTCATTGAAAAAACTTTTGATGGTAAAAGCAAACAAATGTAACGCACCTAAATCCGTCGTATACGCATAATATATCCATTAACTTATTATTTTTATAGTACGAAATCCTCAACTTTGACAATCCCGACAAGCAATTCACTTCTCACATATTTTTTAATCAACTAAAATAATCTTGAATGTGGATAAAACGTTCGGCGAATGAAATTTTTGCGTTTTTGCAATAGTTTTTCCTATTATCCCTCCTTAAAACACACAAATCTCCAAACGCCGCTAAAAATCGGAATTTGTAACTTTTCAGGTATACATAGATCAACTCAAAGATGTGTTTCGTGAGTACGATGCCAGATGAGCATTCGCGTGTCGTGTAAAAGTTATTCACAATTATTCCAAATATTTACTTTTTTTAAATAAATATTTTATATATGTGAAATTATTTAAAGTTTCTAAATATTCCACAGTAAAATTGTAAATCTTATACCGTCGACGACACAAATGTTAAATGATTTCTTTAAATATAATCTTTCAGTAGGTTACAAAAGCCAAATGGTTCGCTTTGTTTGGCATTGCAAAATTATAGAAAGTTCATTTTTTCTAATTGCCGTTGACTCTCGGCAGGGAATGTCAAACCCTCTTCATGTATTTCAGACAAGAAATAAAAGCTCTTCATAAAAAACTATCAACCGTTCGGAGGCAGCTTAGTATAAATTTTAAGTCCCACCATTTCTTGAATAAACATCAAGACAAAAATTGAGGGGGAAGTTGGGCCAAAGATTGCTTCAGCGGTTACAAAGCGCCAATTATTATTATATATAATCTTTTAATTTTACGCTCAGTCTTGGAGATATCGTTCGAAACAAAAGTTGACACAATACATGATATTCAAACTTCACAGCAGAGTGAATATATCATTGCAATTTTTTTGGTATTGGAAAATTTAATGTTTTTAAACAAAAAAATTAAAAGGGCAGTGTAATTTGTATACTTGGTTTGATACGCTCACTAGTCAGAGTTTCATCTGTTAGGCAAGGCGAAGGATGTCACCTTTGCATTGCGTTATCCGGTTTGTTATGTTAAGGTGGGTTAAGTTTTTTCAAGCCTCGTTCACGGTGTAAAGTGTACTGTGAATTAGGTAATGTGATTTTTAAAAAGATTGAATGCACTAACGCTGACAATTAATGTCAAAATGAGGTGTGTTCAATGCAAAATGAAATTGGAAAAGTTAAGAAATGAGAGGCTGCGTCCGAAAAATAATAAATTGAAAAGCTGAAAAAATGTTCAGATGAGGAAAAATTTTTTAATGAGGGAACCGCATTGCTCACAGCACACTATCGACGTAGACATAATTGAGTCAATGTTAAATTGAGTGATATTTAGGACAAAAAGACGTGGATATAAGCTAATTGTTGCATTTTGATGCAAAGTGAAAATAAAAAAATTGTTAGGAGTCCTGTATAATTGGAATTAATTTAGGTATAAATTGCTAACCCTCACTTGCAACTAACGTGCAAACGATGATGCAAGAACGTTTTCATGCAGTGGAAATTTTAATTTTTCTTTTTCTGGTATAGAGAAATTATTTGACTACTGTGTTTTGTATTAGTTGTACGTAGCAGTGAAATAATCAAAACCGAAGCAGTACGATATTAAAGTGAAAAGGTATTGCGATTATATCGCAACTTATTAAAAAGATCGAAAGCAATAGTATGACTGATTCTGAGATGAGTGTCTCTGGGGGCCCATTGGACTTAAGTGACTCAAATTCCAGCAGTAGTGTCGGTGTGAGTTCATCAACTTCTTATACATCTGATTCCGAAGATCTGCAATTGGACACGCTTGAACAAGCTAAGATCAACAATGAAGTTTTGCGACTGCCGCGTGGGCTATGCGAGAATGACAAAATATTCGATGAGTTTTTCTCTGTTGAAACTTGGAATGATCTTCCAGAAGCAATGCGAATTCGGTTAGATCAATATTTACCTAATTTTTCAAATTTGCTTACACATCAAGAAGTAGATTTAGAGAAGCAACGTACTTTGCTAATGTTATTCAATGGAGAATTAAGGCGATTTGGACGTTCACCACTTATTGACCTTCAGCATGGTTTGGAAGATGGAAACTTCAGGCCTGATATTCTGCATTTGCGCCAAAATATTGCAAAATCGCGTCGTCGAGAACATCGATTTCAGAGATGCGAACATTTAAGCCGACTTGCTAGAGAACTGTTTCTGTCCAGAGAACGTTTATTGCGAATGGCGTATAAGTCGCCCGCCAATGTTGTACTTCGAACAGAACGTAACACAAAACGTGAACAAAACACTTTAAATGCTGATACAAAACTTTGCACGGTGCGCTGCCGCAAACGTTTAAGGAACGAAATGAACCATATTACAGAACAAATTGGTGTCAAAATGGGCGAGTTAAGCGCCGATGAAGATGAAAGCTCTTCTGCTCAAATTGCTGATGATTATCATTTTAATAAGCAGTCGGATATTACAACATCATTAAAAACTCCAGTTCCTTCTACAGATCGTTTCATTTTCAGTACTCTTTTCAAAAGGCGCATTGACCTCACTGATGAAGAAGCCGTTCGCGCTGATCAGTTTATGCAGCAATCTCGGTTATCAAATCGAAATTTCCGAACATATATACGTGAACACAAGCGTCGTAAACTTACAGAGCCGGTAATTTGTTATATAGTATATCCATAATACAAGCTATATCCTTGGTTTTAAATTTGATCAAATTTCAGAATTTGCCAGATTTTGAGACATCCGACATTCGTCTGCGAGATGTATGGGCACGAGCACAAATGGGTAGTAATTTTAAGCAACTTTTTGGAAGTGGCAAAATGATGGGTAGGAAACCTAAATCGAAATATATTTCTAATTCGGAACCCCCGGCTTTAGTACCCATTCAAGCCAAAGAAAATAGTTCTGATAATACTCGAAAAATTGTCACCAACAAGCCAGAAATAAAATTAAATACACAGTTTATTGGGAGCAGCTCTAAACCCGCGAAGGATAGGCAAGTTGAGCATTTTCAACAGCATTTGGAAGAGCAATCAAATGGGTCCATACAACATCCATTCCTACCAGAAGATGGTGCTCCATTTAACATATTAGATGGAGAAGTGGAACTTCAACAGGAAGAAGTTGAGACTTATAGAAACTGTGAGGAGACTTTGCCACGTTTTGTGATTTCTAATGAGGTGGTTCTACCTGCTATTGAACAAAGCGATGTACCACCACAGAAACTTTTGCAAACACCTCATAAGGAGGAAATTATGTCTATAGATTCAAAAACTAAAATTAATTTGGGTGAAGATAAGGAACATGGTTCGTTAAAAGAGCAAAGCATACCCAAATTGGAGCCAATTTTTAACAAGATAGGCAGGACACCTGTTAGAGAAAAAGTTCGATCGAATCCACAGATTAACTATATATCTAATAATGCATCCAACGGATCTGCAGCAATAATAACACCTGTTAAAAAGCAAGCTTCGACATCAAAAACTGTCAGTCCAGCAAATCTATTCGATTCATCCGAGCTGATACAAGAGACTCACGCTTGCTTCTTTTCGCTTATAAGGGATTTGTTTTGTGCGACACCGCATCACCGCATGCAATATAATGAATTGCGTTTACGGATCGATATGTGGTTGCGGAACCCTATAACTGCTTTAAATGACTGGTATTCCCAAGCTGATAACTGGTCGGGGTTGCTAATGTCAGCTATAAACTTTTTGGCAGGAGACTTTTCTGACCAACCAGACGAGTATGTTCCATATATAGAATTTAAACCTCAACAAAATATATTTCAATGGATAGGGGCAGGTCGTGATTCCGATGCTCGTCTTTTAACACTATGCAATTTTTGGTTGCAACGTCGATGTGAAACTTCAGATCGAAAAACAACGGCCATTCATACTGTTTCTGAACCTGTTAATGATGAAGCGAACGAGCCATCTGCAATATCCAATACACGTCATCACTCCTCAGAGATAGAGGAACCTACAGTGTCATATGATGGCGGCGTATCTCCACCTCCTCCACCGCCTCCACGTTGTCCCACTTCATGGACGGTATGTGCGGCCACACCAGAAGAAGTTGTCGAATTTCAACGTCAGGAACGCGAACGCTTCGATCAACCACATCGCGCTTATACTTATCGTATGCATGGTTATGAAAGTGTTGTTGGCCCAGTGAAAGGAATATACACCCAGATGTACGCGTTGACTAAAGCACGTGGCCACAGTATGATGATTGGTAATCGCCCGAACTTTGTAACAATTCTAACATTAGTCCGCGACGCAACAGCACGCCTACCAAATGGTGAAGGCACACGGGCTGATATAGCTGAATTACTCAAAAGCTCCCAATACATCAATTTAAAAGAAGGTGAAAATGTTCTGCAAACCACAGTTAGTGGAGCGTTGGATCGGATGCACACGGAACATGATCCATGTGTTCGATACGATCCCAAGCGTAAGATTTGGATATATCTCCACCGCAACAGAAGTGAAGATGACTTTGAGCGAATACATCAGCAAAGTCAGGGTATTGGAAAATCTAAGAAAGTTGCACATCGTAAACCTAAAGCGAAGACTGCAATTTCCAAAGGCTCTTCTGAGATTGCCGAAAGTAATTGTGCTGTCACTACGTTTGATGAAGAAGCTAATGTTGAAGGTATTAATATTGTAACCAACACCCCGAAAGTTAATGCTGCTTTCTCAATGCCGGCTTTAGTGCCGTCAAATCCTATCATAGTTAGTAGTCAAAGTGCCATAACACAACAGAAGATGCAACTTGCTATGTCCAAGCCCTCCGCTAATCGTTCGCTACCAGTTCCACCACTTAAGTACAATATCCCGCATCAGCAGCAGAAGTCATTGCTAAAGTCAACCGTACAATCGCAGCCACTAAAGCAGCAGGAGCCCCGACAAATCAATAACAGCGTTGGTATTGACAATCAACAAAGCCAAAGAATTCAACAACGTGTCGCAATTCTTGCAAAAAATACAACCATATCAGAAGTGGTCACAGATGAAAGCAAAACGTTGAAACAATTTAGCTTGACAATGTCGCCAAATAAAAACAACTTATCAGCTTTCGCTACGAGTGCGGGAGGAAGTTCTACACCTATCATCGTAGCCACACCTTCTGGTCTTCAAACTGTACACGTTTCAAATACCACGGTTGTGGCGCAGCCAGCTGGGACAACTGTTTCAATGGCATCACAACATTCTTCTCCTATCGGTACCGCTTTCGGTGGTAAACAAGTTGCGTTAAACAAGCCTATCCTAATAAATCAAATTAGAAGCCAACCAACAGTTGACGCTGCTTCAAAAGCCAAAGCTACATCGCAACAAATTCTGAAACAACAAAATACTGTATACCCACAGCTTCAGCAGAGGCAAGCTCAAAATTTTATAATCCCGATAAGCATGGCAAGTTCTGTCTCAAATTCTGGAATCGTTGAAAATCAAAGTGTTGTACCTAAAGAAAGCAATGTGCGAACAATGCCAGTAGCCTCATCTATTTCTAGTGATGGAACGACTACAATATATATGGACAATTCGCAATTGGTTTCTAATGTGGGAAATTTATCTCAAGAACAAGGACAACAAAAGCAAACACAAGCCAAAAACATTATACGCTTAGTGCCTAGCATCGCTAGTACAGGCGTAAAAACGATTTTGCAAACTTCAACAGGCGGGTCGATGATTACTTCTCGGAAACCACCTGTTCATGTTATAGGACAACGGGTTGTGTCTGCGGGTAGCGGCACAGGAACAGTGCGTGCACAAGTTCAACAGGCAAAAACAATTGGCAATCTATCGCTTATGAGCAGTAGTGGTGGTACACAAACTTGTGGCATTTCAACGGTGGTATCAGCCCCAAGTGGGTCAACTCTCATAAAAATGTCTCCGCACACTTTTGCCACTTTACAACAAAAGCAAGGACAGCATATTGTTGTGAAGCAATCACCCTCCTCTTCTCCGGCTACATCTCAACAACAGCGTATAATTGAAAAGACGACATTATTAAGTATAAAGATAGTTTTCATAGTTTTAAACATTTTAATAATTTTTTTTTTTTTTTAGAAAATAATTCCATTGTCTCTCAAACGGGTGGTATAGCGGCACAAACTGTTGGAAAAAAGGTGTTTATGCAGCATCCGCCCAGCACTGCTGTCCAAAAAGCGATTGTAAGTGCAGCGTCATCTGTGGGCTCACAGACTGCCACTACGCCAATAACGACGTTAAATGACAAAGTACACACCATTAATGCAACTAATCTGACTTCTCAGCAGCAGCGCGTGCTCCTACAAAATATTAAGCAACAACAAAAACAAAATATTCAACTGAAAACATTACAAGTTGTGTCTGGTAGTCCAACAACGTCGCAGGCACAGTCACAAGTGCAGCAAGTAGTATCCCGAGCACAGACATTGACAATGTTGCCTTCGCTTGCCTCAGGCGCGGCTACAGCTGGGCAACAGCATAACAGTAAGCCTATAGCTGTTATGGTTTCTCAAACTCAAGGCCTTTCAAGAGTATTGAAGGCAGGTTCTACGAATACACAATCCCAGTCGCAACAGCAAATGATCACAATAGCTAACAATGACTCCCCTACAGCTGAAACTGCAGGTGGTACTCGCATTTTGACAACATCCAGTGGGCAAATTATTTCATTGGAAAGCTTACTACAAAAACAAAGTGGCAGTGGTTTATTAAAAGTGAACCCAAGTAGTAGTGCCGGCACTATTGTTAAAAACCTTCAAACCACCAACATACTGTCACAACAACAACAACCACAACTTATGACATCAACAGGGAACGCCACCACTTATACCGTTGTATCACAGCCAAAGAGCTCAAACACACATCGGGTGACGACAGCTCAATCATCCGAAAGCTTGAATGTGGTAAGTGGAGGGGCTGGTCGTATTTTAGTTTCTCCTGGAGGGCAGTTGACGACACCACAAATTGCGAGAGTTCTAGGCAAAGCGGGTGTAGCAACAAATTCGTTAGCCTCTTCCAGCGTAGGAGGCAATAATATACGGGTGATAAAAAATGCAAGCAGCGTCGGCAGTGCTGGAAATAGCTTTAATATTGCAAACTTCCAAGGAAAACAGGTGGTATTTGCCACAAAGCCAACAACCACAGTATCCAAAAATTTAGGCAACGTTCAAAGCCATCAAATTCATACTGCCGGAATGGTAATTGGCGGTCAAGCTTTAAAATTGCAGCGAGTGAGTTCATTATTGTTACTTTTTTTTATGCTTTATGATAATATCCATTATATAAAAAATAGGCTCAACAGCAAAACAAGGTAGCCAATTCTTCATCTGCAAGCGTGGTGGCTTCACCTTCTGGAACTCAAATGCAAACGGTAATAATGGGAAATCAAATTTTGCGTGTTCAGCAAATGCCAACCACAGTTAAAACGACTGGGTCAAATGGTTCTTCCATGCAACAACGCGTAGGAACTGCATCAGTTGGAAACCTGGTTTCGGGTACCAATACATCGGGTAGTTTGATTGTGAATAATAGCAGCGAAGCGGGAACCAGTGCGACGACAATGAACTTACCGAAGACTGTAGTGCTTGGCACGAGCGGGCAAACAATACGTTTGCAACCGTCACAGCAATCGGTGCAAGCAACACACCACCAAGCGACATCAGCACAAATGCAGACGCAGCCACAAGCACAGGTGGTCACGGTAAAAAACACACCACCACAGGCAAGCTAGTTAAAATAACATAATTCCAAAATATAACAATCAATATTTAAAAAACAGGGTATGAAGACATCCAATGTCGGTCGGGTAGTTTTGGCTGTGCAAGGTGGTGGACAAATATTTCTTTCACCAAATTTTCAGGGCAATACCTTGAACTTGAAATCATTGCAAAATATGAAAGTGGTTTCCTTAACATCACGTGCGGCTGTAAATACGTCAAATCAGGCCAAGGAAAAACCGACAGGAATACAACCAAGTAGTGGTAGCAGCAACTCTTAAAAGAGTACTAATTTTAGTTAATTTGTTTTATAATGGAATGTGAAAAATGAAGAAAGAACCGTTACAAAAAAACATTTTTATGTGCAAGACGTTATTATACACTTAAGAAATCATTAAATAGTAATTGACTCAATAGCTAAAAAAACATATAATGTAAAAGCGATTGATTTTGAGTATGAATTACTTTTTTGAAAAGTGAAATACTACTAATGAATACATAATACTAAAAGGTAGTGCTAAACAAAGTTTTGTTTTGAAAACTCATTAATTCACTTAACAAAGGAAGGGTTGAATTGATTTATTAATTATTATCCTAAATGTATAAATATATGAAATTTTAATATCGTCTAGGCACGCCGTAGGCTGACATGTTACTAAGCATACCAGCAGCGCCAGGTCGATTTTGGCCTTGTGATATATTTAAACCGCTAGGTCCGGATATTCCAGGTATTCCAGCCCCAGCGGCCACAGATGAATCACCAATAGCACCAATTGAGCTTCCTATTCCTCCCATGGGCCTATTATGCGCTCCTTGGTTCGCTTGTATGTCTGACAAACAAGCTTTCCACTCCTCTAGTCGACTATAATGCTTATTAAGCAGTTGCTCTTTACGTGCAATCTCATTGCGCAAGTCTTGATTTTCATCCTTTATCAACATATCTGGCTTTAAAGTTGACACAAGAAAGCGTTTTTGGAGGAAAAACGCTTCCATCTGACGGGCGACATCGATAAACCGGTTTGTTGTCTTTTGAACTTCCAATTCGATTTCATCCTTATTAGTCCCGGTGTTGGGTTCCTGCTTGGTTAGTGACAGGAGACACGCTTGGAACGCCTCTTCGAACTCATCCATGAGATTACCACTTTCACTGTTGGAAGACGCCATAAATAAGTTGATAAACAACAAATTAAACTAAGCTGAAATTTGGTATAATTGTTCACTGAATAACTTCTAAGCATTTGACAGCGAATGTCAAACAAGCCACGCAGTGAGCTGCCAGACCCAAAATATAGATCCCAATTTTATTAAACGCTCTTTCTTGTACAGCTTGATTCAGATTGGGTTATTTGTGACAAAGAACGTATATCAGTATTCATATACGTTCTTTGGTGTAAGTCAGACGAGTTTATAGAAGGTGATGTTGTCACATCATATCCATTCAACAAATTACACAAACAAACTACAAGAGAAATAGGTTTTGACCTTACGACCTTTTTATTACACTTACTACACCAACAAAATACATTGAACGTATTTCTTATTTGACTTTTCGAAACTACGATTACACAAACAAAATACATAGGCTATTTGTTTTTGCATACAAAGGGTGGTAGAAAATTTCTCTTCGTACGCGGCTTCAGTGTTTCGGATTTTTAGTGCTACCTTCTTATCTTAAAAAAATCTACCATTTTTAAATAAAGCAAACAGGATATTTTTTTTTATATATATTTTTTTTTAAATAATTATAATAATTAAGTTAAAAGTCGTTTCGGTCTGAGAAACATTGCAAACACTTTGAAACTCAGTCTAACATCTAAAAATATTGATATTAGTCAATTAGTTAGTTCAGCAGCTTGCTCGATCATGGGACCCTGCCCTCTTGATGATACCCATGTTAGTTTTATGAAGAAGATTCCTTTCATCATTCCACATGACCAAACATGTTTTACGAAGTTCAGGAGATTATTGATGCCTAGAGATACCAGCTATGCTAAGAAATCGAAGAAGATATATCTGAGAAATCGATAACAGACCGGAGAGTTTACCGGCGTTATGACTACTAATCCGGTCAGCTCATCGATTCCGCAGGTCCCTGGGTGGCCCTATAGCCAAGGACAAAAACTACGGACGTTTGGCATATAGTTGAGAAAACCTTTAAGCACAAGTATCGAAAACAATTAAAACTCTTTTAATTTTTTTTATTTATTTTTTTTATAATATTTATGTACCATTCTTACTATTTTATTAGATCCATATGAGTATTCAATATTATATTGTAGCATCTGCCTAGAAGATAGCCCTAAAAACAATTAAAAAATCGCCTTGTTGAAAATTATATGAGCGGCAAGATCAAACATTTCTAAGTAAACATGTTTCTCTGATTTATATATACTCAGAAGAGAAAGAACAACAAAATAAATGTGCATATGTGTTAGTGCTGCCCGAAATCGTGTGAGTGGATTAGTGAACCCAACAGCCCGTTCTTGCAGGGTAGCTATCTGACTTTAAACGTATTTCATCTTTTTCGTGCTACCCTCTTCTGCCAGGGGGTGCCGACTGTCGAGCGAGCACGAAGTTTTCAGTAAAACAACACTCTTTACAGGTGTTATACGGTGCACATTCCTTTCAAAATCTCACAATTACTCTAAAATTCATTTAAGTCGATTGAATTTCCAAACGCCTTTGAATTCAATCTAACCGCTAAATATATTGAAATTTGAAAATCTAGTCAGTTAGTTAGGTTAACAGGTTACTCTATCAGTGGAACTTGATCTCATGCTAATACCTAAGTTAGTTTTGTGAAGAAGACTCCTCTCATTTTTCCAGATAAACAAAGTATCCGGTTAATACGCCGGTTGTTATACTTATTGTGTCATGTTTAGAAGGAATAAAAACTTAGTTCTGTTTACTTCGATCAAATGCACGCGGTTTTACTCTGTCATCTGCTTCTGGTAAAGGCTAGTCTTAATACTCAGTCGAAGTAAGAGGTATGCCTACATCATGTGCAGAGCTTATCAGGATTACCAGATAGGCCAACCACTGTGCTTTTGCATATAGTCGAGAGAACGTAAAGGGTGATTTTTTAGCTATTATCGTTTTGGCAACACTGGTTTAAACAGCTGACGCAGTTTCGTTTGGTCTATAATTTAACAATGAATCGTCTCATTTTTGGCTTAATGGGTGCGTAAATAAGAAGAATTGTCGAATGTGGAGTGAAGATCAGCCGGAAGCATTGCAAGAGCTAACAATGCATCCAGAAATATTCACAGTTTGGCTCAGTTTGCATCATTGGACCGTACCTCTTCAAACATGATGCGAATCGTAACGTAACTGTGAATGGTGAGCGCTACCGTGAGATGATATCAAAATTTTGTATGCCCAAAATGTGAGAGCTTGACTTGAATGACTCAAATAAAGATTTCATGAATTTTTTTGAATTCTATGTGTTTTTTTATTTTTGAAGAACTTTGCTATAGCTCTTAAAAAATCACCCTATATAGATCTTAGTTTCGCAAAGAAGTAAAAATTTACAACTCTTTTCATTTTATTTATAACAAAAAGCATCTAGTTAATTCTTTTCCTACTTCTGCCACCTAAGAAGAACTGCTTGAAACAAATATTTTAATAGATCCATACTTGTATTCAATATTATAGCATCTGCTTATAAGATAACCCCAAAAATAAATAAAAGATTCTCTATTTGAATATTTTACAAGGGCCAAGATTAAACATTTTTGAGTGAACACGTTTAATGTCAAAAACTTCGTAGTGAAACTACCTTATAGAATTTTTGTATCATGGTAAATCGGAGCGGCTCGGTGCGCTCGGTGCGCTCGGTAAAACGGCTCAAAATTTCAATGAAATCGATGTCGGACATGCACAAACAGGTCTCATTGTTCCTTATTCTAAAAGGTTTAAGGAATATTTTTAGCCAATAAAAAAAATTCAATTTTTAACGCATCTACTGTGGTCTTACCTCCTAACTACCTCTATGAAATACCACTGGGCTCAGTGTGGTACCCCTTGTCAGCAGTTCTAAGTTAGCTGCGACTCTGTTTGTATTCTAAAATACATGAATATGAACGGTTTCCATTTAATTGATCTTAGTGTTTTTAATTTTATTATTTTGTAATTCTTTTTTTGGTTGTCACAATAAAATTATACACGACAGCATAGTAATTGTGTAAAAAATAAATTAATTAAATATACACAAACAACATTGATGGTTATCTGAGGCAAAGTTGCCAAATTAATTAGCTACGCACTGATATTCTTAGCGCAAAAATTTTCCGAAATAGTAATTTCTTCTTTGGCTTTTGCAACAAGTCAACTTATCGTAGGAGTAATTTCGATTTTCACGTGCAATTTATCGTTTGCCATTATGTATTTTATTCCATATTAGATTTTATAATAAAACTATGTACACCTTTGGAGAACGTGTACTATGCCCCCAGGTATAATGAAATACTTACATATGTACATATGATGTATGCATAATTTCGCGGGCATAATTTCTAGTTATTGTACAGTTGCATGTATGCAGTATTTTCGAATACATACGTAATTTTGAATACGTACATACGAGTATATATCTATTCATGTATGGATATATACTTTATGAGTAAACAAGTATACTCGTATTTATATATAAAAATACATAGCTAATTAGCTCATTTTATTGTGGACCAATGCTTTTCTGCCGTCATTATTTAGTTGTTGTTGTTGATGGTGTTATTTAGCTGAATTGTCTTTATTTTGCATGTGCTCGATGCCTGTCGAATTAAAAACAGGTTCAGAAATTAAATTATATAATATATATGAAAAAACAGTTAAGCACATGAAAACAAAAAAAAGTAAATATACGAGTAATAATTTAATGACGTAAAATATTAGATAAGTATGCACATACTAAAGTATATATATACATATGCAAATAGTAAAAAAAATTTATTCTAATATATGCCATATAAGTCTAAGTTGATATTGGCACATTAATATCCTAACACTGAGATTTGTTGTGAGCATCTTCTGTGGGTAATTTAAGAGCAGGATGTTACCAGACCGACAACGAAAATTTAAAAAAAAAAATTGATTTAAAAAATTATACTTACATTTCTTAAATTTATACTGCATCAGGAAATAAAAATCTGTAAATCTATCTAAATCCTCGAGCTAATACCTTGTTAGATACCGATAGGAATATTCCGTCAAATCGAGACACGGAGAACTAAATTCGTTGACTAATTGTATTAGGTCTTAGGTTCGCATAAATTTAATTCGTTACAATTACGGAACATGATTATGTAATTTCGACGACGAAAAAAGTCGGATTTCAGAACAACTCCGCCAAATTAAAGGTAAGAAATGACAATAATAACAACATCGTAACATATTCTGTCCAAGCAAATCTATTTTTCAAGAAGGGGAAAAAAACTAATACCGTATTAATAACTCAAACTTTCAAATCTCTTGAAGGGTAGTATATTTCAATTACGGCCATTCGATAAATGGACAAAATGTATATACATATAAGCATGTACATATAAATCTGCGATGTGGAGTATGCTATGCTTGTCAGAGATCAATCAATGTTCTCGATTATTAATTTTTCTTTCTTTTTTTTTAAGATAAGGACGTAAACGGCTAATGCTTTAATTTTAATATACAAAAATCAGAAGATTCTGAAAATCCAAATTCATATTAATAATATTGTATTAAATACCAGCTGATTTAACAAAGGCGCTTTGCGCTCAAATTGGAAAGGAAACATAAAAAGGGATACTAAGTTTTTTGTTTTGCAAAATACAATGACTTATTTATGGGCTTAAAAAAAGCTTAACACTCTTCTTTAAAATTTTTAAACAATTTTATTGCACTCTTATCTGCCTTTAGAAGAGAATAATTTAATTAATGCAAATATAGTCTATGTAGCCTGTTCGCCCTATATATATATATAAATATAAATAAATTTAATTACATTTCTATGTTTTAGTTTATATAATTCTATATTTATTTTGTAATAATTTAAAAAAATAATAAGCCTTAATTTAATTTAGGAGGCATCTCTGAAGGACAAAGTTATGACAACGTGGTTTATGGACAATCAAATATTCGAAATATTTTGCTTGCGTTTTGCAACTTACGTATTAGTACATATATATTTGCACAAGCTTAAAGCGTAAGCGATCGTTGATGATCCAGATACTTTCAAACATATGAACAAACATATAAAAAGTATAACCACATGACTCGTCTAGCGTGTAACGAATTTATAATACCTTCGTATGTGCACATTGCATATACATATGTACATTGTACATATACTTGTATGTATATGCACATATTTAAGTGTTTTCGCCGTTTGCATCTTCCAATTTACATAGATTAAATTTTCTTTCACACACACAATCTTCTATATATTTTACTTATATAAATGATTTTCTCGGCTTACATACATATGCATAAGCTAAAAGAGAATATTGAAAAAATATTTCAATAAATATTATACGTGAAAAACATTATTTCTAACATGAATATATGATAATACATTGTGGATAAATGTAACTTGTAAAAATATTTTCGGGCTGGTACGTAATACGAACTCTTAATTATGACCTTGAACCAGCTCAGAAACGTCAAAAGATATTTTTGTTCTAACAACGAAAATCAAAACACCAACAATATTGCACTTTATTATACAAAATTAATATGCGAAATAATGATATGCATTCCTAAATTTTCTGAAAATCCTCTTTAAAAGGTTTAATGTTATAAAAACTATTTTTGAAATAACTTTTAATGTTATACTCGTCCATTTTATACAAACGCTGCTTATCTAAGGTGTGTGGTGTTCTTTTTTCGTTTGGTTTTGTAAATTGCGCAAATTTCGGTTCGGTCAATGGGTCCAAGCCAAAAGAAATCTTATTTAATTTTCTACGCAGATAAACCCTATACGAAGGATGCCTTGGAAGAGAATAAAGAGCGCGTTATTGCTGGCATACGGCCCCGATTGCTGCAAAAAGTGGTCAAAAATTGGACCGAAATCATTTATAAAATATAATGACGAATCTTTATCTTTATAATAAATCTAATTTCTTTGCCATAGCATTAAACTATATATGTTTTGTTTCTTCTTAAAAAACACTCTATTATCTTTCCGACTTTTACACCTTTAACGGCGCATATATAATATGTATATACATACATATCCATACAATCTGGAATAAATTCAAAAACATTAGTTTGATGCTGTTATTTTATTAAAAATATTTTATTATTAATTTTTCCGTTTATTATTAAATTAGTTATAAATAAAAAATGAAAACTTAAGGCTATAAAAACAAAATATTTTCATACAACAAACATATATGTATAACAAATTCAGTATTTAATCATATGTACTTGAACATACAAAAGTAAATACGTATACATACATACATGCATATATATTAGGATAATCAATATTGGTGTGAGTAAAATTAGGTGTGTTTTTTGGGGCATGTGCGTATGCATGTATGTATTTTTTGTCACAGCTAGCTTAAATAAAGGACATACGGTTATACATATACATACACATATCTTGTATATTATATACTTGTGTATATACGCAATCGAATCTTATTTAATGCTGCTTAAATGACTTGTGCTTCGTTGATAGCCGTGTGAGGGTACGGACCGTGGCGCACGTCCGAATGGAGAAAGTGCTCCGTGCTGGTGTGTGTAATCTCATAATAAAGGATAACATCTGTTTATGAATCTTTTACTTAATTCGTTTTGCAGGTACAATTTGGGAATTAATATTTTACAAAGGTTTAAATGTGGATAAAAATGTGCGTGCGGGTTAATTTACGGTTACTCTCTTAAACTAATTAGCCTTTATTATGGTCGCGTTGATCGGTGCACAAATGTTTGGATAACTGTTGTAGAAATGAAAAAGAAATACAAAGATCAAAGTGTTGTGTTAATAAGAGTTCTGTAAAATGGAAATAATAAAATGCTTTGGGTGTTTCCTGGTGGCAAAAGGAAATCTAAAATTTTTTTTTTAATGGTAATAGCTAATATGTATGTAAATATATGCGTAAGTGGTTCAAAAAAAAAAAAAAGATCTACGTCATGACTGATCCAAAGCTATAGCAGTCCAGTTTAAATTCCAGTCATCATTAATTAGCGAGCTGTTAATACCACGCTGCGTATACGTAATCTTAACTGCTGTTACCAGTAACAGCTGCTGTAAAATTTGCCAAGCTTTTCAAGATAGATTTGTAAGCTGGATTCATAATTGTCACTCCATAACTGCTGAAGCGATTCTCTTTCGTATATGAGGTGCGTGTTACTCAAAAGGCTTAACATTCCCTGTCCCGGCTGAGTATCAAGAAAACAACTTTCACAATTTATGATTTAACCAGAGCAAATTCAGAGCAAGAGATTTGTTCTTAAGATATGTAGTTTCTTATTGAATTAGTTGTTCGAATGATTATTTTTCTTTCGTATATACTTAGAAACTCTTTGCATACATATATACATACATTTCATTTTCCCACTTATTACGTTGCTTTCAACACAATATTAAATGGTATAGAACGATTTCAAATAGTTCAATGTCAAAACAATGAAACCTTTCTGTTTGCCGTGTATATATTTGTATGTATACACGTACATATATAATATTTATAAACGCATATGTGTATGTATGTACATGCTTACAAACGTCCACAATAGTTAATTCCAATTATTAAATGCGTACATATGTAAATAAATTTAGGAAATCAAATTGAAATTGTTGAGTCCAAGTAATGCACATTTAAACAAAAAAGAAGCGCTGTCTTCGGCTATACCGAATAAATTTATACCTTTCATGAACTCATCAAATTCATTGCCAAATTCAAAATTAAATTTTGATAATTTTCTGGGTTAATACTTTCTTCAACTAATACTAGAGAATACCAAATTACACTTTTTATGTGCTTTTGTAACTGTTTTTTTTTTTTTACCCAAAACCGAAAATCCGGAGAAGTACGTTGTATATCATAAACTTCCGAATTCCATTATTTTCGGGGAGTTACGAATTCCATTTTCATGCTCTAGATGCTTTTTTGACAGAGTTTAACATCTGAGTGAATCGATATATGGAGGCAATGCGAAATTGTTTTCGGATTTCGATTATTTTAGGAGATAATGTTCATTTGTATACACGCTTTCAAATATTTTTTTAACGTTTTTTTTTCAAAAATTCATAACTGAACAAATCACTGCTAATATGTAATTCGTTAAGTATGTGCAGAATATCAAACTAATGACGTAAAATTCCAAATCTAAAAAAATCAGTTGTAAGTTAGAGTCTGGCCAATTTGGCCGATTCCGACAAATGATTGGTTAAATGTACCAGGGTATCTTCTTACCAAGTTTGGTTGAAATATTTCAAAAGCTGAGGAACAAGTTTGTGAACAAATAGACCGACATACATGGCTCCATAAATTCAACTCGTCATTCCTCTCCCCTTGGTACTTACATACTTCGGACCTAAGTAACAAAGTTCCATTTCATGTACGTGAAAGGTATAAAATTATATACGAGTACATATAAACACAAATTCGCATTTGGCCAATCCAGTTGGCCGAAATATCTTAAATAAAAGCAACTTTTAGTTTTTCTCTTATTTGGTCGTTAGGCTATTTTAGCTATTAATCGTTTACAATGTATACATAGTTGCACAATCATTTATGTACGAGTGTGTGCATTCACTTATATATTATATATGAAGTATATATCTGATATATGTATGTAGCCGTGTATACAAGTAAACATAAATTCAACACCAAAAATTATAAACAAATTAAAATTCATTTGAAAATCTTCACTCAAATTTAACGAGAAGAGGAAATTAAGACTAACACATGTACTAACTAACTATTTTCATTTTATACATGCGTACATACACGTACATGCATGTATTTTTTGCTGATATAAGCTAAATGAAGAATTCGTTTTTGAAGATGGGAAAGATTGCTTTAAAAATTATTGCAATGGATTCTTTAAAAATGCTCGGTTATCTTTTGTATGAAATGCTAATATAAACGACAAGTTCCAGCTAAGATTAGAATCATGACATAATAAGGGCACCTACTTTTACATTTCTACGTATGTATGTGCTATATGTGTACGTGTATGTATATTAGAGCGGGTCAGTTTATTTCGCAAATAATAGTGTAACAAAGACGTATTATACCGACAATATTAAGAGATTTCGGCAAAGAAACCGTAGGCCTTAAATGAATTTCAGGTGCCGACTTTTTCAAAAATCTCAAAATGTTTTTTCACCGGAATTACAATAAAAATAAAATTAAGTTAAATAAAAAATTAAGTTACATTTTCTAAATGCGGCCGCCTCTCGCCAGGGAATGTCAACCCCTTCGAATGTACAAGTATTTCCGCCATGAAAAAATGCTTCTCATAAAAAACCTTCGACGGCAAAACCACAAATTGGAGGAGGAGCTCGGCCAAACATCGCTTCAGCGGTTACAAAGCGCCAATTATACAGTGATTAAAGTTTCCCGAAATTGTATAATAAAAGCAAAAACAAACTTCTACGAAGAAATGCGATTCTTTTTTCTCCTTTTTTTTGTCCTGTGCAAGTGCAAATTATTTACTTATGTCCTCATATGCGTAAATATTAAAACAAATTAGAATATAAATTCGTTTCCCGTTAGTAATGATTCTAATCTGGGACCAGCTACCGGTGGCAGCAGCATTTATTGTGAATTTAACCTTCTGCCCGTAAGTCCCGAAACTGGTGCTAAAGATTGGATTTTCTTTAAGGTACAAACACACATGTCTCATGCAATTCTATTATATTGGTGCAGAGAGAAAAATAGAAGGAAAGAATAAAAATACGAGCATAGAAACTAAAATGTGCAATCAAATTGGGCAATAGAGCTGTTGTCGGAAGTTTTTCTTAAAATTATGATTTCTATAAAAATATTAAAATTCTTAAGGGTGATAAAAATTACAAGTATTTAGACATCAGATATTGCTTATTGTCGGAAAACATAAAAAATAATTTATTTAGAAAGCAGCTGGCCGGGCCATAACTTCACCGTCATATTATGCAATTGAATAATTACTGATTTTAGATATTCACTGCGCATAAAAGCTATTCAATGGGAGTGCCATGAATGACAACGACGAACACCCATATCGAGAATCAGTAGCATGATATATTACATACATACATACATACATACATACATATGTACATATGTACATATGTACATACTTGCATGCTACTAACAAATTAATAATCTAAATATTATATGTAAACAGGTGAGCCCAGATTCGCCTAAAGCAGAAAGGAAACTTTTTTCTTACGTTGTCCGTTGTCCAAATGCTTCCCTTGCTTCGTACGCGTCCAATCTCAGAGTACAAAATTACGTTCTTTCTCCGTTGGGAGTGTTTTATTAACGTACGATACGATGGCCGAGGCTGGTTGATGGATATCAAAATCGCAAAATACATGACATTGATTATCCTTCGATTTAGGCGAATTCCTCGCAACAAAGGCAAATATGGTCTTCTTCACTTCAGCAGTAGCTGCGGTATTCTTGATATTACCATCATCATCGGTTAATTGGATTGTCCAGAGACGATGATCTGGATCTATGGCACAAAATGAGATGCTGTCGCCGGGATAATGTTTTCGGAAGAACTTCTTTCGGGTATTGTCGGTAAGTGTGATTCCCTGCTGTGTGACTTTGAAGTGCACCTCTGTTGGTGTAGGTAGCGGATTGTGAGTGTATAATTGTCGTATGGATTTTCGTATAGCTTCTTCTCCCGTTAGAGATTCTGTCTCGCATGAGTACAACCAAAGCACATTACAAGCGGCACCTTGCGTTAGCAATTGCTTTTGCGCAGTTGTCGGCTCAATCAACGATGGTACTAGATCGTGTTCGGGTATACGTAATAAACATGGCAAGGCTAATTTGTTAATGGAATGCTCATAAATGAGTGCTGAAAGCGACGTAAAGACTGGTTCATTTGCGCAACCCTTCAAACGAACGCCGTGTTTGGTCGGCTCTATAAGGAAATGGCGTACTAAATCATCTGGCTGACCGGTGAGTTCGCTATTCGGGGGTGGTTGATGCACACGCAGAACTAACCCATAGTTGTCCTTGTAAGTAGTCGAATTGCGTACAATAAATGTACCTGGCTCGGCGTATAGTAGTAATTGAACAACTTCTTCGCGTGACAAATTCGGTTTGTACCAGTATTTCGATGAGTCTTTGGCAAATTTGACCAGATGTGCAGCAACCTCCTGCGGTTCGCTATTTACCAATGACATGTTGGAGTCGAGACGTGGACGGACACTCGTCCGATAAATGGTCTCCGAGGAGTAGTTGTGCAAGTCGATCATTGATTTTCCTGTCGGCAAGTCCGGACGCTGCAACACCGGGCTATGTGAATAACCCATGGGGCTGTTTTGGCCATTGTATGCACCATGTGGCGTGCGTGGTGTAACGGGAAACGCTGGGGTTTCGGGGCGTGCGGTATGGGATGACGAAGGTGAAATCTTACCAGACACAACCGAATTCGTATTCGCAGTCACCGTCAATGCTGAGCCAATTGGCAAAGACAATGATGACTGCAGTTGGTGATCCATAGTTGACAATTCTGGTTCGGTTGTATTGCGGCTGTGATATGTGCTGGCTGTTGTGTTAACTTGCTTAGTCGTCGTGGCATAAATGGGCGATGACAAGTCGTTGCGGCTGCGTGCCACTACAGCAGCTCCCAATGAGCTACGATTATTTGTTGTAACATTGTCGTTGTTGCCGTCAAGTCCATAACCAGCCGCATTTCCATTTCCATATGTGGAGTACTCTGGTCGACGTTGTTGCTGTGGTTGCATCGGGGACGGTGATAGCGACTGTTGCCTTTGCGATGGTTGCACCCCACGCCTCTCTATCGTACTGTAAAGCGATTCAAATTCATGTTTCTGCTGTTGTGGTTGCGGTGGTTGATGTTGCTGACCCTGTATTCGTGATTGGTGTTGAGTAGTTGCGTGCGCGTTACCCGCTTCTCGATAGGCATTAGAGGAGCTAATTGTGTGATAATTACGTTCCACATACGACGAATTAATAGTTGGCGTAGCGACCTCACGCTCAATTGGAATATCGCGAGTGCGATACTGTTGCATTTGTTGTAGCGACGAGCGATCAATGGTGTGGGCGCGGCGTGGTGGAGGCGGCGCATCATCCAAATTCAAATGGAATTCGAAATCATAGTTGAACTTTTGAGGTTTTGGTGAACTGCCAAAGCTACCGCCGTTGATACCGTTCGACGTTGGTGTTGACCCGACCGATCGGTAATGTTCGCGTAAAACCTTTTCCCGACGTTCTCTTAAAAGTTCCTCAAAATCGTCTCGAGGTTGCGTTTTGCGCACATTGATGCTGCCATCGATGGTATCGCCAATATCAAAATTATTGCCATTACTACTGTTGTAAATATAGTTGTTGTTGTTGGTGTTATTGACATATCTCATGGTATTACCATAGCCATAGTTACTGCTGTTGCCGCTGATCTTGCCATTTAAAGTATTGCCGCGGTTGCTGCCGCCGCCGCCGCCGCCACCGACGGGAACTCCAAAATTGTTGTCATTGTCGCTGCCATATTTGTAATGGTATGTGTTGGCGATTGTATTGGTGTTGGTGGAGCCATTGCGCGTAGGTGATCGGCTATTGAGCGTTTTGCGCACTAATATCGGGCTTGTCAGACGTGGTTGTGCTTTGATCGTATTCATTGCATTCGTACTACTTCCCGATGCTGATGATTTTGCAGTTGTTGCTGTTGTTGTCGATTTTAATGTAGCTGTTAATCCGTTGTTGTTTGCATTGTTGTAATTACTGCCATAATAATGATCAGTATAATTCACATCCGCCTTTAACGGTGCTGGACCCGAACCGTAACCGAAATCGAGAACACCACCAGAACTAGCACCAACACCATGATGATTGCGATGGAGTCCGCCTAGTCCAGCATTGACTCCATTAGTACTGCGCAATGGTGTCGATGCTTTATTTATTTGACCGTAACTAAATGGCAACGAATTTTCACGCGCGTGATATGGTATGGCACTACTGTTATTATTGTTACTGTTGCTATAGCTGTGGCTATTCCCTCTGCCTTCCTCACCGCTATCCGACACGACGGAGAAATCATCATAAAGCGACCGCATAGTTCGCGAATATTCACAAGACTGATTTGCTGTGGCGCAGTTGTCTGCTCTGGTGTTGGCATCTAGACGCTAGCAGTTAGCATACAGACAACAAATATCTACAGACGCACATTCACAGTCGAATGCATGTAAGTATATATGTGCGCACTTTGTATATGATGATTTCGCCTGCTTATGACGCCAACCCACTCACAGACACGAAATACCTTAACTTAGACTGTTTGCATGTCAGTGTGTGTGTACGATTGTCTTTCAGCTTCGTTCCGACTGGCCGGCTGTTTGTTAATTTGTAGGCACTTATTGCTACACTGTATAAAAATTGAACAGATACTTAAAAAAAAATGCGCCTGCAGCTGCTGCGATAGGAATAAGCTTTATTGTAAATATAAAACCCCCACAACAAATAGTGGCTGAATATACGAAAATAAATTTTTTTCAAGCGGTCCGACTTCATTTATGTGTATCAACTGGAATTTAATGGCGTTTTGTCGGAAGGTTACTGAGTTCGTGGCCAAGTCATGACGGTTATGTCTAGATTTCATGAAGGTCAACATACACGTCACGATAGGTTAATTGATTATTCGGGACCGTCATGAAAAAAAGTCCGTTGTATGAGACATAAAGTGAGCGTAACGAATTTCGTCTCAGTCCTTCGAGAGGCTTGAGCTTTTGACCATTTGCATTCGGCGATAATGTTTGTTCAAGAGTGTTTTTGACTTGAAGTATGCTCGCTTTGTTTGCCTCAGTTTCAATAAAAAGTAATTTTTTTTTACTCATGTACATATAGTATCCTATGCATGACTGATGACTGATGCAAAACAAATTTGGTATGTTTGCTCGAAAAATGCTCCGTTCGAAAAGTTATAATATATTTTCTATACTGGGCACTTCTACTAGCGGGCACTACAGCGCATGCTTTCAAAGCGTGAGTGTCTTCTTCCAATCGAGCGAAGAGAATTAGCCAGCGCTCAGGCTTCTAAGCCGTTAAGTAGAACGTGAAACAAAAGCGAGTTAAAGTAAATTTTTTTTTTAATTATTTAGTGTTTTTCTGAGTGTACCAAATTTTTAGCATAAGTACATACATATGTACGTACATATGTAAACCGCAATCATCATGACTAGAAACTCGACTTTCCATGCTCGATCTATACTATGTGACGACATCGATATATATTCCATATAAAAACATGTAAGTACATACATAAATGTAAACGTGAGTAAATGTTTATGTACACATACATATGTATAAGTGTATGTATGTGGTTGAATGTTGGCAATAAAAACAATCGGCTTACTCTCCCAACATTTTTGGCTCGGTGTACACAAACATATTTACATATGTACATTCATAAAAATATTTCTGTTTTCTTTGCGTTTAGCAATTATGAAGCTTATGAACGAGTAGGAGTACGAGGTACATACATATGTATATATACATATACAAATATGTATATAATTGCATACATATGTACATACACAACTTTAGAGCGGTTTCTTGAGAAGAGTCAGTCCGGGCAAAAAGGTGTAACGATTTTGCTGATATTCTTATTTTTTCCAATTTTCTTACTTAGTCAGAGTGATGTCATCTCTAAAACGCTCACAACCATAGCGGTCTACACATATTCATACATTCATACATGAACATAAGTAAATATGTGTGTACATACACATGTATGTATTCGTATGCTTGTATTTAGCTTGCTCTTGAATGGAGAGTGCACAGTGGAGCTCTCAGTCACACTTATGGCCCCACTCTCAATTCGCTACAATACAGGAATGCAGAGGCAGAGGTAGGAGGTTAAACAAATGAAGTGGTATAAGTGCTTAGACAATCGGTTGCGGTAGAATAGCTCATCTGGAATATTTCAATGGCCTGGCATACGCGGTTGACGATTCCATTCTGTAAAATCCCTATCGATACCGGGATCTCTCTGGCGGCTTTAAATCTATGAACTTGTTGTCTCTGCTGTGCGCTGTTGCACTTTACAATTAATTGAAAATATTACAGCTGCATGGAGTAGGTTTCATGGAAAGTGTCATACAAACACACGTGCAATATTTATTTCGAATACTTTTTTTATTACTCTTGCTCTTGCTCTCTGCTCGTGTCAGAACGTTTTATATAGAGGGCATATTTGCAGACATACATACATTTATATGTATATTTACACATATGTATGTATGAATGTAGATAGCGACGTATTTATGTATGCATAAACGAATGCAACTTTTGATATTTGAATGGCATATAAACATATCAGCATACCCATGCGTATTTATATGTACATACATATGTATATAGTACATTATTTACAAACATGCAAAGTTTGAGTAAAAGTCAACTAATATATTAATTTAATGAAGGCCTAATAGCGTTAAATTCTAGGTGATGCGCTCTACTCTTTATACATGCATACATACATATACACAATGCTCGTATGTATGTATGTACATACTAATTGGATATTTAAGAGCAGTGAAGTGTAAGAGTACCAAACACCGTAATCACACGTATAGCTAGCTATCTATCTACATACATATATGTATGTATGTATACACATGTACTTCATTGTGATAAATTTATCAAGCTGTGTATGTATGCGTGTGCGTCTTTCAGTGCTGTCAATTCGTAGGTGGTAAGCACAATCGCAGTTATTTGTCATGTTTTTAACATTTTTTAACCTGTTAACGACTTTAAATGCTTTCCGAAATCCATAAATGAACGGGGTATACATATGTATGTATGTATGTACATATATAATCATAGTACGTTTGGGTATACTGAAAGATTTGTATGTATGAATGTATGCAAATAATAATATTTAATATGTAGGTATGAAAACAGTAGGCTACCATTTAGTTTTACAAATTTGGTAAGTTGCGGAAATTTAGATTAACTTTTTATTTGTATTGATATCAATGTATTATATATTTTTTCGCTTCCGGTAATATCCAAAATTGACGGACTTGAAATTTTGCCAGACTTTTTTATGGTTCCTGGGAAGGTTTGTACGATAAAAAAAGTTTCGGGAAATGAGAGACTGATCAATTCGAACAATCTTCATTCATAGTTCGATTTGCCTAAACTCTTGAACGATATGCCTAAATGGAATAATTTTGCTTAATCTTAATTGTCCAGGGACCTCTAATACAGTTCGATTTGCTCAAAACATAAATAATACTTTTTTTACTGATCGATTGACAAAAATTAGTATGCATCGCAATGTTGTTCTGCGGCTTCGGGTTATAAGCTCTTCATATACTTTGAACTTGAATGTGAATAAGAATAGATCCGAATGGTGACTTCGGCTTACTTCGAGTTAGATAAATAATATAATAAAAAACTTAATGTTTTAAAAAGTCACAGTCGCTTGAATATCATAAATGTCCACCGGATGCCAACGTCATATAGATTTTGAGAGGTTTAAAACACCTGACTATAAAATTTTTTAAGTATTAGACATCTAAAGTTTTCGAAGGATTTTTACAGCAAAGTCCCTTATCTAAATAAATTGGTATATCTCAGTGAAAGGTAAAAAAAATCATTTTTTAATGGGATGAATGCACGTTGCAAACTGTATACATATATATTAACTATATAAATATATACATATATATTTATAAGAAACACAAATTGGAGGAAGAGCTCAGCCGAAAATCGCTTCAGCGGTTACAAAACGCCAATTATATATAAATATATATATATATATATATATATATATATACATAAAGGGTGATTTTTTAGCTATTATCTTTTTGGCAACACTAGCTTAAACAGCTGACGCACGTTTCCTGTTTTGTATCACTGTCAAACATCTTCAGTTTAGTCTATAAGTTAACCATGAATCGTCTCACAAACCAACAACGCTTGCACATTATTGAGTTTTACTATCAAGATGCTTGCTTTGGTAAAAAAAGTTCATCGCACGCTTCTTCCGCGCGCGCTTATAAGCTAATTTTTGCTTTAATGGGTGCGTAAATAAGAAGAATTGTCGATTGTGGAGAGAAGATCAGCCAGAAGCATTGCAAGAGCTACCAAAGCATCCAGTTTCACAGTTTGGTACGGTTTGTGGGCTGGAGGCATCAAACATGATGCGAATCGTAACGTAACTGTGAATGGTGAGCGCTATCGTGAGATGATATCAAACTTTTTTTGCCCAATGGTTTCAACAAGACGATTCCACAGGCCACACAGCACGCGAATCAATGGACTTATTGAGAGGCAAATTCGGGACCCGTTCAATTGGCCGCCTAGATCGTGCGATCCAACGCGTTTAGGCTATTTTTTGTGGGGCTATGTTAAATCTAATGTCTTTACAGACAAGTCCGCTTCGATTGGCGCATTGGAGGACAACATTGAAGCATTTTGGAAAGAGTATGCCAATATTTGACTAAGCGGATGAACCATTTGAGGCGCAGTCACGGTCAACATTTGCATGAAATAATTTTCAAATATTTAATTATTTGGACCGTACTATCGATTCAAATAAAGACGTCATGCATTTTTCTGAATTTTATGTGTTTTTTTTTAACTTTCCTATAGCTCTTAAAAAATCAGCCCTTATATATATAAATTTATGTGATAAATATTAGATTTAATCGTATTCGAAGCAAGTATTTTGTATGGATTGTGTGTAGATTTGGAATACACTACTGTCTGGAGAATATAGTATATTTCACTCTTGCAGAGGCTGATTCGTGTTGTTTGCTGGACTGTTGCTGACCCATATTATCAACCTTTCTTCGGTGGCTTGGGAGTAAGGAGTTCTCTTTGCCAAACTGGAGAAAGATTTGTTTGTGGAATAAAGTACTGTGCGAAGCTTATCTGTTCTAATAGTTCATTATGGTATTAGCGCCACCAAAAAGGTCATAGTTACATACGCACACTCATATAATGTTTAAAATGAGATTGTACAACCGACGTATGGTTTCCACAGCGTGATATGGTCTTATGCACAAACATACTTCGTACACACATTGCTTTCAATAAGTCTGTTTACATTTTCGCGAGATGCTATTAGTATGGAATTTCAGATACATACTTCTTTCTTTACGTCATTCTCATTTATTTGTTCAGATTTTGTGTTTGAATTTTTATATTGTTGATGAAATGAAAAAAGCAAAGACAAAAGTATCCATAAATATTTGCAGAAAGAGCAAAAATATACATACATACATCAGCTGCTTACAAGTACATACATATGTACATGTATATATACAAATATAAATCATTTCGGATGTCATAATTTTTGAATTGATAAAAGTTGAAAACTTCACATCTGATTGTAAGTTTGAAAATAATGAATCACTTCCTTAAGCGCAGGACTAAAGCGATTGCAAAGGATAAATGCATTCGAGTTATAAATGTGTTTTTACTCAAATGTAAAAATGAGAGATACTCTCGAATATTTCCAGCTGTTTTGCGAATAAGTAATAATGCAAAAACGTAAACAAACATATGGCATTTTTACAACCCTCAAGATACGTGTATTTGTAACAACCCTTCGACCAAGCCCTTCACAAAACGCAGGCGTTGATTTTTAACGTTCGTTTCACGTTCCACAAATACTCCACAAGGCAAACTTTCGGTGAGGAGTTCGTCTAAGTTGATACATACATATGCACATACTCGTATGTACATATGTTTTCACATATCAAGAAGATAGTATTGATTTTTCGTACATCAATTTGCGTGCGTTTCACGGTGATGCTGATTCATACTTTTCGCTAAATACGTGTTGGAAAATTTACAAATATTCGTGTTCATTTGAGGGTATCTTAATTCCATGAGATTGCTGATATTAAAAAGTGTGGAAAATTGTACATGCAATAAGTAGTTTACATAATAGAACGGACATAATCCCAAAGGGGCTGGAATTAACTGTTTTTATTATTTAACAACTTTCAATTTATCAAACATATTACATTTGAAAGTGAGATCTGCATTGACCTTTTCAAAGGATTCCAGTTAAGACTGCGAAAGTAGTCGAGATAATCAAGCAGGCGGTAGATTGGGAAGTTAGTGACTGATACCGTAAACAAAATGGCTTTGGACTTTGTGGCGACGTATAAAGTTCTTGTGCTTGGTGATTCGAATGTGGGTAAAACTTGCATTGTTCACAGATATTGTGACGAGAAATATTATGATACATACATCTCTACTATAGGTAATATACTAAACAATAAAAAACATTTATAAAACATTATAATCAAAATCGTGAAAAATCAAAAGATATTTGCTCTCCTAAAAAATTATTTACATACATATGTATTTGAGTATTTTAAAAAGCAAACTGAATTAATGTTTAATATATAATATATAATTGGCGCTTTGTAGCCGCTTAAGCCATTTTCGGTCGCACTCCTACAGTTTAAACTAAGCCGCCTCCAAACGGCTGATGGTTTTTAATGAGTATGAATTTTTGAATGTACTAGCATACATATTGGCATTAAGCGATGTGCTCCGGACAGTGAAGTTCTTAACAATCATAACATATACTAAGTTTTTCCTGCCTCCTAACGAGAAATATTGAAGGAGGAGCCAAAATCGCTTCATCGGTTACAAGGTGTACATTCCATATTTATGTAACGATCAAGGTACCGCTGTCTTTCCCTATAATAAAACCCTTTTAGCATTTGTGGACCATATGATCCATTTGAGTAATCCAATAGGTACTCTTCTGTAATGTACTGTTGGATCAATTCGTTAGCAGCTTGTTGTCGATGATTGCTCGTGCTTTAACGATCGCATGACGTAAGCCATGTGTATTATAACTGGAATATTCTGAACAATTTTGGTTAAATTCGGTGGAGCTGTTCTCATAAGATAACACCAAAAACTTGCAATAAATTTATATACCCCCTACGGGTTAGGGGCTCAATAATTTACCCGCGGTAAGGCATGCCTGTCGTAAGAGGCGACTAAAATCCACTAGTTCCTGCGACAGTCGGGTCTTTATACCAGAAAGACCCGGATTTTTATCCGGCCAAGGACTGTCACTTCCGCAACATTCCCCAAAAAGTACTTTGGGGAATAAATTTGCGGTTACAACAACAACAGCAACCATAATTTTATATATATAAGATATGCATACCTTGGTACCTTATTTAAGTACCAATTTGCACCAATCACTATGTTCGCTGATCGTACATATTTTTAAATAAATTTTTGTTTAAAAGGCTTGCATTGATACATACTTAGTACTCTACCTTTAAATTGTTTCCCAAATCATCAATAGTGTATGCATAAAAAAGAATACAACCTAATAAAAATTTTGGCTTTCATTTGCTCAGGCATCGATTTTAAACAGAAACTGATCAATTTGGATGGCGTGCCAATAAAGCTACAAATATGGGATACAGCTGGACAAGAGAGATTTCGAACTTTGACAACAGCTTATTATCGTGGCGCGATGGGCATTCTCTTGATGTACGATGTGACGAACCTGGAGAGCTACAATAATTTATCCTATTGGCTGCGAAATATTCAAGAGGTTTGAATTTGAAATTCCAATTTAGTTCAAGGGATTAACAATTTATTCTATCAAAATATGTAGAAAGGAGCAAGTGCAAATTTTGTGGAAGAATTAAAAAAAAATTTTATTATACCTTCCTTTAAAATTCAAGGCATGTCAGTAGGAGAAGCAGAATAGATAGACCCGTCAGAATATATATCGAACGGTTCAGAGTGACGAGTTTAGTTGATTTAGCCATGCCCGTCGGTCCGCACGAGGGAATAATTTTCTGTGTTTACATTAATACCGAGTCACGATTAGCAGGAGATTATTACGTGTCGAAAATTCATCAGCTGATTTTGAGCTAGTGCTTAAGGGTTAACACAGCTTTAAATATTTCGAAAAATCGATTTTGCTTTCTTAGCTCATTAATTTCTCCAACATCTCAAGAATATCGTCCTAAGTTTTTAGGATGATCCGAATAAAAGTTTCGGAGATGCAGGCTTGAGAAGGTGCAAGATCAAAGGCGGGGTGTTATCAAAACACGTTTTTTGAAATCGGTACGCAGTAAAACTCAAATAATTTTCAACAGTTTGAATTTTTTTTCTACATCTTTATAATAAAATTGCAAAGTGAAGCACCATAAACAAAAGTAAAGCTATTACCTTGTCAAATCATTATAATTCTATCCTCTTTTTACCACTTAATTCAAGTGTATATAAACCTATTAATACCCTTGTTTGCTGAGAAATGCCTTCTCGCTGTAAATTTTACTGGGTTTTCGGTTCACCGGACGCGTCTTAGTAAAATTTATTAAGAATTGTTATTGTCCATTAGGTCTCCGAACAGAACTGATAATTATGTTAGAGTCGATAAAATTGTTTTCTAATATAAGTCAACTGTGCTCAAAGGAGACTCGAAACCAAAGCACAAATAATGCAAGGCTTCATAAAATTCAAAACTGTTTTTACAAGTTTTAGGAGCCAAGAAGCAAAAATTTTTGGACGTTCTCAACGGAACGTTGAATTTGATATCAGCAGTGGGGAGGGTAGTAAGTATCAGACGACTAATATTAGGAGAAGTGTTGTATTGAAAGTGCCAATGCAAATTTTTCAAAGAAAAAAGGGGGAAATTGGTTTTAAGTAGACCTGACACCTCCGGATTAATAATTTAAAGAGTTTAAGAGCTCATTTAAAGAGCTCATTGGTGCGTTCAAACAAATATGATTTTTCGTTTCCCTTTTCACTTTTAGAATGCGTCGCCGGACGTTGTGAAAGTCTTGGTGGGAAATAAATGTGAGTGTTCTGCTACACAAAGAGCGGTAGATAAGGAAAGAGGTGAAAAGGTAAGTTCAAAATGATAAAAATTTTAAGTGCTAATTTTTATATGTACCATATGTTATGTATACCACATCAAATGCTTTGTAATTCTTTAAAATCGATCTTCATTTAATGTACGAAGATAAAACATTCAATAATTTTTGATAAATTATTCCAGATTGCTGATAACTTTGACATGCCCTTCTTTGAGGTATCCTGCAAATGCAATATTAACATTGAAGAGGCATTCCTAGCACTAGCAAGAAAAATCAGAGAACAACGTGAACGACGGGTAACACTGTTTTTAAATATTTCGAAAATATACTTAATACAAATATTTGTCAGGGGGATAATTTTGATAATGAGGAAAAGAGCCAAGACAAAAAATCGCCCGGTTCCAACGGTCTTGGCACATTCAGCTTGGCCAGCTTGTCCGAAGGCAACCGTTGTTCCTGCTAAGCCGAACAGAAATATTCCACATACTCATAAGGAATAATTCGTCCAGAAGAGTGCTAAAGTGGAATTCCAAGATGAAAAAACCTACACCCACATGACCAAGTGTGGCAAACGGTGCCACGGATGGCAACGCAAACGTACTCTCAGATGCAGGTCCAATCGTCATAGGCAACTTAGTCCATAGAAAATTTGTTGAAGGGGAATATGGTTGTTAATCACTAAACTTTCTATGCGAATCGTTATATTTTGAGGAGTTTTTGAGTTTTGTTACATATACTCGTAGTTGTGTATGTATGTATATAGCGTTTTAGATGGTTCCAACTAATTTTGCGAAAGCATAGTTAATTTAATTTGATTTTATTCCTTAGGAGAATTTTTCGATATATTGGTATAATACATAAGTGCTTTCAAGAGCCGGTTTGAGGTAATCCATTTAGGCCGATGGCAGATAGAACTCGACCTCCGCATGAGTCCATATACATAACTATCCGAACATTTCCTACATAAGCAACGCTGACGGCAAAGAAACCAAAAAAGGTTCTTTTCATAATTTATCCATGAGTTCTACAGCTTTGGAAAACTTTACACAAATTTCAATAATTACTTTATAAAATAGATGTTTTTAATTTTTTATTGAAAAATAATTGAAGATTGAATATTTTTGTTTTATAATGTTGACGTTTTCAAATTGTTGGCAAAATTGGAAATGTCACGAAACGCCAAAAAGTTGTATCTGTCATCGGGTTAATGGCCAAACAATTTTGCTTCGGCGAGAGATACATTCATATGTATGTATGTACACACGTAAATGTATAAGCGCTAATAAAACAGGGGTATTAGCCTGGGAAATGCAACAATTACACGATTTTCCTTTCAATTGGAAATTGGCATTATAAGAGAGTTTGAGGCGAGTTGAAGCGACTCATTTGTTTTTAACGAACTCTTCACACCGTCTCGAATACATTTGTGAAACGCAACTTTCTACATTTTTTATTTTATCTATATAAAAATAATGGTTATTTCACAAAAGAGGATATATGTATATTCTCGAATCGTCAAAGGACAGAAAAAAAATATCACATCGCCAATAACTCGAAAAATTTGTCACACTCGATTCGCTAACATAAATAGGTGACTCTCTCACAAATTCGAATTCGATCATTTTTTGTAGGAAAATATCATCTCTATAGTTCTTCGAACTCAGTTTTATTTGGAAACAAAATCTTATGCATGTGTATACATGTACATACATATGTGCTAATATTTAAAATGCATTAAAAAAAAAAAACTAAATAATAGTTGTAAAACAAAATCCGTACTTATTAAGTAGTTAAGCCTAATTATTACTCCTTTGTACAAAAGGAAAATATAATGATTGAGACCACCTAAGAGAGCTAAAAATTCGCAACCATATTCGAGTTTTTATTTTAATTTTGTAGAACTAGAGATTTCAGTAAAAAAAACATGTATGTACATACATACATATATATTTTAATAATAGGCACAAATATAAAGCGAATGAGAATTAAGGATTACAAAAAAAAATTATACATACATATTTAGGTTGCTTTGTTCTGTTTCAACTTCCTTTATGAATACGCAATACGAGTATTCAATAAAAAAGTAATCAATAGCTTCGTAGTCAATTACCATTTAGTGTACAATAATTGAAGTAATACCGATATTTTGTGTATGTATGTATGTATGTATAATGCCAATTATATTTGATACAGATTCAAATTGTTCTAAATTGTGTCTGTTCGAGGTGTATGACATACATACATATTAACTAATTTAGTATACATACATATGTATATTAAATCATTTGATTAAAATTTCCATATGTACATACATATATTTAAACATGTATAATGTAATAAAAAGTACATACTTACAAATATAATACATAAAAATATCCAAATCTCTTGATATTGATAAAACATACTGAGAAGCGATTTGATGCATTAGTTAAGCAAAATTTTACTAGCCGACATAAAGTAAATATAAGATTTATTTTTAAACAATTTACAAGTAATAAGAATACTTATAATAAATAAATGAATAAAGCAGTAACAAAATAAAATAAAAAGACCAACAAGTTATTCTCATTAATATATAAACTTTATTATTTTTAAGTTTATTTTTTTTTTATTATAATTTTTTATTTTTACATTCACGAGAGTGTTTTGTGTGTTACAACCCAATGTAAGTTTATAGATTCATATATATTCTTTTTGTCATAAATATATATTTGGTTGTGTTTGATTTACGTTTTTTAATCTTTTGGTACAGACAATCTCCCTAACTACACTTATACAATCTTATAATAAAAGCTTAAAAAATATATGAAATCGCAGAAAAACTAAAAACAGAAAATAATACATTTTTTATTTAGCCTTAATAAATTAATTTTTAAACTAATGTATATTAACAATTTTGAGTTGGCGGCGAAGACAATTATTCCATTATTTAATTAAATTTATTATTTTTTTTAAAGCTTTTGTTCCATAATTTTGTGTGACCCTAATCTACTAACTACCGCACCATACTTAATTTTTTACTACTTTTATTTTTACTTTTTCTAGTAACACGCAATTCACAATAAGCCACACATGTTTTTCCACTTTGTTTAAGGTAAGGATTTTTGCTTCTAATTTTTTTGTTTTTCAATGTTATTTAGGACCAAACTTCGGAGTATACCCTATCTTTAAAGGATAACTTAAGCTAATCAGTCTGCGTGGTAACGGGTTATGTAGGATTATACGCTGAAATTAATGAACGATTACCTCCTTTCATAGTCCTCTGAATCAAATTTTAAGCTCTACTCTTTCCCATAAAAAATATGATCAAAATCATTATAAAAGGTTATGAGTTATCTTACATAAAAAAAGAGCCTTATTTTTTGTCGGCTAAATATGTTTAAACTTATTTCCTCCTTAAACAAAGTCTTCTATGACTATATGAAATAACCACTTATACACACGTAAAAATTATTCCTTTTTTCTATATTAATATTTTCCTTATGCCCCAAAATTTTAAATATCCGAAAACCGTTTTCATGAGTAACCACTCAATTGTCGCGTTGGTCAAATTATATCACCTTTACATTCGAACATACATACATCCATGCTTACATATAATACAAAAATTTCCGCTTTGTAACCGCTGAAGCGATTTCGGGCCGAACTCCTCCTCCAATGTGCAGTTCGCGTCTCGACATTTCAAGTTTATTTTAATCTGTTCCCGAATGGCTGCCGGATTTTTATGAGGTGTTCTGGTTTTTATGCCAGAAATAACTCGGAGGACTTAACAGAAAGATAATTTTTTTATAATTTTCAATGTTTGCCTAACTAGAACTCGAACTCAGGCCTTGCGAATGTTAGTACACAATTCTAACCACTCAGCTATTGTGGCTGCTACATACCTACATATGTCACCTAACGCACCTAAACTTCTAACATGGCAAATTAAACATATGATGCTTCATTTACTTCAAAACATTAGGCATTGCTAAGTAACATACTTGACCACAACATTTGCCAGACCATTGTCCACCATTGTCCAGTAGTTCTCTGAATGTCTGAAACTGCATAACCTTAAGAAACGTTTGTCTTGTGAATATGAAAAAAATAAAAGCCAAAACTAGTTCATTGCCGATATTCAATGGCCGTATATCCGACTCATCAGCATCGAGTAACTCTTCTTTCAGTGCGTTTGCAACGAAGTCTAAAAAACGGGCCACATTCAATGGAATTATACCACCCAAAATATTCACAATATCCAACTCATCATCGTCAGTAATATCGCTTTTGAAGGATGAGACTCAAAATAAGAGCAGAGTTGAAGAAACTAGAAATATTTTTGGTGAAGCTGCGGAAAAAGGTCGTACCGTCAAAGCGTCCAAGAGCCGGAGTACTTCTTTAAATACGGTTGGTGCTGAGCTGAACAATTATGAAAAGCTTAGGGTGGTGGGGCAAGGTAAAAAAATGATGTCACTTTTTATCATGAACTGTTCCTAATTACAGGCCAATTTCAGCTATTCAGTTATTATGAACAAAAACTCTATATATACTTGTATGTAGCATTTGATTCTTTTGCAGGCTCGTTTGGGGTGGCTATACTATATCGGCGTAAAATTGATAATCACCATATCGTTTTTAAGCAAATCAATCTAACAGACTTAACACCGTCCGAACGTGATTTGGCAATGAACGAAGTTGAGGTGTTTTCTAAGCTCCATCATCCGAATATTATAAGGTAACAGAGAAAACAAATTAGCCAATATTATGGATAATTCCTTTAGGTTTTAAGATCTGATATCGGGTAAAATATATAGTAAATCACCGATTTTAGCCGATACAAGTCGTTTATCCTTTTCGTAGCTAGTCCTTTAATTAACTGAGTAAGGTCAGCGTCCCTGTACGTCTCGTATATCTAATAGTTCTATCTCCTACGGTATTCACTGTTGGCCAATGCGCAAAGAGCCATACATTCTCACATCATACATACTCGTATGTATGTACAACCATTGTGAATTAATTTAACGATTCATTCGCACAATCTTTTATTTACTTATAGAAAACTCCAATGACGTGGAGAGACCTTGGTAGGCCAAAAGCTTAATAGGAACTATCATAAAATATTTTCAATTTAATAAACTGTCGTTGCAATAACCGTACACACTAGATATATTTAAAAATTTACTTAATGCTATTACTTACATACTAGCAACGTTGAAAAAGAAAAACATAACTTGACATGGTGAAATTGAATCTAATCTATTGATGTAGTTCTAGGCAATCAGTAGAGCCAGGAATAAGGTCAGATAAAAGCCTATACTCGTATATATCACTGTGCGGTGGTAATAGGTTAGCAACGTGGAGAGGTTGAAGGGCAAAATAGATAAAATATCTTGGCACTATTTTCACTCTATTGGAGAGTATTGAGCAAACAGGATTCCAAATTATAGATTCATATTCCAGCTTGGCACGAACTAAACAGTTGCACACTTTTATTCCATATAAATTTGCATAAGATTTTTGAACCATAACTCACATGAATAACAAATGAAAACCCAAATTAAAACGAGACTCTAAGATTAAGAATAGCAACGTTTAGATAAAGTTTTTGAATGTGGGAAGCTTTAAGACTTGGAAGAAAAACATCAAAGCATTTCTTAATATCAAGAGAATGTTTCTTTCTGATAGGAAGAAGACATCCACTCCGTTGGAAGGACCAGGTAGAGAAGGACTTGATACTGTACTTGGTATTTCCAATTGGCAAATCAAAAAAATCAAAACGAATATATTTATATTACTCTATATGTATATTTTATATTACATACACATATATTATATTATATATTATATTGACATTACAAAAAAACTATTTTTTCATCAGTTACCTGGGCAGCTTTATTAGAGACAACACACTGCTGATTGAAATGGAGTACGCGGATGGGGGCACTCTAGCGCAAGTAATAGCAGAACGGCTAGTGAGGGATTATTTCCCCGAACGTTATATCATTGCAATATTTGAACAAATTTCAAGTGCCATCAATTATATGCACTCAGAAAATATTTTACACCGGTAAGAGCTGGCAAATTTCAAAATGTATATTCAAATTTAGCTACCGCTTATGATATTTTTGTAGAGATCTCAAAACGGCAAATGTTTTTTTGAACAAGCGCGGTATAGTGAAAATCGGTGACTTTGGCATCTCGAAAATAATGAACACTAAAGTTTTGGCGCAAACGGTGTTGGGGACACCGTATTATTTTAGCCCGGAAATGGTGAGAATATTCCCTACGCTAATAAATGGCCAATAAATGTGTAGTATTAAGTAACAACTAATAGTATTACATCGATTAAATGTGTTTAATGGAAAAAATGTAATATTTTCAGTGTGAAGGCAAGGAGTATGATAATAAAAGCGATATTTGGGCACTCGGTTGCATTCTTGGGGAAATGTGCTGCCTGAAAAAAAGCTTTGCTGCTTCAAACCTTTCACAATTGGTATCTAAAATAATGGCGGTATGTTGAGGCACAAAAAAGTTAAATTTTACAATATTATGAAATTGAAAACATAAATACAGTAAATAACATAACATCATAGGGTTATCCATTTCGTGCTTTTGAAAGTACAGGGCTGTTTGTTTCAGTTAAAAGTCAGGCATTTATGAAAATAGATCGTTAGATAGATAGATTTGTTAAAACCTACTACAAAAATGGTGATTCAATAGTGGCCACGTTTCGTGCTTTACAAATAATCAAGCAAATGTTAAAATTTTAAAGAAAATTGACGAGGTCGGATGAGCTACAGCCATTGTAAGGCCAATGTATCATCGTTTTTTTTCATTCCATCTTAAATATCGTAACTGTAAGAGAAAGTATAGCCAAATACCCAAATCTGTATATTTCTCAAAGTCTAAACAGCCAGTTGGAAATAGCAAGCAAGGCCAGGTCACTCTTCACCAGATCCTTCCAACGGATTGGGGGTCTTCCTCATCCTCTGTTTCCACCGGCGGGTACTACATCGAATACTTTTCATGCTGGAGTGCTTTCATCCATTCGGACGATATGACCTATCCATGGTAGCCGCTGTCTCTTCATTCGCTGAACTATGTCAATATCATCATATAGCTCATACAGTTCATCGTTCCAACGTCTGCGGTATTCGCCATTGAAAATGCGCAAAGGACCATAAATTGTTGTTGGCATCGTCCATGCCTACATCCTATATAAAGTCCAGCTCCCTCAATAACTGAAGCCAGCTGACCATTCACAACGTCGTACATACGTCGTTTGATTGCTTGAATCAGCTGTGGTCGGCGATTTTTCTAACAAAATTTTCTTCAGCGGCTAGGGACAATTGTCTCATTTGGTCTGGAGCACTCCTTGGTACGGCAGATGTGATTGAGCTTTTGGTCAATTTTTCTTTGAGTTTGATGAACACGACTTGGACAATTTTTGTTCAGAAGAGGAATTTCATGAAAAATGATTTTAAATGCATTTTATTAGCGCTTTTGTTCCGAAACCGCAAAATGGATAACCCTGTATATATTTATCTACATTTTTATTACGTGCACCTGTTTTTGCACTTCTATATATATGTATACGTGTATACACACATTCAGGGCAACTATACAGCCATACCAGTAGGATACTCCTCGGGCTTGCGTAGTCTACTAAGCAACCTCTTACAGGCAAGATTTCCCATTTACATTAGATTATATACATAATTGTATAATTTGAAACATATACCGTTGATTGCCGCAGGTTGATGCTTCACGAAGACCAAAGGCCTCTGAAATATTAGAATATTGGATTCCACTAATATTTAGAAATTTGGGAAAAAATAAGGGGTACCCTCCAAACATAAACTCTTCCATTTGTCCTATTCCAATAATCATTGACTTTTATAGATATTCTTATAAAGACGATGTTTTTGCAATGAATTTTGTATCAAAGTCTGGCGCTGATATACAGCCACCGAAAGAAACCGTGGATTTAAGTTTCAGCGGGAAAACCGAAAATTCCTCCCAAGCATTGACGGAGTTCCCAACAGGATGTACAGAAATGAGGGAAGCGATGAATGCGGAAACTGCATTGCCGAATGAAATAATTTGCAAGCGGTTAGTAAATTCAACAAAAAAATTCATATAAAGGGTGTTTTTTAGACGTGTGGTTTTCAATGAAGCAAAGCTTTTTCCGCTTTATTTCTTTTTGAAAACTACACGTCAAAAAGCAGCACCCACCCTTCATATAACTTTTGGTTCAGATTTTATAAAATTTTACAATTTAGATCCGTTTTATATCAATTGAAAGCATTTGGCAGCAGCTTCAATATGAATCCCATACAGTTGCCTCCAAAAGCACGTATACGTACAGTGGCAGCAAGTGATTCTCATTTTGTGGTAGTTAATGATGGTGAGTCAGAAATATTAAAAAATTATATTTTGTTTTGTTGATTAAAAACCTTGTGTTATTTGTGTTTATTTTCATTAATATAATCCAAAAATGTTAGATGGTTCGGTCTATGCCTGGGGTGAGGGTACAAATGGACAACTTGGCTCGTCCTCGCTCGAATCATGGAAACATTACCCCAGTCGTATGGAAAGTGTGCGCCATCATCACATTATAAGGTAACTGATATGGATAGGCAACTATTTACCCTGCAAAGAGAACGCTATCGATTAGTTTCAGATCGAGACAATTGACTAATAAAATTTGGGAAAGTTGAAGTTTTAAAATTATATAAAAAAACTTTGACAGCAAGGCTCCCAAAATATTTTAAAGAGAAAAAAGATTAACGGACACGATGGCGAAGATAATTTTTTTGTGAGATGTATTTATGGATAGCTCTCTTCTATCATAAAAAGGTGGGCTCGAGTTCAGAAATCTCTCAAATATTTATTATAATCCTTGGAGCCTCTCGCACCCACAACTACATAACGTTCATAAATTGAAGAGTTTCATTGTAATTTGTTATTGTATGCGAAGTGAGAGGGTTGATTGGGCTCATTAGGATCGCTACATGTCCAATGGTTCATAATTAGTATAAATAGAAAGTTTGATTGTTATTAGACAATTAGTCTTCGATCTATGGTCAACTAAGGGTGGAAGTAATCGAATATCCAGTTGCTATAATAAATGAGAAGACTCTTGTCTGGGAAAACCCGAGATTCACGTACATCGTTTAATTTAAACAAGGAAGGGCAGGAGCAGCGATGTGACCATGCCAGAACTTATACAAAAAGTTTGCCAACATTTTCCACTAAAGAAGAGGCAACTCGCAAAATGGTTGGAGTATCCTATACAACCATTTTCAAAATTCTGCATGATAATCTTGGCATGACTAAAGTCGACGCAAGATGGATGACGAGAATCATCAGCCAAAAAAGCCACATTGCGTTGTCTGCCCTGTGTAAAGTGCGCTTTGATTTTGTGAATCATCCACCCTACAGCTCAGTACAGGACCCCCGGTGATTATTACCTGTTTCCAAAAATGGAAAAAGAACGGAGGGGTAAAAATGTGTCAAGAAGAAAACGTTTTTACGAGGCTATAAATAAATTAATTGAAAGATCTGAAAAATAAATCAATCTTACAGGTGAATATATTGCATTCTAACTTCTCTTCTAAAATAGTTCCTGCGTTGGCGATGGTTTCACTATACTATTAACCCAATCCGGTAAAGTTCTCAGTTGTGGCGACAACTCCAAGTACGCATTGGGACATGAAGAAAACAAAATATTTCATACTCCGAAAATGGTTGCGAAATTACAGGATATACAAATAGAGAAGATAGCAGCTGGTACAGATCATGCACTTGTTTTGAGCGCTGATGGCTCCATCTACATTTGGGGCACCAGCGTACAAGGAGCTCTTGGCCTGGGTAAATTGCAAACGCAGCAGTGAGTGAAACCAAGTAGATGCCATATACACAAAATCGATCCAAATACTAATCTCGATTTCAGAAGGACTCCGCAAAAAGTGCTGTTACCGCAGATGTGTGGCAAGGCAGAAAAAATTTTTTGCGGTCCAAATATTTCGGCTGTGCTATTCACAAATGGAGAATTATACGCCTGTGGTTGTAACAAATATAAGAAGTTGGGATTTAAAAAAAACGACAAAATAACAGCATTCGTACGTATTACATATACATACATTCTTATATATCTTATTCTATACTAGTCTTCCATACACATCACGTAACTGTGACGAGGGGCACCCCATATTTTCGTAGTTGTGGAACTCTTTATACCTTCCATGCACCTATGATCAGAATGACGAGAGTTGATTTGATTTAGCTAAGTCCGTGTGTCCTACTGTTTGTACACCAACTAGTCCCTCAGTTTTTGAAATATTACACATATACACACACGGTAGCTTACACTTAAACGATTTGTCGCAACCGGCCAGATCTACTAAAAATTACCACAACCTTTTTAAAATATTTGAGATTTTGGGTCCTAAATTCGTCAAAAAACATTGACATCGAAATTCATCGAAATCGGCTATGACTTGTACCATTTCGGACTCGAAATATAGAAAACTTGCCACCACTTAGAGAATTCAATTTTACTTCTTCACACCTTGACCTACTTTGTCAAAAACCTACTAAAAGGTTGAATAGATGGTGCTATCGGAAAGGGATGGTATTGATCTAAACAACGTTTACATTCAGCAAGACGGAGCTACGTGCCACACAAGCAACGAAACCATCCATCTTTTAAGGGTAAAGTTTCGATGAATATCAAAATAACACCCTTTATTGGAAAAATCTTTACAAGTCTAGTGTTAAGTAGTTTGTGAAGGGTGGAAGTAACAGTGATTTAACTCGGAAACAAAAGTATAGTACCACTAGTACCCCACATTTTAAACAAAATCTTATTTATTAAAAAAAATAAGGTTTTGTTATTTCATTCAAAATGTAAAAAATGATAAAGAGAAAACAAATTTCATTTGATTTGAAATTAGTACCAAAATTTTAATTTTTGTGAAAAATCTGGAAAAAAAATCTGTCAAAATAATAGCACCGATTACTTTGACCTAAAAGAAAAAGTTTTAAAATTGTTTGTGGTTTAATCTGGGTACTGCGCAGGCCATTCCATTAAAGGGGCATTATTGTCTTGAATCCAGTTTTTAGCTGTTTTGCTGGTATGCTTTGGGTCATTGTCTTGTTGCATGACCCAAATAAAAGGCACATTTTCAGAAGGATTTGGCATTATTAATTCTTGCATCGACTGTTGCATCTATGATGGTATTTATACGGTGAATAGACCCAACACCGTAGTATGAAAAACATCCCTATATCATGATACTGGAACCTCCGAGTTTTACAGTGTTTGCGGTAAATTTTCTATTATATTGAATTGATTTAGAAAATATTTTTATCAAATTTGTGACCTTTATTTTAATTTTTATTATTGGTGCTATTACTTTGACAGCTCCCACTGAATGGAATTAGGTTTTGAACGTGTTTTATAATAAGCAACCGTTATTTCGATAAAAAAAAGGAGTACACTTCTATTAACGGGAAGTAAAGATATGGAGAAAAATATAGAAGCATTGCCACAGAATTAAATAATGAAATTAGATACCACAACTATAGGAGCTCGGCGTAAAATCGCTTCAGCGGTTACAAAGTGCCAATTATATATGTACACATATTATATATAGTGGTGATATTATTTCGACAGCAACTGTACGAGTATATGCACTTGGGCGGTCGCTGGCCTTTTTCCGGTCTATTTCTCTGAATATAAATAAATACGTTTTTTATGAATGGTTCGTTTTCGAAAAAACAACATTTACAAAACCATTCCGGAATATACTTGAACACACAGAAAATCGGTCTTGTCGTTAGGGAGAAGTACAATGACACAAACACAAATTTTTTAAATACTCGTAAAGAGATTTATGTACTTATTCAATGTATTTGATTTATGATATTAAAATCGCTGTTGTACAATTTATTAGAAAAAGGTACAGTTGCCGTATAGAATCATCGAGGCTAGTTTCTCCTCCATGCACACAGTATTGTTGGTGGAAAAGGGTTTAATATATACGATGGGTCGTAATATTGAAGGTCAACTTGGCGCAGGACACACAAACTGTGTGGAGCAACCTATACTAGTCGACTTCATCAAACATCGCACAATTGTGGTACGCGCTACATACATACAATACATATGCAAATTTATTCTAAATAATTTTAAATTAATTGAGTGATTTAAAGTAGAATTGTCAATGCAATGATCAAGGAACCATTGTTACCTCTCAGGATAACGTCATAACATTTTGGGGCACCAGAAACGGTATACCAGAGTTTGGAGACTGCAATTTCGATGAGGTAAGTAGTTTGTATAAATTTTCAGTAATATAACAGTTATTGACAATATCAGGGTTGCAATCAAAACATCAATTCTGAAGTCGGCAACAGCACTGTGGCGTTTACAAATTTCCTAGCCTCGGTTTACAAATCTGAGCTACTTTTGGAACCAGTAGACCTTTTGGCGTAAGTAAATCACAAATTTTTATTGAAGTTTCTCTTGCATAATTTACTTATAGATTATACGCATCCAAGGAGCAAGGCCAGAAAGGTTACTATATTACGGTGAATAATGTATATCTTTTGGCCCACAGCGTTTTAGTGTTAGTGGATACAACAACGCCTTTGGTGTCCTCACTAGAAGAACTGCAGTAAATTTAATTAAAAGTTGTGACAATATGATTTTATATTGAGATGTAATGTTTTATTAAGTTCCAAAATTACTTAAATACAAATACCATATTTAAAAATGTATATATTTTTTAATCAATGAAAACAGCAATAAGAAACAGAATGAAAAAGTTAAAATAATGATTGTTCAATCATTATCTTTCTATACATTACTCATTTTAAGTAGTTTTATAAACAGAACGACGCGTTTTTGTCAAATTGGTATCTAAAACTTAAAATTAGAATTACATGCTACGTGATAACCATCATTCGCAACATTTACTAGCTTAGATAAATTATTTTAATAATAATTTCCTTCGTCTATTCTGTCTTAAACTTCCATTCGGACATGCCACTCATGTAACACAGTAAAATTCTAGTAGCGTGAAAGTTGTCCTCCATAACGTCCCCCACTCCCAAACATTCCTCCACTGTTGTAACCGCTATTAGAGCGTTCATTATACGTGCGATCGAAACGATCTTGAGTGGATGGCATGGGACGCCAATTGTTTTCTTCAATAGATTTTTGCCAAGTTGAATTGCTGTGCATACTGGTCATACCATTACCGACGTAAGATTTGACTCCACTGCCCCCGGTACTTCCGCTTAAATGTGTGGACGATGCCCAGATACTGTTACCATTATTAGAGCCGCCATATGAATTGGAGTTATCATAACGCTTGTTTCCAGATGCAGATCTAATAGCAAAAAAAAAATATATATATATATATATATATATACATATAAAAATATATTTAAATAAATTTAAAACAAAAAAATATGGTTTTATACCGAATGTCATCCATGCCACCACGTCGGTAACTACTTGAGGACCTTTCAGAGTCTCCATAACGTCCAGCACTGGTCTTATGAATGGTTGAACTAACATCTCGACTTGAATGGAATGATGAACTGTTGCTGCCTGCAGCTGCTACATGCCTGATTTCAACCTCTCGCTTGTAATCGTCACGTGAAGATTTGCCTGCCCCATATTCTTCCAAGATACGTTTTGACGAAGACGACGACAAGTAGTCATTACTGCGTTTACCGTAGTCATCTGTACTACGTTTAGCAGGAACAACTGGATAATCGTCCAACGCAGAGCGCTTAACAGATGCACTGGAAAAATCGTCTCGTTTTGAATAATCCATGCGTTTCGATGAAGACGAGTATTCCTCAATCCCTCTTTTTCCTGATGACGAACTACCATAATCATCCCTTTTTTTGTCATAACTACAAAAATTTATTATTAAAATCAAAAAGAATCGTATCAAAAATTTAGTTTTACCCTCTTGATGATGTCACAAGACTAGCATCGAAACGCGGTGGGGGTGGTGCTTCGAAATGAGAGGCACTTCCGGATGATCGTTTTCTGTCTGCCACGTCAGGATAACGTTCGTCGCTGGACCTTTTAGATAGCCTCTTAATAGGGTCCTCACGAGAGTGAATAATCCTTTGAGTATAATTTAAATGAAAATTGTGAAAATTCGAATAAATAAATGCAGTAATAAATATATTAATTCAACATGTACGTCTAACAATTCGATCATTTGAAGGGTTGTGTGTTATCACTTTGCTTACTCAATATTTATGCATGTAATTCTGAGACGATTAAGTTGTTTGATATCAACACATAGAATTGTATAATAATAATCACACTTTGTATACATCCAACAATCAGCACTCAAAACACATCCCGAAGATGAATATTATTTGCCCCATTGGCATAGTTGGCAAGGGATGGAAGAAGCGGTTTGTGTTGGTGCATCATGTAAGTGTGTATATGAGGGTGTACTTGTGTGGATATATTATTAAGCAATTGTAAAATTAAAGTGTATACGCGTTCATACTTCATTTGCTGCCGTTTTAATTCTAGCCGCTCCAACTCGATTTTCTCTCGTTCTAGTTTTTGTCTTTCACGTTCCAAACGCAGCAGTTCAGCTTTCTCTTTCTCCAAGCGTTCACGTTCCAGAGCTAGTTTCCGGCGCTCCTCAGCCAGGCGAGCTTCTTCTTGTCGTTGGCGTTCGCGAATTTCGCGGCGGCGGCGTTCTTCTTCCCGAAGTTCACGTTCGCGTTCCCGCAAACGTTGACGTTCACGCTCTTCTCGTAATTGTATGTACTCTCGCTGTCTGATGCGCTGTTCACGTTCACGCTCCCTCTGTCGCTGCTCACGGATGTTTCGGTCATTACGATTACGATCATTAGAGCGGCTACGATTTGGATGTGCCCTGGTACTACGTTCTTTGTTCCCCTCCTTGGAAACGGCTGGCTTTTCTCGATTGCTACCCACACTCTTCTCTTTATCTCTTTCTTTTTCTTTATCCTTTTCATCCTTTTGGCTGGTTTGTTTTTCCTTGTCTTTATCGTGTTGCTTGTCCTTCTCTACTTCCGGCTTCTTTGACGAATCATCCTTCTTAGCTGAGTCATTAGTTTTGCGTTTGTCATCTCTCGTCTTAGATGTCGTGTCGCGCATCTTCTTTTCTTCATCCTTTTTTATTCCTTCCGAACGGGATTTGGAGGCGCTTGTTGAGCTGCTGCCAATTTCGTTCTTTGTACGTTCTACAGATATTATTCGTCCATGCAGCTCGGTATGATGTAAATGCTCAATACAACGGCTGGCATCCGAAGATGAGGACATGGTTACATAACCGTAGCAGCGGGTACCTGGTGTCCGGGTGTTGGTAACCACCTTAGCTCCTATTACCTTCCCATACTTGGAGAATATAGTTTTCAGATCACTGGCCCGGGTTAATGACGATAATCCAGATACCCAAAGATTACGTGAAGGAGTTGTCTGCTTTGATGCGGAAGACGATTTCGCTGAGGCATTGGCTGAGGACTTTTCTGCAAATTCCATATAAATAATAGTGGAATAGTAATGGTGAGCACACATACAAATATTTTTGCGTATCGTTTTTAGTCTGCATATATATTTTTAAAACTCTTAATAAAAAAAAAAACAGTATTTCGAACCAGACTTGAACGCCCGGCCTTAACATATTTTTTTTATTCTAAAAGTTCAAACTTAGTTAAAAAAATTGCACTTCCTAAGCATTCCCTACAGTTTACTCAACAAAGGAAATGTGAACTTCTATGAATATTAACTAAATATGAAGTATTTCCCAGAAAGATGTGGTTAAAATCTCAGGCGTTAAAGATGGTAAAAACGTAGATATAGACCGTACTTAATCAGCTAATGATGATCACTCCTCATGAAAAATCCCTTTGCAGTTGTAGCGGATGTCGCCGAAACAGCCCTTGGTTGGTCGAAAAAATGCTTTCCACTCGTTGATATACAGGACTTGTGACTTTGCAGTTTGGTTGATGATGTTATCGCCAAGGACAGCACACAATTGTTGAAGAATTCCCGAAAAAGTGTCTTGATAATTAGAATCTTTGATGTCATTCTTATATTTTAAAGTTGAATAGTTTACATTTTTTCGCCACGCTGATAAAATGTAACAGGAAGGAAATGTTGATAAGTAATCCGTTAATACTGAAGTATCCAAATTTTGATCAGTATCCCATTTAAGAAATGAAGTCGGTGGTTCTGCGAGGTATGTTGAGTGCCTTCCATTTGTAGGTCTTGTTTTCCAAACCTTTGGGAGACTTCACTAATAGAAACTTGAACAATAGTTTGCCATTTTAATATCATGGTTTATTTCGACAGAAACAGCTGACTGGTTAACATAATTGATGAACGAAATTTAAATAATTCACAGAAAAAACACTTGTTTTATGTCTGAGTCCAAAAAGTTTTTCACTTGACATTCACAAATATTTTCCACGTTTACAATAAATACACATAATTTCGTGGTCTTGTACCATTACGTTACTCGGACAACTAATGCTATTGCCAAGTTCACACTTCCTTTGCTAAGATATTCACTACATAATATCCAACTATATCTCAAGCTTTTATAACTGATTGCTTTGTAAAACCTAAACTGCCGTTTTATCAGAGCTCATTCTGCTGATGCCTTGGTTTAATTACCTTTGTCATCCTTTTGCGATGTTTTGTTTGAAGATTTTTGGTCACTGTTTTCAGTTGAATAATCACGTAACAATCACATTTTCAGTTGATTCAAGTAGAATTTGTCGGGAAGTAATTAAAGAGAAATAAAATTATTAGTGTTGACACGTTGAAGTTTTTAAATATTGAAGCGATTCTGAAGAATGGTAGCAGTGTTGTTATGCTTAATTTATATCAGCGGTAAGATGTTGAGTATTATGTAAAGTTTCTTTATAACGGCACAGTAATCCTGAAAAGCTTCCTTGAAATTAATACTCTATATGAAATAGTCACAAATCAATACCATCAGATTAAGAACTTTCGCTCCACCATTTCTTTTTCCTCCATTTACATTGCTTATATAGGTGCCAGCTTGCCGACATCGTTTTGAAACTTTACAAATACTTAACCCTAAGGCTGATATAAACTCACATCCAACATACCAATTAAAAATTATTTGGCTGCGATTTTCATATCCATTTTGGAATCGTTTATATTTCAGTTAATATGATATGCTTGGCATTCAACCAACCTATCTTCTTTTTTATCGTTGGATTTGTCTTCCTTTCGCTTTGTTTTCTCATCTTCAACTTTGTTGCTTTTACGCTCGTCCTTGTTGCTACTGGAACCACCCTTTGACGTCCTTACGTCCTTTGAAGCTGCTGCCTTTTTGGAGTTTTTTTGCGATATACCCTCGGCTTCGGCTATAAACAACCGGCAAACAACGATGGTTTACGAGTAAGAAGAGTTATATTTGTTAGTTTCTTTCTATTTTAGATTTTGTCGTTTTGTTGTTGATATCATTATCATGTCAGCCTAGTATATATATCTATGTATATTAATTTTAATTTTCACTCAAGCTTTTAAGATCTGCATAATTTGCAACACGATTAATGTTTAAACACAGTAACGTTTTATATAAATTGTACACAATTTTGTATGTATTAAAACATTATATATATCGTAAATACTCACTCTTTTCCTTGTCATCAGGTGCCTACAAAAAGAGAAAACAAAAAATTAGTTAAATACTTTACAATTAGGATTTCCTTATTTATCTACAAAGAATAAAATTTTTTACCTAATGCTTCCAAAAAATTTAAGTTCGCTAATTATCGTGGAGAAAATGAAGAACAGTCTTATTCCGGCAATGTTTTTTACCGCTTCTTATATAATTTAATGGCTAAGGGGAAAATTTTTGCTACTTAAAAGTTCTCTCTAATATGTTATATTTACATTGATTCTTATCTTATATAGAATGAGAACAGAAAAGACATTAAGAGACAATACATTTAATTTTTTAAGGTAAACACGCTTTATACTAAATCTTTGTTCATTTCTATTACATTTTGCGAAGTTCAGCTTTTCAGCTTTGCCTGAAGAGTCATCCTAAGAAATTACTTGAATGAAGTATTTTTATTTACTATTTACTCATATGTTTGTAAGTAAACTACTATCTCGCTGACCTTTTCGACTTCTTCACTGCAAATCGTCTACAACTATAACCTGCGATAATCAGGGGTGTGTAAAGATGTTGTTAGTGTCTTGAAGGAATCATTATATGTAAAACATACATTGGGGTCGAGTCTAGATAAGTAGAAGTTTAACATGCTGCAATATCCAGACCTAAGTCGCACTAGTAACAGCTGCTTTCATGGACCTTTCCTTATATAAACTCGATGATTTTTACTAGTTTCGAATGCTCCCAAATCGAGTTGATCAACGGTTACAGCAATAACTCCAGATTACGATCCCACATTGGCTTGGATACTGTAGCAGGTTTAACTCCTACTTATCCTGACACGACCCCGGCATATCCAACGTGTACCCTGCATGTGGAGAGTCTACGCACGACACTAACCTCCCTGTCCCTTTGATCCTGGGGTCTAAATATCTGCACTTTTTTTATGAATCACTAATTCTTACCTCGTCATGTAAAAGTTTTTGCTCCTCCTCACCAATAGTTAAATTTATGGATTCTTCATTTGATTCACCGGCGTTCTCCTCTTCGCCAACTGGTCCGACATTTGAAATCCCATTATTGCCTTGCCTCCTTTCATCATCGATTATTACACATTCGTCATCAACATCACCTACTTGATCCACTTCATCATCCTCTTCACCATCATATTGTTCATTTTCATCATCCTCTTCCTGGTCACCATGTTCGCTTTTAGAAGCCACATCTTCATGATCCATAGGTTCTTCCTTGATTTTTATTTCTTCCGTAGTCTTGGTATCCGCTTTTACTGAATCCATAATACTTTGTTTAGATATACCTTTGGCACTAGGTAAAAATTGATACTTATTCGGATCTAGTCCCTCACTTTTTATTGCCTAAATAAATTTGAAATAATTATGAATCACTAAATATGCTATGTACACATGTGCATACATGCACTTATGTTAGATAATTACCTTCTCAAGCCGTTCAACTAAAGTAGCCTTAGCTCCAACAGTGTCTAAATTCCTTTTCTCCAACTCTTCTTTCAAGTCACAAACACGTAGGTCACTCAATTTTTTGCCTGAATCTGACATAATTTTTAACAAAAACTCAAGATCTAAAACTTTGCTGCACAAATGTGTAACTGGAATAAAATACAAAATGGCTTCTTATCAAAACTCAGGGTTGCTAAGATATATTATAAATGTTTTTATGGTAATTGGTATAGCTGTTACTCTATTACTATAACGTTTTTATTTGCTTAATCGCCAGACGTTAGCACTATGGCAAAAAACATTTGCGAATTTTAATTTAACTTTTTGGCGACAGATTGCCAAAAAAATTAAGAGATTTTATATTAGGATAAGTCAAGTGCAGTAAGTAAAATAAACAGTTTTTAATGCAATTATGGAATATATCATTTTAAAAGAACTGCCAGATTCGAAAACGGTTAGTAAATAAGATATAAGCAGAACCTGCTGCTTTGTGTAGAAATATTAGAAATGTTTCAATTATTAAACGTTTTTAAATTTTTCTTTTCTGTTTACACGTCTATCCTAAACTATGAGGCTTTTTTCCTCTTTTCATATAAATCTGAAATTTCACAAATTTATATAATTTCTACTAGAATTTCATTTGTATTAATAAAATAAATTATCAACCCTATTTCTTAATCACATTAAATAAAAAGGTATTCATCCAGTGGGAATAAAAATTGCAGTCGTAGGCTGAATGTTATTTGCCACCAATAATGTGGTTGCACTTCAATCAATTTAACTTACATTCTTTAGAAAAGCCCAAAAAGTATGAAACGCAAATGTCAAAACGCTCTAACAAAATCGGCAACCCCAGCGACGGCGAAAATTTTGTTATTCTCCAAGTTGTCTATTTTCGAGCATTTTTTACGTGGAGGTTCGTTGAAAAAATTATTCGTAAATTAAATTCAAACTAATGTACTAGTATCTTTATAAAGACACATCGTAAAGATTTGATTGTTTTAATTAAATTTAAAGACCACTATTCATAAAAATGCAAAGCATGAGGCAACTTGAAATGAACGAGAAGAATGGATGTTGCATCTGCAACGAAAGTGATATTGTGGAAATTGGAAATTTGTCTTTGAAGAGAGGAGCTTAAAAAGATATAAAATTTTATTCTTAAACTGCTGTGAAGATAATATACTAACATAGTACAATTGAAAATAAAGAAGTGCTTAGTGTCTTATCACTGAATTTTTTTTGAATACAAGTGCTAATTTGTGAAGGTTCACAGTTCATTTTTGTATGGTGCCTGCCCACCTGCATATATAGACGGGTATTAAAATTGCGTGCTTTGGCTTGGAGTTTAACTAAATTTTGTGCGCGTGTATAACATCAAAAGTACACTGATTCGGATTTTTACATTATTCAAGATAATTTTGGATATTTGCAAAGCTCGGAGATCAATTCATTCTGGCTGTTTTGAACGGAAAATTCGAAAAGTTGTTTGATGACATGGATGAAGAGGACGAAGAAGTAACTGACATCAAATTGCAGATTTTTCACAACAATTTACGTGAAAATATTGTAAGTAATCTAACATAATATAATGTAAATATACACAGCTATGACTTGAACTTATTTCTGTCGAAGCATACTTATTTCAAAGCTTTGTTATATTCAAGTCAGGTTGTATTAAATAACTTTACTGACCCATACTTTAGTTTCCGTAAAAGCACCTAACCAGATGATAATTTTAAAACCTTAAAAAGAATTCGTATTTCGATAAGAGAAAGAGTTATAACATTTCAAAGCTAAAATAGCGGCAAGCATACATACAGTGATGAACTAAAGTATTGGTACAGAAAAATCGTTCAACAGACACTTTTTCGACCACTTGTGAAAACATTTGTAGTTCCGAAACAATGCTAGACAGAGGGATAAACTTTCGATTAATTTCACTACAATCCATTTGATTATCTTCTATTTTAAATTAATACTAATTATAATGAAAAAATACTAATTTTCACCAAACAAAAGCATTGGTACAGTAGTACAGAAGGAGTACTCGACATGAAAAACACCATCCAGCAATACGTACAACAACCGCTGGACAGGACGTCATACAGATAGGCACTGAACGTCATTCATCAGGAGTCAGTCAACACCTTCAAAGACTCCTTTCCCGTGAATGGCGTGCTCGGAGTAAAGCAAAAACCCATTTTAGACAACGAGCTCCAGCCGACTCGAGAGACCCGCATGACCTTGGCACAACTTAGGTCTGGATACTGTAGCAGGCAGGTAAACCTCCTACGTACCCAGATTCGACCCCAGAATATCCAACGTATGCTCTGCATTTGGAGAGTTTCCGCACGACACCATCTACCTCTTCACATGCCTCTTTAAACCGACTCATTTAACCACCTCTCCCTCTGGTTCAGTCCCGTCGAAACAGCACGTTTCCTGGACCTCCCACTAGATGTCCTCAGCGACTTAGATTGATCAAACCTGTACCTAAGCGGGGTTTGCGAACAGCTACAACAACAAGATTGGCACACTTAAATTTCACTGGGCTATTTCGATCAAATTGATTTTTTTTTTTCAAAAGTCCTGTTATGTCTACATAGGCAATTGCGTTCTTTTTTCAAAAATGAAATAGCAAACATCATGGTGTCTTCAATTAAAGTGGACTTTGCGTAATTTTCCGAAAAATGAATGGCAAAAGAAGTGAAACTAACGTGAAGGAATGGCAGGATATTGGGACAGAAACCACGTAAAAATTGGTCTCATCGATGCAAAAGCGTTTGGAAGCTGTCATCAAACATAAAGGCTTAGCTACAAAATATTTAATTTAATTTAACATAAAAGATAATCAAATAAATTGAAGGGAAAATAGTTGAAAATGTGTCCCTCTGTCTAGCATTGTTTCGGAATTAGTTTTCATAAGTGGTAAAAAAAAAAGTGTTAAAAGTTGAACTATCTTGATGTGCCAATACTTTAGTTCATCACTGTATATGTATGTACATACATATGTATATTGTATGCCCCCACTGTTTTCAAAAAGTATATGAACATTTTTCCTGAAAATATTTAAACTCATAATTGTTTTGGGGAATGTTTTGAGAACGGATAAATAACAGTCGGCAGCAAAAAACAAAGAAAATGTGTCATAGTATATAAACCATGCAGCAATTGCTAATAACATAAGGTTGTATATACTTTTTAATGAGAATTTTCTTGGAATTTAACTCAATTAAATTTATACCGATGTTTTAAATAATTTATACGATTACTTTTTAGGAATACAGTAAGCGTGCTAAAGAATATACACATATGTATAAAAAATAGTTTAATGCATACGTGTTACTGTACATCTGTATGTTTTTAATTGATTTTATGTTTAAAAAAAGCTTTCATCGAAATTCACATTTACTTGGTCTAAAATATCAGATTATAAAATTTCCAAACGTTTCGAATCGTTAATTGGCCTATTATTACTGCTTTAAAACTTAATCGAATCATCCAAGTATGAATTAGTATTGTTGAGGTTAAGTTGAAGTTTTATGTTTAAGTAAGCCGTACCATTGAATCCTAAATATTTTCTCTATTAATAATACAATTCTTTTTTTTATTTCTTTATTTCTTCTGAATTTTTTTCAGACCGAAGTTGAAAGTTTAAATATACATAGGTACATGCTCTATTCTAAAGTCCACATATCATTAATTTATTGACCCTTATTAGTCGTAGATTACTTATCAGAAAATTTCATTCAATAATTACTTTGGTATTATTTATATGCAATTATTATTTGGTTTTATATCCATATGTAGGTAAATGTATTAATCTTGGAACTTTGATACATAAATTCACTTTCCGTTAACACACAAACTGTCTTTATTTTTCTGCAGATATTTCTGTTGCTGTTAATGTTGTTGTATCTTGCCTCCTATGCGTTAGTGTCACGTTTTCGTCGAAAAGATCGTGATGATCTGTTCTCCACAGATGAAGATGAAGTACTCGTCTACCGCATTAGGTATGTAGATTATGAATAACTGTTAGTTATGAATAACTATTAGTAGTCGGAGTCTAGTGTAAGAACACAATTATATATGCATACATATGTAATTGAGTGAAATGAGTAAATAAATGACCGTTCATCTTCATATGCTTATTTATGTCGAAATAGATATGTAGTTTTTTATATTATATAAATTATTTGCTGAATTGATTACAGTTCATGGCTATGTACATTTTCAATGGCGATCGCCGTTGGTGCCGCACTCCTCTTACCGGTTTCAATAGCCAGTAATGAAGTTTTGTTACTATACCCTAACAGCTACTATGTGAAATGGCTTAATAGTTCTCTGATACAAGGTATTTATTTATTTATTCAATAATCGATAATTGCTTACTATCTTCTCTACCTTTTGCAGGTCTTTGGAATCACGTATTTTTATTCTCAAATCTCTCTTTATTTGTGTTTTTGCCTTTCGCGTATCTTTTTACCGAATCTACTGGGTTCGTTGGACACAAGAAGGGTATAATTGCTCGCGCTTATGAAACATTCACAGTATTTAGCCTTTTGGCCACGGTTGTTTTAGGCATTACATATGTACTGTCCGCTGTTATGGACCCGGAAAAAATTAGTTTTTTGTCATTGTTAAGTAAGTTTTCAAGAATTGTATTTAATTTAAATAGCTACAATAATTTTGTAAAAGTCACGTTCATTGTAGCAGGAACCCGGAAATCCGTTTGTTTTTATTCACAGTAAACAATGTGTTTTGTAATATTTTCAGATTTGGGAAGCGTACATTTACCGTTTTTATATTCATGCGTTTCATTTTTGGGAGTGCTCCTGCTACTTGGTAAGTGTTTACTAAATTATAAATTCATATTAAATAGTTTACTATAATTTTTATTGAAGCTTGGGATGATTTGAAATTCTGAAATATTAATCAAATTGATTTTTATATTGTGCTTTGTATAGATATGAATGTATGTATAATTGCGAACGTAATTAAAAATCAGCTTTTAGTTTCTCTTGAAATGCGGTTATATAGTCGATTTCCTTGTTGTTATTTTTCTTCGCGAACTTAATGCTAGTCTCGTAATTTTTTTCATCACCTAACCTCAGATATGCAGCTCCACGATACAACCATGATCTCAAATTCTTTTCATCTAATTTATTTATAACGTAGTCGGCATCAATTATGGCACGCTTGCAATTTCTTAGTCTGTAAGGCATATACATTTAATATGGTGGCATCAATACGACATTATTTTAAAATAATACTGACTTAAGATAGGAGAGTGCGCGGTTGTTGTAGAGTATTGGACTATCTTTGACATGCTCAATTGCTTTTGTATACATTTGTATAGCCTTTTCATAGCTTTGTTTACGAAAAGCGTCATTGCCTAGGCTGGGATAAAGATGTATATTTCATTTTTTTGTTTGATTTGGTGCATACAACAAATGCTCTTTAACACACATACCTCCGAAAGTGTTGAGCAATACGCTCGCGCTCTTTACGCACCTTAGCGCGCTCGACAGCATCTTCCTCCATTTGTTGCATAAAGGTGTATTTATCCAATTGCTGTGGTCCAGTTTGGTCGACTTGTTCCCTTTGGTTAGCCGCCTTTCGGTTTAGTAATGTGCGGTCTTGACGGACGCTCACAATGAAGTCATGTTCACTGATTTCTGTTTTACTTTTCTCACACAAAAGATGTAAAGCATTATTAATTTTATAATTGTGTTTACTTTAAACTGTCTTACATTTCTGGTTTTTTGGTAGCGCCGCCTTCTGCATCGGTTTTATTAGCGACCGCCATATCTTCCAATAGCCTCATAACCTGATTCACTTTTGATTCAAAGTTCAGAAAGTCTTCGTCCATATCTCCTTTCGACATTTTTATTTGTTTCTTATATAGATGTTAGGCAATAAATTCTGGTTTCTTGATGACTTATGAAAACTTAAACAAGTATATATTTTTACTCACATCGTGTCATGGATTTGTTTATTTGACAATCGTTTCCAGGGCAATCGTTTCGATGGAAAAAGTGAAAGTTCTATGTTGAGTATGGGCTTAACCATATATAATTAATTCTTGTTAAAACGAAAAGAGGATGATTATTGAATAACCTCATTGCTAGCTCCTCCTTCAGTTTATAATTTTTAAGCCCTTTCTGAACGAATGCTGGACTTTATCAGGAGCTTTTTTTTTTTTTTGTACCTATATAATATAACACAGCTGCGGTCATAATCTTAGTAGCGCGGACAAGCACTAAATTCAGTTGAAAAAAAATATGTAGTTGCTTACCAAAACCACTTCAATTTTTATTTTTTTTTAGTAATTAAAAGACTAATTAAAGCTAATTAAAAGAACTGGAGCCACTTGGTTAAAAAATTTAATTTACTTTTTTGTTTAAATTAGTTTTCTATAACTTTTGGATGTTGGTAGTGCCGGGCCTTTTGAATAGCAGTGCACAATACTAAGAACATCTACACTCGGTCCCCCCTGCGGATTAGGAGTACAAGAATTAACTGCGGTAAGGCATGCCTGTCGTAAGAGGCGACTAAAATTCAATAGTTTCCGCGATAGTAGGGTCTTTATACCGGAACGAACCGGATTTTTATCCGGCGAAGGACTGTCACTCCCGCAACATTCCCAAAAAATTACTTTGGGGAATATGTGTGCGGTTACAACAACAACAACAACAACAACAACAACTAACAACTTGGTTACCGCGGCTGCAGATCTTGTACCTACAGGTTTTCAATTATCAGACTTCACAAACTTGCACAAATTTGAACGGCGTGTTTACATACATACATACATATGTATATAAATTTCCTATATTTTATTTTATTTTTTATATTTGTCTCGTTTTTATTTAGTTTGCACACCACTCGGCTTTGTTCGCCTATTCGGCGTAGTTGGCCAAGTACTCGTAAAACCACATTTACTTCGCGACGTTAACGAGGAATACCAGGTATTTCACATGGAAATCGCCAGCGTAAAGCGCAAATTGGCAAATATTGAACTATTGAACGTTAGTATAACAGACAACAGCGCCGCTGGCAGCGATTACAGCGGTAACTATACCAATGGTGGTGGATATTATTCACACCAGTCGTTGGAGCATCTATATCAACGCAAACCTTTGGAAAACCAACAAAATGAGCATCAAAAGCTCAATGAAAGACTGAGAGAATTAGAGTCTGAAAGTCGGGAGCTGGAGAAACTACGTAAATCGTCGGCGTTTCAACGAAATTTCGTTTATCCGTTGGCAATGTTGCTTTTACTATTTTTTACCGGTGTAACGGTGTTGTTGGTGGTGCAAAATACACTGGAGCTACTAATTGGAATTAAAGCGTTGCCACTCAGCACTAGAGTGAGTTCATTTGCACCGACACTCGTAATCACTTTTTAAGTACTAGAAACTGTATGTTTTATTTTATAAATATAGCAATTTACACTTGGCATCACATCATTGTCGAAACTTGGGCCATTTGGCGCGGGGCTAGAGGTGTGCCTCATCTTCTATTTGGGCGCCACGTCAGCAGTTGGCTTCTACACCATGCCCTTCATGCGTAATGTGCGCCCACAGAAACGAAAGACTTCACTCGCCCAACTAATACTCAATTGTGCGCTAGTTTTAATATTAAGTTCAGCGCTACCGCTGCTCAGCAGAATTATTGGTGAGTTCTAAACGACTTTCCAATTAAAAATGTTTCATTTTAAATAATAACATTACTATTTCTGTTACAGGTATTACGAATTTCGACCTATTAGGTGATTTTGGGGCCATCGAATGGCTTGGCAATTTTCAAATTGTCTTACTTTATAATTTGATCTTTGGCACGACGACAGCGCTTTGTTTGGTAAATAAATTTACAGGAGCTGTACGTCAAGAGTTGTGTGCGCGGTTAGTAGAGAATTATGTACTGTTCACAAATTACATGTCGTTCATCAATTGATTCATCCACCAGTGACACAGAAAATCATAGCAAAGCACAGTAGCTCCCTGAGGCAAATAAATATGATAACTAAAATTGATTTACTTTAAGGTTGCTATTACAATATCGAGTCGTAGAAGCAAATAGAACTGATCATGAATGAATGCTTATTTATAATGCTAATAACAAAGCTTAACTCATTTGTATCATGATATTTTTAACCCTTTTAATTTAATCGAACTCAATAATGCAGAAAGAGAAATAATATAGACTTAAATAAAACGAAAATAACAACCGAATCGAAAAGAACTGATATTCATCAAAGATACGTTAATTTCAATATATTGTAGAGTTATCTGACATAATATTTTGCATTTATATTTATGCATATGTGTATGTACGATTATAAATTTTATTTTTGAATACTTTGAAAAGTTAGCTCGCAGCAATGCAATTTGTTCTTCTAAAATGCAGTTTGAAGATTAAATTTAGCATTTCTTTTAACTATGGTAGGAAATATGTGAAATAGTTTACTACAAAAAAAAAAAAATATATATATATATAATAGAATATGCGCTCAATGTGTATTAATTTGATTAAAATTATTAGGTAGTTTTAAAAATTATTAACTGAATGTTCATTCTTTTAAGTTTATTTAAAAGACTTCGTTATTCGACATTCTAAAAAAGGAAAACAAATCGTGCTAGTCAAATAGTTTAGTATGCAAATGTAAAACTTAAACCTTGAAACCAATAATTTATGGTAAATAGTCAATAAATATAAATTCAGTGAAAATGTTGAAATATACTGGTTGCCATTTATCTTTCATTTAATGAATAGTAAATTAAGATATTTTATGTAGGCTATTATTTTATTTTCAAATTAATATTAATATTAATAAGAGATTCGCAATTAAATGTATTCTGTGGAATGTAGAGACTCAAAATGAAAGATTTGATGCGTACATAATGTAATGCTCCACTTATAAATAGCTAATTCATTTCATTTGTATTTATTATATATTAAACAATCTAATCTATCTGAAAAAAACTATGTATGTATCTAACTTTGTGTGATATAAAAAAATACATTATAATAATACGCAAAATAAAAAATGCATGTTTAAAACTAATCAATGGTCGTAAAATTTCTCCAATTGGTTATGTCTTAAATATATATATATATATAAAACCTCGGCTTTAAGTCATTTTTTTGGAAAGTTATGAGTTATTTTTGTATTTAATCTAAATCTGAGATCTTTCTCATTATAATCAGAAATATTTCCTTTTTTATTATTTTGCAGGCTGAGTTCCATATTCCTAGTTTTGTAATTTGCTTTCAACAGTTGGATGCTCCATCGTTCCTTTGTAATATCGTCAGAGATTTGAAAAATTAATTGTTATTGCACAACTTGAAAAAGGCTTAATATTTATTATTAAATAAATAAAAAGGTTGTGATAGAAATATGTTTCAATATTTATTTCACAAGTTAACATTCACATTTCTTGAGTGAAAAAAACAGTGAAACAGCTCGTGTACATATTTAATACATTGATATATCGGTAAGCAAATATGAAATGGACTGAACATTTTTGAATTCTTAAAAATATTGAAAGTGTATTTCGTTTTCAGCTTCTTGTGCAAATAAAAGGTACTAAAATTTCAGTTATAATTTTTATATATTTTAGTAACAAACTATTATTCGCGCAAAACAACGCTTATGACGTTTCTTAAGCTATTCTTCAACATATTCTCATAAAATGATGGAAACATAAAAACCACACGTATAACGGAAAACTCAACAGTCAATATTAGTAAACAGGGAGCCTTGTAGCCATAAATTTAAGCTTTAGTTTACGAGGTCAATTTATTTTGATTATCCTCACAAGGTTCATTATGGGTTTCAAATGATTTTTCATCTGCTACCATTTGATATCCACATTCTTCACTCATGTTTACAACTTCGTCAAAATCTCGCAGGTCTAATTCGTGAAGTGCCTTCTGTACCATTGCAGCCAACTCAGGTGGTAAATCTTTTAAATCATTATGTCTTTCTCTAGCAATATCGTTAGCTATATGCGGTTGTGTAGTTGTAGCTTTTATTTTTTTGCCTGAATTATCTCCAGAGTCCGTGGTAGTTGATGGCGTTTCATAGGCATTGCTAAGGTTGTATGTACCAATGGCATCTGTAAAGCCTCCATATTCCGAAGATAGTATGCTCCTTCCCGATTCTGTTGATAGAGAATCTACAGAATCCTCCGATAAACCGATACGCGATGTTTGGTTTGAGTCCTCCCGATCAGTCGTTATGGTTTCGGAATCGTTAATTTTAACTATAACAGAACATTTCTGATTGGCTATTGTTGCCGTCGCATCTGTGTCAAATATATCACTTGAATCAACAGATGAAGCGATATAGCCTTGCAGCAACAATTGAGAAGGTGAGTATTCACTAATGTTTGAAGAAGTCGTTTCAGCTGTATGCTCCTTGTTTGTCAAACACTGAATGCGTTGCTCTAGCTCAGCAATTTTTGTAGCTAGAATTCTATAATACAGAAATATAGGTAGTAGTTTCAATTTACATTCAAAATTCTGGTAATTACTTATTAGTTTTCTTTTGATGACTTAACGCAATGTGCCTATCGTTTAAGTTATCAAGCAACGCCAAGCAGAGAGCTTTCAAATCTTGCATAGTTTCGGTTTTCGTAGGCAGGTTAACGCCATTGTCAAGCATTGTTTTCACTGTGAAGAAAGGCAAATTGGAGTACAAAATTAAAAATTGGCATCTTAAAAAAAAAAGCTGAACTGAAATTAAGTATATTGCGCAAACTAACATGTCAAACACAACAAATATGGTGTAAAAGTAATAATACACCTTTTTACCTTGTTTATGAGATAAAATACTATCATCATTATCATGACAACCTAGTTTAATAATACCCTTTTTTCGCTTCGCTTCCAACATAGTCTTTGGAGCATGAAATATGTTAAAATTTTATTAGTATGGTTATATTTTGTGATGAAAGGGGGGTGAAAGGGGAAAATGATTAGTTTGTAAATTAGATTAGATTTTTAATTTTTACCTTGTATTTGTTAAGCGATTGTTTGGTTATATCAAGCTCGTTTTCAAAATTTTTTACACGTTCATGTAGATACTTGTTTTCCAGCAAAATTCCATCTATGTCAAGAAACTAGGAAACAAAAATTATTAAAATGTGCAGGTAAACGACTTTGAACCTTACCTTAGGATGTGCTTTATTTGCTTTCAATGCATTTAATAGCTCGTGGTTCAACCGGTGAGCCTTGCATTTGTAAGCATCACGCTCAGATATGATATCCTCCTTTTCATCGATCAGAGTTTTTAAATCAAAAGCGAGTTGCACATTCTAAATAAAAAATAACTAATTGACAACTCAGATTATAACGAAGCTTTCCCTCAATACCTTCTTTTTCAAAATTTCTAGATGGCAGATGAAAGTCGAACGTTCTTCTTTCCATTGTAACATATCAGAATTACTGGCCTCAATAGCCATATCAATTTGAGACTTTTCTAATTTTCCCTCTTTGGCAGAAGCTCTAATAATTTCAATATCACCACGCAGTTCGTTTAGTTTTTGCTTTAAGGATTCTACTTCTGTAGTTAATTTTATATTTCTTTCTCGGGTCTCATGTAATATTGATGCAACGCTAGTTTTGTTCCCCTCCAAACTAAGGCAGCTGTTGTACTCATTATTACGGGTTATAGCTGAGTATCGCAGTTGTAAAGTTTCAGCCATCAATTTGAATTGATCTCGTTCCGTACGAAATTTTTCAAGCTCCGTACGTAAAATACGTAATGCTTCCACTTTGCTCATCAATTTTCTGTGCAAAGCGGAAGTCTGTAAATAAACATTCTTATCAACAGCTGATATGTGTAAAATATTAAGAAAGGAAAAACACAGTAGCAGACAATGATTGAAAAATGCGAATGCCATTGGAGGAGTAGAACATACAAACAATCGATTGCCGAACTCACATTGAACTCTCCCATACGCCCGGAATACAAATCGAAATCCACTGGATCCATATGATTTTGCAATTGGTATTCATCATTAGAACTCATATTTTATTTGAGCACAATAAATTTACTTCTTTTAATTTAATAAAACGATAATAAGGACAGACAAGAACGTTCACTGCAAATTAAAAGTTTCACAAAAAGTAAAAATGAAGGATGACAATAGAAAGAAGACAAAGAACATGAAAATCAAGCTGCCAGAGCACGTCGTTTTGTGACATAAATAAATCTAATTTTTAACGGTTAAATGCAATATGTATTAAGTGCGAGAAAATATCATGTTATAATTCTTATATTCTTTACTTATTATTAAATAATATAATAAAAGTAATTTAGAACAAGAAAAAACGAAAGAAATCAGAAAGCTGTCTTTTTTGGATGTGTATAAGAAAAATGGGAGTTATGTCACATAGTTTGCTTTGAAAACGGCTTTAGCGTGGACAGCGATTATGATTTTACAGCCGTGAAAACGTCAAGAGAAAGTAAGAGCGGGAGATATTGGATTTTTCATATAACTGGTCGTTCTATCGTCTACAGTATTCGCCGTCGGCCTTTCACAGAGGACCACAAACAAAACCTTTCTCTCGAACACTACCAAAACTGACTCATTGGGTCTTTTCAACGTCCACGCCACTACACCATACAGCATGAGTGACTTGTAGAGTTTGGTTTTTGTTCCTCGAGAGAGAACTTCAATCTTCATATGCCTGCTCAATCCAAAGTAGCACAAGTCGGCAAGAGTAACTCTGTCTTGGTTGCCGAGCCAGTTATTGTTATTAGTTGGTTTCTATCATAGATTTTACAACTTTAAAGTTATGACGTATTCGTATCTTATGCAATATAGATAAACAAGAACCATTAATCCAATGATATTAATGTCAACGGCATACTTTAGCAGTTGTACACTTTTATAGAAAATTGTACCTTCTCTATTTAGTTCTAGGGCTCTAATTATTTTCTCCAGTTTTAGATTGAACACAATAAAGAATCACTCTGTCTGAAACCTGGTTTGGCACCGAACAGCTCGGAGAGGTGCTGTTTCATGCACCTGGTCAGTTCTTCGCCACCGTGATTGAATAGCTCAGACGTCAAGCAATCTGCTCCCGCCGCGTTAATGTAATGTTTGAACCATCATCGTCTTCGTCGATGTAATGGTTGTTTTCTTGAAGCTCCAGCTAACATTTGAGCGCTCAAGCGTTCACAAAGCCTTTAGCCGTGATACTGAACACAATTTTCGACTATGACAGATTTATTTTCGTTTGTTCTGAGAGTTTTCGGAAGTCTATTACAATAAACAAAGGAAGCCTATTTACTCGATAGAGGGAGAGACACCCACCAGAAGTCTAACAAGAGTTTGAAGGAATTGGCTTGGGATATTGAGAAGAAATACATTCAAATGTTGAAGGCTTACTGTTATTATTGCGAGGTAAAACAATAGCATTGACGCTGCTGAGGGTTGGAGGGTTGAATAAATAGGCGTTATAAAGATGAAATCGAACAAGGTGAAAAAGTCTGTTATGCCAAGGACTTTAACAACGCGGTAAATGTCAAAAGCATGGTATATTATGTAAATTATTATTATTACGCCAAATAATTTCTCATAAAACACCAAAACCATTTATCATTTTTTATTTGCCCCGAGAGAAGTGTATAACTGTAAAAAATGTATGTATGATGGCCGTGGTTCTCAAGGCTTACTTAAAATAAAATTGCAATTTGTCCTTGGCTTTCTTCAATATTAGTCATGTAACCATTAAAATTGGGATCCCTTATAAATTTTTTATTTGCGGATTCTCAAAATTGATCATTGTCCAAATTAAAGAACCTTTAGAAATTTATTTAAAACAAAATCTCCATCGCTTTCCGACAAATTTTTCCATAGGCCCTAGTTCAACAATATTCAAAAATAGAATACTAAATGCGGCTAGTACAAAAACTTCTCTTACTGACTGTACACTCAAACAGAAGCTGAGCCAGCAAAAAAGGGTTGTTCTTAAATCAGAGACCTCAATTTAGTAAACAACAGGCATGAAATTCCATGTAAAAAAATAATTTAGATATCGCATCGTCTTCCGTCTCCACAATCCAAGAACAAATTTGAATAACCACGGATTTTTTCTTGGTCTCATGTGCCCTTGGCATTGAACTTCCTGCTAATATTTCCACAACAGTTGATGGACAAGGACATCATTCACTTGGTTCGCGTGTCTAGCTGGATCAATGAACTGTTTTGCTTTAACTTTCAACTGTTGCTCGCTTACACGTTTCGGTAGATGTGTTCTCACACACATTTTGCAAAATTGGTGAATGAACTTAACAGTGATTATTGCTATGCAGTTTTTACTATAATTTTTCTTCATTGATAATACTCGCATTTACATTTGTAGTTAAGTGCTTAGCAACCAGTGCTGTTTGTTTATGTTTAGTAAATAAGATTTTAGACACCGGTTGTCGATGGCTACATACGTATACATATATACTCGTATATATTATATGTATGTATTTATATCTTCCTAGGTGTATTATTTTTAACTGTACAATATTTTGCTCAGATACGTCTATCAACAGGTTTAAAAACTGTGTAATTTGCTTGGGGAATATATCGAAAAAAGTCAGGAGCAAATTGTATTGAACGTGATAAATTAATAGAACATACATTTTGTACATACATATATATATGACATACATACTTTGAAGATTTTGCAAAGAAAAGGAGGGACTGACAGTTTCCCATCCGACTCCCATCCGACTACTTCTCTTTTTATATAATAAATGTATGTGCGATAATGCAATTTTTCGCTTAGAAACTGAGAAGCTGAGGGAAAGGAGTTGAACGATTTAAAATATAATGGCCGACAAAATGTAGCCGGATGTAGACTGCGTGGCAATTTTAGTGTCCACTAATGGCCGAGTGAATTTCTGGCATGACATATAAGCTCCTTTGATTAATTTATACCTGATTAAGATATCATTAATTTGTCCTTTTAGTTTACAGGTAACCATACACCATTCATTAAAATCTACAAAATTAGTTTAATAAATACATTCAAAATATGCGCAGTGCATACATACATATATCTTTGAAAAATAAGCGAATTGACATTTTACCAACATAACACCGTATTGATCTATGTTTGCAATGGCCGATTAAATCTCGAGTTTCGAGTCATGAATTCTCTCTGGATTGCTGACACTTGTATATTGTATAACGACTTCTCACAGGAAATAGTCAAACGGATTCGAATAGCAACAGCAAACTCACTGTACGAATTGATTCATTGATCAATTCGCGTGAATTTCGAGCGTAATTTTGCTACAGTTGCGGTTGAATAGGTGGAGCTCAAAAAGCAAGCGGTAGATGACCCATCATTCCAATGGGGAAAAAGAGCTCGGCTTTAGTACCTGTGATAACCGTTACGATCTTCTCATTTTTTTTTGAAGTTCGTACCCATAAGTCGTAAATAGAAATTTCTGTTAAATGCTCATTACGAATTATTAACCAGCATTCTGTGATGCTGTTGGCAAATAAAAATAAATTGGCGAATAACTTGATGAACGTCTCACCACTATATGCGATATTTCGGAATTTGATTTATTTAAAGTTGTTGTGAGCTAGTTAAGGATATCGTTGTACCCATAGGGATCGTTCACTATGTTTTCCCTTGTAAGTGTAATAGGCTATAGTTTATAGTAGAGCTCTAGATACCCGGGTATCGAGCACTGTGTTAAATTTATTTATTCAGTGATGTGAGAACGGGATACCTTCTTGAGTAGTTCCCATGCTTACCTCACGTAGTCGTGTCGCTGAGCCATTTGATGATATAATCATTCTGCATCATAAGTATCGATAGCATCCATTTGGAAATCATGCCGTCTATGCAGACATACTCGTATGCCAGATAATGACTGATTGTGCTTATTTTTATACTGTTAAAATCTTCCTCTATGTTAAGAAAACGGGTATAGACATATTTTGTTCACATTGAAGACTGTTCTTAAACAAATAAACTTGATACAATCTTAGTTCAAATGTAAACTAATTCAACACATAATGTTTCTGCGCTCATTTTGTGTTGTGCTTATGCTGTTTTTCAATCAAATGCAATATCACCCGCACATGCTGAAACACAAAGGCATGTCATAAGTACCGAAGGGAGGCGTTCGCATTTAGTAGAGAATTCAAGCCCATGAAATGAATTGGGTCTAGTAAAAAGTAATCTTTTATTTATGCATTCCATTGAAGACTTTATTTACCATATTTATAATTATCCGATTTATGTCAAATACGCTTCGTTTGTCTTTCTCATAGACTTCCCTGTGTTTATTGACAAAAAAAAATTGAACAGTAGATTTTCGCAGGCTTTTCTAAGACCAATTCTTCACCAGCCAAATCATTCGATATCCTTCTTCGATTCGCAGATGGAAATTCGGGCCATAAGGTTTCTCTTTAATTCATGTTGTACCCTTACATCGAGTCTATTTGTGTATTCAACCTTTTTCAAATGGTTCCAAATTCTTGTGCAATGTTTAGCTCAATCGTAATTAGGCGTGCATGACTGTCAAACTCGATAATTTCCATTATTTTAAAGACATTTTCGACAATTGACCTTCCCCACTGTGGAGCAGTCTTTACATCAAAATTACCAGAAGGAAATCGACGAAACCAAAATTTTGCATGATCGACTGTTACAGTTTCTGAACCACAAACACTACTGAGTTAAGTGAACAACACTTTTTCCGTTTTCTTTTTAGTATAAAATATCAAATGTTTAACGCTATCCAGCGTAATCCAATCGCTGTTATAGAATTCATGATACAGATGACTAAAGACGTCTATTTCATAAATAATGGATTACTTTTTACTAGGATTGGATTGCGTTATAAACGAATTTTGTGATAGTTTCCAGAGCAACGCCTTAAATAATATAATACATACGTCTATGTGTGTTATTGCTCACATGGAATTATGTTTGGTGCCAACCCATTGTATACACTCACGTCTGAAACGGAAAAAAGCCAGTCATGGCACGATGACTATTTTATGGAAATAGTTATATCTAATAAATTGTAGTAAATTTTGTTTCACAACATACTTTGAAAATATACAGAAAAATTCCGCATTTCTTTAAAGCGTCTCGTTCCACAGCGACAAAGCTGATAGTTTTCCTACAGGGCAAAAGGCCTTCAATTGCTAAGTCTCCTAAGGAGGCAAGCACGTTTGATCGATGCAATGGAATTTGTTCGGCAGGTTTAGCAAATGATTGCGCAATAAAGAAAGTCATTTTCGATCGAATCTTCGAAGGAAATACACCAAAATACTTAGTAGATATTTACAGTGAATTAAAAAATTTTAATTGAAATTCGCTGAGTGCGTGTTTGGGATTTTGAATTTTGTGCGACAAATACGCCACGCGGCACTTGCAGGATGTTTGTGCATAAAAACACTCGAGCACAGTTCGCCCAACATGCGGCCGCTATACGGGGCGATAGCAGCTCGGAGGACGAGGAGGAGGGTGGTGATGCATTGCAGGTGAAAAAGTCACAAGAAAGTGTTATATATTAAGAATTGAAAAAAAAACCTATGAATGTATCAAAACACTTGAATGAAGTAATTATTATATTTATATGTATTTAATAATATATTGAACTAAGGTAGCCATTCAATATGGAATTTCGATAGTCAAATATGAGTTGCTATTATATAACGGTTACGGTTTTATGACGTAAAGTGAATGTGTGAAATGCTAAGCAATTTTTAGTCTATTTCGACCCATTTAAAATGACATATTATAAAAATTCCTTTTATGATAGTCTTCAGAAAGTCGTATGGACTTACTTGAATGGACTGACTCCGGGGAGTCTCACCCACATACTTCTGTACTGCTATTGGCCCTTATTCTTTGCTGATTGAAAATGAACAACTCTGCTAGCCTTGTCCTCAACCAGACAAATTTTCAAAACATGCCAAAAATAGATTACAAGAAGCATGGAGTTTGACATCCATAGTCCTCATCTCCTCATGTTCCATTTTCCCTAGTATATAACTGGTTGGAGAAGTTTTCCGTCCAAAAATCTAGAATACTCCGGATTGCCAGGCGCTGGATTTCGGTTGCCGTATCAAAAGTTTCGTTTGCAACTGTACGTAGGGAGCTTGAAATGCCGTACCATAGTTCCCTTATACCGAGCTGCTGATGACTGCTATCGGCCGAGGAGCGACTTCAATCAAAAAATTTCACCTAAATTTTTTTAAAATACATTTTCGATAATTTTGGATTTTGTTGAATTGACTAAATGACTCGAATCCTGGTCTTCCGAAGAGTTGTACGTAATGCTAATCACTCGACTATTACGATCGTCCCCTCAATTTTTTCGATTTTTTACGACCGTAGTGCCGACGATACCTTCTTTGCCCACCCTGGCGTTAAAGTCATCAAGCACAAATTTGGCATCGTGGCGGTGACAGCGCTCACGAGCATGTTCCAGGCGCTCATATAGGAACCATGATTTCATCGTTTTTCCCTTTCGACAGGAAGTTGCGTTAACCAGCGAAATGTTGAAAAGTTTGCGCTCCTTCTTATGTGCGCTTTGGTTAAAGTTACAAGGATATACTCGTCTCCGTTCTTGTTTCGTGGATCGCATTACTTTAACGGCGGCGATGTCATCCTCCAATCTTACGAGGACAACAACTACTTGAACAGCGGCACCCTCCCAATTAAGAGGCCGAACGTTCCAAGTGCATGTCCTTAAATCATAGCCCTTAACATGTCTTCATTGGTCGTTAGAGCTGGCTTCTACGTGACGAGTACAAATCGCAGCACACACCACTTCTAACTAGATCTGTCGGAGCGACTTCACTGAGTGGCCACTTCTCGTTTAGTCGTGACCCAAGGCTCCACGCGGACTGGTTACCGCATCTTGCACAAGTATTGCTCACGCTTCCAGTGTTAGCGATGAGGCAAGAGTAGGAATTGAATATACTCGTACTCGTAGCTCGACGACTGTAATTCATGCTGCCTACTAGACTCGTCTGTGGAAATGCAGGCTACGTGGAACTGTATCAAAAGCAGATAAGAAATCGTATATTGATCCTCGGCATGTCACATGGAATGGTCTCTACTCGTCATGTCATTAAAGTTATTTCTATAATTAATTATTATTTATTATACTCAACGTCGGTTAGTACTCACAAGGTTAATTGATCTATTTCTTTACAGAAAATCTTACTTTTTAAATAAAATGACAAACATTTATTTATTTTGAACATTTCATTATATTTTCAATTGAATTTTTATATACATATGTATGTACGTGTATGTTCGATTGCCCAACACATTTTATGAACTTAGTTGGCACTTGAGGTATACAGTTGAATATTCGTATTTTGTACTTTGAATTTTGCATTTTGAAGTTTGCCACAAACTATGTGTATAATTGCATTTTTAGATAAAAAGTGGCGTTGCTTAATTTTTGAATTTTGTAAACTAATCCACTTTGGTATATTTTTGATAATTTTCATTTTTTGAATGTTTTGCTGCTGTAAATTGTTGCCCTCTGGTGATCGACGCTAAAAAATTGCAATAAAAAATTGCAATGTACAAACAAATATATATATATACTTTTCTAAATACTCATATGAATAAAATTGTTTTCATTGTGTGAGTCTGTGAAAAAAATCGTACTACACTTTACATAATCCAAATAAACGGCTCTGAGCTGTCTATTGAGCTGTCAAAAAAAATACATACATACATAACTACCAACACACCCAAATCAACTTTAATCAAAAATGGCTACCGACGCTGATGAAGCGCAGCGCCGACGTGAAGAATGCGAACGCAAGGCTCGTCGTGGGGAGATGGATCCCCGCCTGGAGTTTACATTCCAACTGTTAATCGACGCAACACAACTGCCGCGGCATCAACTAATGGATTACATTTTCGAAGGTGATATGGTGGGTATCCAAACAGAAAAAGAATAAACTCATATAAATACTTATTGCATCCACTGGTTATGGATTCAATTTTACTAGTGGAATTCTATCATTTTACCCAATGTGTAACTGTTTACATAGATAACAGCATTTCTTTGAATATATTATTTGTATAACATATGTATGTATGTCTATGGAATAATTTTTTATCTGGCAGTTGGACGAAATTAATCAACTCTTTCTGCCCAATATGAAAAATAAGCTTTTATGGTTTTATCAAGAGGTGGATGAGCCGGAGCCGCAACCAGTACCAGATCCCAACAAACCAGGACCTTCGCGTAGTGGCATTGCATCAAGTAGTTCAAAAACACCGCAGGGTATGCTTATTAAATAAAGCTTGACATAATTAAAATTAGCTCCCCTTTAAGTATTCTTCACGAAAAGCAAATACATTTCGGCATTAAAGTGCAATGTAGAGCTTTGAATATCATTTGCATAATTTTCGGAAACTCTTTTGCTCCTCGACATTCCCTGAAGACTCCTAAGAACATAATTTTAAACAATATATCCCTTTATGTTAGCATAATATTATTTTGAAAATTTTGGCCACGTCTGTACATAGGTCCACTGCAAGCTCACAAATACGGAGTATAAATTAATTCAGTCCGCTTTTTTTTGTATTCAAAAAAGTGTATTTTACTGAAAATATTAATAAAAAAATGCATTAAGATACTTTATATTGTCCGTCGAAAGTGACAACTTTTCCCACCCCTTCTCTGTCCTCGATCCAATCATGAGCCATTCATTTTGAACCGAAAAAGCTCGTAGTGGAAGGAGCAAGGTCAGGAGAACAGAGCATGTGAAGCGTTACCAGACAATTTTTGACCATTACAGCAACGTGGGGCTAAGTCTTGTCATTTTGCAAGGGCACCTTGTTATCCCTTTGATCGATTCTGTTGAGCTTTCATGCAATGCACTGCTCAAGCGCGTTAGTTGTATTCGATGATCTTTGGTATTAAAGGTATCGTCCGCTCATATTACACCACACCCGCCTGGTTCCCCTATATGCAGAGCATTACCTTCGAACCGGGGATGTTTTCCTCCTGCGTCGATATAGACAGTGATGAAATGGGTTCACAAGGCTTCACATAGTTTTTTTTTCTTCTTGGAGATATTTTACTATATTTACTTTTCATCCTTCAAATCCCTCGCTGTGTTGTCGTTCAAGAAGCAGTTCCGAGGTGAAAGCCCGCCTTTCGACAGCTCTCGTCTTCAAATCGTACGGGGTTGGCTCTTTGTATTCGACGCTAAAAATCATCACTCTTGAAGTTTTCTTTTTTTTCTTTCCTACACATCATATGCGGTATTTGTTATAACTAGTTCACAAAGGTCAATAAAACTTTCTTTCGACTGACTCATTCGGATGTTGCCACCGTCTGCGCTTCTGCACTTTTCAGCAGGTAGAGCAAATTTTGGAGGTTGGTTTTAGTTCATCGAGAGGGACTTTACTTTTCGATTACTTACTCAGCCCGAAATGTCACCGATTGGTAAGAGGGACTCATAGTGAGCTGTGACGGGAATATCGTTCAATATCATATCCTACGTTTCTTTGTAGAATTTCAACAAATTGTTTACCCCAGAAATAAGTTAAGGAGTCATACGATAAATAATCGTATTGTTTCGTATTGAATGATTCGGCGAGGATCTTTACTATTCTCATGAGCTTTTGAAATTGTTCAGTATCGGTTTGCATGACCATATAATTTTTTGCGTGGAAACCAAATGCAGCGTCGTACAGAAAGCTAATATTCCCGCTTTCGACGGTCTGCATAAAATGGATCGGTGTTTGTTGATTAGTTTCTCAGAGGTCGTTTCATAAAGCTCGTGTCCGGTCTATCGGGGATCACTTTCCTTAGCTTATATCTATATTTAACATGAATTAGAAATGCTATTAGTTGCAGAACTACACTCCCAAGCGAATGGAAAATGGCTCATGTGCAACTAATTTTTCAAGACATTTTCGATGATAACTTCTCCAACTAAGTATCTTTTTTACATATCTGGAAGGGGGAAATTGACCACGTCTAGTATATTGGAGCTCTTCCTCCCTTTTGTGGCGTCTTATTGCCTAGCTACTTCCAGCTGATGGACTCATATGAGGAAACTTTTATTTTATGTTACAAATACAGTCGGGAGGGACGAAACTTTCTGTCGTGGAGCAATTGTAATTACAATTATTTTTGTTTTATAAGCTGAGATGTTGGTTCTGTTGGGATACCAACCTATGATCCTCTCTATGACAGCACGCACTGCTATTCATTCGGCTAATGCGGATGCCTTTTGATGTATCACATATTTTTTTTTCTCAGAACCTTGAATATTTTTAAAATTCGCAAACATCTCGCTGAGCATATAAACCCCTCACTCCTTGCACACATTACCACTTACAATCATTCACAATCGCCTTCAATTACGTATAGAATAGTGCTCAAATTTAGTTGTTGCTCATCTCTAATGCTGGTTTTCCAAATATTACATATCTTTTCCCTTTAAATGTGTTCTTTACTTCAATCAGGTTCATCATCCAGCGGATCTGCGCCGCCGAAGCCAAAAAAACTTTTTCTGACTGATGGCTGGACATGCGGTTTCACCGGGATTTGTATTTATATCTTTCGCGTAAACACTTCAAAACAATTACCTGAAGAAGGCTTTCAAAAGGACTTGTAAGTTTGATTAACCCATCCCAGCTCATACCAGTGCTTTAGTAAGAAAATCATTTTTCGCTATAACACAAAACGAATTATGACTTTCTTTTATGAATTTTGTTAATAAAGTACACGCATGTACCTATACATACGTGTATAAATAAGCTGATGTATGTACAAGTGTACAAATCTAACCTTTAACGGTCTATTGGGTGCGTTTATTTTTAGTTGGAAAAATATTAAAATGACACAAAAAGTCAAGTAGAAAGATGACAGGGTAGATGTATGGAAAAGAAAATCTCACGAATTCACACCCAGCCTTAGAACATCTTGGGCTTTCGCGAATCAATGAAAAAAGTATTCACATTCCCTTCTTTTGCCATCCAGGTACTGTGGAGTTATCGACGCCAAAAACATCGGTTTGGTTACCTCTATTGAACGCATTGTTGAGTATGTTTTCATGCAGGCCCTGGCATTTCCCAGCTTGGAGGGTGATGAGGAGGATGTGAGTTGCGGTCTGATAAAAGGACAATTGCTGCCGGGTTTACGATCATTTTGCAGTGCTTTGCGTGTTTGCGAGCAAGTTTGTGATCATGTCAATATTTTCGACGATAAGTGTGATATGTTCGAGAAGATTGAGCATATTGACGAAGTTAAGGATATGGCCAAGAACCAAGAGTTTTGTGCTCAGCTGGAGGAGCGTGTAAGTAATTGGATAAAAGGTATTATGAAAATACTTGGGGAGAGCGAACAGCTACGGAAGGAGAATGACTCAAGTGGTCCGCAAGATGAATTGGAGTACTGGAAGAAGCGTGGGGCACAATTTTCCCAATTGCTTGCTCATTTGCAAGATCGTGAGGTGCAGTATACATTGCATTGCCTATTTTTGGCCGGTTCTCGTGTGATGCGCATGTGGAGGGAAACCGATCGAAAAATAACATTTTGTTACAATGAAGCGCGTGATAACTCGAAATTCATTCAGGCAATGGAAACCTGCTGTCATTCTTTGTATTTGGACGATCCGGTAAGCCCTATTTAAATGTAAGTATTTTTTATAATTACGTTTGTGCAGCTTTTGAGTTTAGCAATAAAGGAATTTAATTTAAGTTTCATTGAACCAGTTAATTAGATCGTTCGATAAAACATGCCGAGAAGTATTACGTCTTTCACTCATTAATTATAAAAAAAAAGACAATTAAATAAGTTTAAAAAAAAAGTATTCTCCTTACGAGAGTCGGTGGGGGTTTATAGTCCCTTTAACGATTTTTGGTCCAGCTGCTCAGCTAGATATGTTATGTAAGGGAAAGGTCCAGTCCTTTTGGTGGACTGCGCAAAGCGCACCTTAGTCCGAATGGCCGCGTCATGAAACGCCTGTTCCATCGTTATCCGACTTAGTGTCGTTTTCACTGCACCCATAAACTCAGTCTTACTTGCCCACCGGTTTCCAGTTACCAACTTTGGTTCCTGGTTTTATTTAATGTTCGTTATTATATCCATCTACGAAATGTACATCTATCCCGTAACAGATTGAAATAAGAAAAAGGCATTTTTAAATATTTATAACTTTTATTTTATTTTTATATATGTAACTAGTAGTAATCATTAAACACCGCTATTCAACAGGTATGCATGAAACAATCCATACTAAGTCTGTTGCAAACGGTGCGTCTTATTTACAGTGTTTCACAATTTTACAACACGTCCGAGAGAACTTCCTCACTTATGGTTAAGGTGCGTATGCCAATATTTTATATTATAAACCAAGGGAGATATGAATATATATGTATTTATATAAGTTACCTACATACACAGATGTATGCATTATCGCGATGTATTTGTTCGTTGCCTTTTGTATTCCAACAGACCATTTCGCCTCAGATTTCGAGACAGATTAATATATTTATTGTAAAGCATTCCACGTGCTCGAGTATTACCCACTCGCGGCACATAAAAGGTATCCTGCAAGTAAAAAAAAGTTAAGCGTATAAATCGATTATACAAGGTGAGTGATTTTTGTACGTGGAATGTGGGTAAAGGGGCGGTATAGAAAAAAATGTTTCTTCCTTTGAATGTATTAAAGATGGATACATTTTTCATGATTTCTCATAATACCCGGACCAGGTATGTGCTGTAGGTTGCATGATTCAAAATATCAAAGCCCACCTTAAGCAGGGCAACCAACTAATTATACACGTATATATATAAACATGGGGTATCGACTTGAGTTCATAATGATGAGCCCAAGTTTCTTCTCCAGTAACAATTCAACAGGTGAACTTTCTACGCGCTGTCGTTTTTTCTTCCAAGTTTCCCTTTTCACTACCGATTATGTTGCTTAGTTGCCCATTGCTTAAATACTAATTGTCGAATAACAATGGAACACTAATTATAGTCACTGACATCGCATGGTAGACAATAAAAATTTATTTTAGGAATGAGATCACCTACTTCACTTTCGTTCGGGAATATTTCCAGTAATTGCTCGTTCATCGCTTGAAAATCATTTATTGACATGTCCATTCGCTTTTCCAACGCCGCACCAATGACAATTCGAACCACTTTTTTACGATAATGCATATCAAGGCATTTATTATTATTATAATGTGCAATGGCACTTTTGCCTTCAGGGGAATTATTCAGCACAGCACGTACGCCCTGCATATAAAGGAAGACGATAAGTGAATAATACAGTATTTCAATAAATTTTTCTAAATTTTTATAAGAATACAGAAAATTACATTATTCGGCTTACCAATTTTTTCTTCGAAGCTGCTGGGCTCTCCTTTACGATATTATCTTGGTTTGGTTCTGTAATCACAGATTGAGTTTTCGAATCACTGTCCTCATACAAGTCAGCCTCTTTCGAAACACTTTCAAAACTATTTTCTTCTGGCTCCTCTACTAGGTTCATTTCGGGAATTTCATTTTTAATGGCGGCTGTTGTTGCATTTACAGGAGTGTTGGCTAAAACAACCATGGGCTCTTGTTTTCTTAGTTCATGGTTTTGTCGCCAAGCCAGGAGGTGGGAGCGAAATATTGTACGTGGTCCAATTTTCGGTATTAATTCGGAAATATCAGCGTCTGTTAGATATTGAAAGGCCACCGTGCAAACCTCTTGCTCTGTTGGATTAGTTATTAAATGTTTATTGTGTTTCTAGGGAAATGCTTAGGTTTTTTCTTCCAATTTTACCTTTGAATTTATCACATAAGTGTTTCAAATTCCATGAGCACAGCAAGCTTAATGCCTCATCTAGCGGGTTATTTCCTATAAAATATAATAGTTGGAATTGCTCTTTTTTATAAGAAGCTTTAATTTTCACGTTAGAAATACACTCGGAGGGCTTGACCTTCCCAGCCGAGGACGAACGTAATTGTTAAAATTTTTTTATCTTTTTGGATGTTTGATCAACCCAGGACTCGAACCCTGACCTTCGGAATGTTATGTACTAGGTAAACGACTGAAGGGATGTAATGAGTTTTTTTTTTATCAAATAAATCATAAGTTTTGTCTGCAAACAATATCTTAGTTTTAAGGTTATTAATGCTTTACTAATCATATTTATATCAGGTGGAGAGCGACCTGGCTTCACTTGTTATTTCCAATTATTTCCTTTATAAGGGATTGGCCAGAGCACTTATCCTAACGCAATCGTTAGGTAGGCGTTCATCTGATCATTCGTCTGCTCTTCGCAGCCATAATTTTATAGCTCTAAAGATAAACAATTGGCTTCCCCATACGGAAAATCCTCTTACTGTTCGTACGACGGTGGATCTAACTATCTGTCTTCTACCTATTTTTGTTTACTAACTGGTCTTCAGGAAAAAGCATTCAATTATACAAATAGCGAAAGACGTGTTATTTCAGTCTCACTCTAGGAATTATCAATATTAAAAGTGATGAAGTAACCGTTATTTTTAATTTTTTTTCTTATATCTACATAACTTTGGGCCCTGACATGAAAATCAAAGGCTCTTCATAAAAATGCTTTTGCCAATCGGTGACGGCCTAGAATAAACTGCAGACTCTCCATTCGCTCAAAAAAAAAAATCCGAGAACCGATTCAGCGGTAACAAAGCGCCAGTTATAATGTTGTAGTTTTGCAAATTTCACCAAAGCTCTATTGTTCTTAGAAAATAACAAGAAATTGTAATTCTACTAACCGTGCTGTTATCTATCAGCAAACGGTAGATTATTCATACACACACATGTATGTATGTATATACTATTGCTTTCAAATGGAAGTGTGATAAGGCCTTTCTATACTCTGGTACCGAAGTGATTATTTAATAGCAAATTTTATCAACCAAAAACAACTTAGGTTTATATGCAAATGCGTATATACATACATATAAGATGTTTATAATATATACATACGTAGATACATATGCATACTGACATACCGCTGGTATAACAAACAACAGCAAGTAAAATGAAATATCAATAAATAGACTACAGTTTATTGCTTGTTACTATTTGCTTTTAATATTATATTATATATGTATGTATGGGTGTTTGTATGCATGTATACATATACACTTACATATATGGCAACAGTTGTTATATTGTTAATGAACATTTGTTTTTGCTGTTTATTTTGTTTGCTAAGAACTGCGCATGAAACGATTATTTTCCTTTAAATAAAAGGTGTGTATATATCTACATACATATGCACATATGTGCAAATGCTAGCTATCTACCAAATTTGCTACTTACGTTCTTCATCTATAATCTGCTGCATTGAAAAATATGAATTCAATAATATAAATTTCCTGAAATTTCAATAAACAACACCACAAACTTCGTCGTCTAAACTTGTACTCAACGAACACCGCTAAAACAGCACACTAAATGAGCTGTTGTCGAATGTATGCAGAATAACAAAACCGAACTACAACGACAACAAAATAACAAATTCAAGCGACGTGGTATAATTGACACGAAGCTAACACGCGAAGTGTACATACATACATACATAAATGTCTGCCATGGCTTAACGATATCAGAGTATAGTTCTCTCTTTCTCACCTTTAACGAGACACCTTGGATCAGAGTGAAGTCACCTCAATATGTTGAGTTTATTATTACGTAGAATTTCATACATATTTACTTGTATGCACATAAGTATATATGAATGACGTTGTTGTAGTTAGTAGTGATGCCAGCAAAATTAATTTTATACAAATTACAAATTCTAACCCCTTGTTGATTTCTGTCTGTAATATACACATGTATGTAAGTAAGTATGTGTGTAACGTATGTTAAGTATTCGAACGCTATTAATGTTGTGAATTTTACTTAAAGGTTTTAAGAAATGTGCCAAGCAGAAATTATGATTGCACTTTTAGTTTACCAGTAAATGAGCAATAAAGCAACAAATAAGCTGGTATTAGCCCTAATCTGCATACATATGTACATGTATAGCTACATACATATATGGCAGATATATGTAAATATGTTTGATGAATTACTTGATTATTGTTAAAACGATGTGCATGTTGTAAATTACACTGGAAGTCATACTGACGTTTTGGTACGATTTTATTTTAGTCATTTTAATTTTTTATTTCTATTAAAAGCTCCAGCGGCCTTACTTTTATTTTAAATAGAAAAAGTTTGTCGAGTTTGAGGTTCGAATAAATAAAAACAATTATTTTCCCAATATATTTCGGCTACTCTTCGGTAACTTTCTTTAAGTTTGAAATGAGTAGAAATAAAAAATTGAATAACCCGTCCTATCAGTGTTACGTGGAGTTTTATACTGGTAGTACAATTGTATTGGTATAGGGATAATAGCTAAAAAATCACCCTACACATGTTAATCCCTTAGTCAGATAACTTAAAATAAAATATATAAAAAAGTGAAATAAGTTCTGTGGAAAGTGGTCATGCTACCAGATGCGGCGTTGCATTAATTTATAACAGCGAATGTGAAATATGCTGTGAAATTAAAATATTAAAATATAACATATATTGTTGTTTTTGTTATGATAATGCGTATGATAGGATCCCTGCAAGAAAGCTTCCGATCATTTGAGCCAACATATGTGAAGAATGCATGATAATATATTCCCTCAGCACGTGGAACGATTTTCCCATCACTTTCTTCAGGCTGAAATGACAAATGTGATGTTTACATTTGTATACGTGTCCGCCATTCTCCCTTCGTTGCTTTGTGCATTTTCATCATTCTTGTCGGCCTAACAGAACACAGCTGAGTAACAGTATTGATACTAAAAGAAAACAATAATGTCGTAAAAAAATGCAGCATTGCCGTACAAGTCGAACACAGATGAGCGACAGTATTGATGCCGAAAGAAATCAGCTTTGACAAAAAATTTTCCTTCACATACACATACATACAACTATTATTAAAATATGATTTATATAGTACAGAGAATAAATAAAAACACAATCACAAATTTGTTTTAAAAAATTAGTAAAATATCAAAAGCAAAACTACATATACAGAAGTCTATAATAGTGTCATGCGTTGGTGACGCAGCTCCTCAGCTCCTCAGTTCCACGAACACCTCCGTCATAATCGTGGGTGCTTCGAAATATAAAGACCTCTAGGTTAAATAATAAAATAATGTTCGAATCATAATGTGATTGATTTCTAAATGCAGTTGTACCTTGCAAAGTTTTATCGAATACTTCTAAGTCTGCTACTACTTCAAGATGAGAAGCGTCCATTTCACTCAATCTGCTCCATTAACAGAATTTTCCCTACAATATGGAGCGCCATTGAATAGAAACAATGTAAAGACTAATGAAAAATTAAGTAGTTAAATAATCGACACAAATTATATTATTACCACAGCTTGCATAAAATCCTTATCCATATTTTTCACTTATTTTACGTTCTCTGGTATCTGCTACGAGAAACCGATAAAACGGGTAAATATAAACAAAAAAAATTGCTTATGTGTTAGTGCTGCCCGAAATCGTGTGAGTGTATTGGTAAACCCATCAGCCCGTTCTTGCGCGGGTGTTACTGTAACTCTTCCTCTGGAAATTAAATTCATAATTTTCCCTCTGGATGCTAACATTCGGAAGTCTCGGGTTCAAATCCCCGCGCCACCAACATCCAAAAGTTATAGAAAACTATTTTAAATAATAAATTAAGTAAAATTTTCTAACTGCGGTCGCCCCTCGGCAGGGAATGTTCACCTCTCTGAGTGCATTTCGGACATGAAATAAAGGCTCCTCGTAAAAAAACCATCAACCGATCGGAGGCGGCTTAGTATAAACTTTTGTTGGAAAACACAAGACGCCAAACCACAAATTGGAGGAGGAGCTCGGCCGAAAATCGCTTCAGCGGTTGCAAAGCGCCAATTATATATATGTAAAGCAAATACATACAGTGGCTCAAAAATAAACTCGGACACACAATTCATATGACTTTAAACACAAAAATATATAATCAAATTCAAATCGAGGGCTTTCTGTTTAACATATATTTCAATTCTTCAAGTGTATTTTTCAAAACAACTAAAACCATAAACTGAATTCAACTCGGTCGTATAAAAATAATATGAACAACTTATCTTTTGCTTATTTCTATTCTTTACAGATCACTAACCAAATGATAGAGACCTGCAAATCTTACATCACATGTCGTAGCAAAGAGACCATTTGGTCACAAGATCGCAATATAATACGCACTAAATTAGGCAATTGTATTAAGCTTAATCATATATATCACGAAACTTATTACACCGTTAGAGAGCAACCATTCTTACCTAACCAAACACCGTTCGGTTTCTCGGAGAATTTTGTTTTTGGAAAGTTCGACACTTTTTGCGATCGGTTATCGAAAATTATTTCAATGTTCAATTTAATTGATGATTATAATCATCTCTTTGAACGTCGATTGGAGGGCCTATTATTGGGTGAAACTCTACAAGAGGCCAGCAATCATTTCGAGGAAGCAAAGAAAGAGATTCTATCGAAGAAATATGATTATCTGGATCATAGAAATGGCGAGTTTAATGAAGACTTTGATCGCTTCATGAGCAAAACCGATACACTGAAAGATACTATAGCCACACTTATAGAGACCAATTTTGATACCGTATGGGAGACGCCGCAGTGCATTCGGTTTCTTACACGATTTGAAAAGGTTAGCGAGAAGATACCACTAAGTAGAATGGATGAGAAGTATGTACGCATTATAAAGTACGTTGATAAGGAAGTGGATCGGGTAAATAAAATGTTTAAGAAACAGCGCGATGACCCACCTGTCTGTAGGAATTTCCCTCCCATCGCTGGCCGCATTCGTTGGAGTCGCGCTTTGGATGCACATATGAGAGAATTGATGGAAGCTGTGCTCGAGCATCAGGTGTTGAGCGGTCTGCCCTTGACGAAGGATTTAGAGAATCGATACAACAATGTCATTGGCTTACTTAAGGAGTACGAAGCTGAGATTATATCTATTTGGTTGGATCAGGATGTAGGTCAACGGCGGCACACTCAAAGCAATGCTATTAATTTTCTATTTATTTATTAAATTTAGGTGAGCGTGGCCGATGCTTGTCTATTACAGCCTCTGCTTGCTCTGCAAGGTGATCGCCTATTCGTTAATTTGCATCCCACGATACCGTTGTTGATACGCGAGGCAAAGATGTTGGCCAAAATGGACATTGAATTGCCAATTGTAGCCGCTACGCTGATGAGTCGTCAGAAGTATTTCACTACCATACAAGACTCTTTGAATGTGAGTAAAGCAGGTTTATCGTTGTAGTTTTTTGTTGTAGTTTTTCCTTCTACACATTCCGCTTTGACTTATTATTTCTTTGACCGTTAACAGTGCTTAATCAAAATGTTTTTGACAACTGTGCGCGCCGTCAAATTGGAAGTGCGTCCGTTGTTCCTGCCACAATTGGTGCGGCTCACAGCAATGCTCAAACCCGGCCTTCACACTATAAATGTAAGCTTGAATTATGTCTGTGAGCATCCCGAGGGTGTGAGTCCATCATGTTTTATCATTTGTCATTTGCTCAGCAACAAAATTCAATTAAAGTTTCATAATAAGTCTCTATGCTTTTAGTCCTTTTAAGTGATTTTACGTATTTAATTGTATGTTTGTAACTCCGGGTGTATGTCGGTATGTTTTTGTTCTCAAGTGGACTCATCAAAATTGGACGGAGTTCTACGAACGCTGCAAACGCGCTATCGAGACGTTTAATGTCCTAGTTGCACGTGTCCACGACATCTACTCCAATCGCATTTTAAATGTGCTCATGTGGATGCAGGATGTGTCGTTACAAGTCCTGCCTGGAGGTAAGAATATGTATGTACATTTGAAAATACACACAAATCATAATTATTGCAAAAAAAAATAAAAAATTTAAAATTTCAAGTAATTGTTGGCTAATCTGCGTCTACATCCTAAAATCTATAAATGTACATACACATACACATACACGTATATCTTAGTAAGCACAAAGCCATATACACGTATATAATTCAACTGTGTATTGTATTTGTTTATATTGATTTTTATTAGAGGATGAAATCTGGACAGTGGACGAGTTTCTAGAGAAAAGTGAAGATGCTTGTAGGTGAGTAGACATATCGATTAAATTTAGTTAAAAGCTTTCTTAAATAATCACATTATTTATTTTGATTGACAAGATATGCTAGATAAGATGCTTAGTTCACCTTTCACGACCATGTTAAATTTATGGTGTTTCAGTTTAGGCAACAATTGGTTTGTGTCTCGTCCTCAGATTTCGAAGATTATCAGTATCAATGTTTATCTTAGATGCTTTTTTAACGGATGTATGACCCAAAATCTGAAATTTGAAAAATCCATCGTGTATACGCAATAGAAATCCGCTCTGGCCCTTTATTTGTCCCTTTAAATGTACAAGTGCATTTGTGTACCAAATTTAGTAGAAGTTTCTCAAAAACTCAGGCACTACGATAGAGTTTCTTTATGATCGCAAAGTTGGGGATAAGGGGTAGAAAAAAAATTCCTTTTCAATGCATTAACCCATAAAACCTTTTTGTAGATCATTCAATTCAGTTATTTATATACTCATAAAATTTTTTTGTCCTTATCTTCAAAATACGCCGAAACTTCCTCTTTGACTTCATCATGGGTGTTCATATTTTTACCATTCAGCACTTTTTTTCACTTTTGGAAATACGTAATAGTCATTCGGGACCAAGTTTGGGCTATAGGGTGGGAGAGTCAAAATATTGAAATCTACGCAACGCGACTATTATGCACGGGCGCATGGTCGCAACGGGTTTTCCTTTCTTGGCAAGGAACTTTAAAGCGACGGAATATTCCATTTTTTTACTTTTCACTCTCGATTATGTTGCTTGGTTGACAAACTCATCTCCGTTCGATATAAATCGGACCTTCTGCACGTATGTACATTAAAGGTATACAAATTATATTTCAGAAGAAGCTTTGGTTTTTTCATTTTTACTAGAAACAAATGGTAACTTGCTGGTCAGAGTGGAAATTAATGCTCAGTTGAGCTCTGTTTTTTTTTTTTTGACGAACTGGGTCTGGTGTTGTCATGATGGACTAATACGATTAGCAAGTTGAGGGAATTTTTTCTTGACTTTTTTATTCAATTTCTATAATATACGAGAGAAGATCTTTGAATCAAGTTTGGTTTCTTACGAACAGCTCAAAATATACCACCCCCTGGCAGTCGCTTCACACTGAAAGCAAAATTTGCTTTTAATGAATATTCATCGGTGTTGGATGGTCAACAAAATTTAAACTCTTTATCACTGCTATCAAACCATAATAACAGTGAAAAAATATATGAACTCAGAAAAGTTGTATGCTTAATTTACAATAAATACTTAGGATTTCACCTTTTGGTAGATCCCTTCTAAGTTTCCAACAATAATCCACTCGAAGACCTAATGGGTATGATTTAACTCTATCCACTCTGTCAGTATTCATGGCCGATCAGTTCCGAACGTTTTTGAAGAAACTCGACTATCACGCCTTGGAAAGGCGAGTTCTTCAAGCGTCCGTGAAAAATGTATTGCACATGGAGTACATTAAGATTCCAGCTCAAGAAAATACTTTAATCTACTTGGCTGTCTCCAGATCGAAAAACTCACAACCAGATCGATCATGTTATAATGAATACGACATGGCATAACTCCAGTGTTAATGACGTGATTACGCTCCAAGGACCCAACCTTAATTCGGAATAGTACTTTTTAGCAGCTAAATTAGATTCATAACAAACAGACGAACGGTTTCGCACTGGCTTTAGACCTGGTAAATCCGCCATGGACCAAATATTCACCAAGTGTCAAATCTTGGAATTGGAAAAGGTAATTGAAAAGAGGATCGACAGAAGCCTCTACGCTATTAAGTCTGAATTCGGGATCTCTGACGTTAAACAACACCGAAAGTTCTGACAGGGTCGGAAGGCCCTACCTGAGCTGTTCGATACCTAACAAGATTTCAGACAAAGTGGCTCCTCATCGTGTGACCTCTTTCATTTTTTTTGCTCTCATGCGGTCCGGATAGATATGAATACTCGCCGAAGGAAGCAGATAAAAGGGAAGATCTTCAATCCGTCGAAAAGGCCAGCTGGAGAAGGGCCCGGCTGTACTTGGTATTTCCAATTTGCGCCAAACAGCGAAGAGAAGAAATAAATGGCGCGCTGTTGTCAACCGGACGATAATCGTGATGACGGTGTGTCCGCCAGTAAAAATTAAAATTTTTAAATATTTAAGTCTAGATTTGCCTTCGCACATAATCATTTGCATGCCAATATGTACGTATGTATACATGAACATACGAGTACATATATATGTATAATTGATGAAGCAACCGTAGACGAACACTCAAATCAATTATTATTTACTAAGCGAAATTCCCACAAATATTTATATATTTTGTCTGGATAAAGTACTTCAGCTTATGATTGTCAACGTAAAGACCTTAATGTTGAATAATTTATGATTTTTATTTGGTGTTGAAAATCCTTTATATACGTATATACAATAAGAATGTCAATTTGACTGCTCTCAATGGTTAAACAACAATTTAATAATTAAACAGACTTGCTAAACTTCTAAGCATGTGTATGTGTGTATCTATTTAATGTTGGCATTTTCAGACACGCCGCTATTGATTTGAATCGCAAAAGTCAAATGGTGTCAGAGGCCGTGGAGGAAGTTCTGAATTTGGTTGACAAGGCCACGGAGACATTTAAACAAATCGCCGGTGATGATGTTGTAACGCTATTTGATGGTATGAGATTAAATTTAAAATTAATGCACTTTTATACATATACATACATACATACATATTTATAAGTATCACCCAGTAAAAACAACATATGTATTCGCTTCGAAGTTTTCTATGTAATAAAAACTTAATTACACCGGTCAACAACAAATATTTTTTTTTATTTCTATTCTCTTACATAAATTCTTATTCTATATATTGAAAAACTCTCAAAGTTATGTTTCTTGTACTTGGTGCCATACATAACACCACATACGGCAGTATATACTTCTTTGATGGTGGCTGAATGTGCAATTGCTATTGAGCCCAACTTATTGGCGTTATGCAAAAGTGTCTGTTGTTAAAAGATTTATCTGCTTTAATTGTGTAGCTAGAATCTCCGAAGCTGCTTTTAAAGATATAGGTCTCTCACTAATGCACTGCCGGTTTTCTGATTAAGGGACTGGGATCTGCTGAAATATTTGAGAATCAGCTGACCCACTTTCATTACTTTAAGAAGAGCTTTTGACTTTAAATTCGTGATCATCTTGTAGTAGCAGACTTATGGCCGAAGGTAGGTCGAGTAGTGCATGACAAGTTAGGGTAAACCCGTCTCGAACGGTTTCTTTTATAACTACCGTTTATTTGAACCTTACACAGAAATTCCACACATGTTTTACACACCATATGAAAGACCTACGGATGTCCAAAGGGAATCCAAAGTAATCAAAATACAACTGTTTTATGAACTCCGACACGATTTCTACAATTTCTGGAAGTCAATACAGATATTAGAAAAATCGTTGGGATTGTTTTCCATAGACCTTTTCAGACATGAAGATTGTGACAGAAACAAAAATTGCTGACAGTTGTTTCTCAAAAACAAAAGTTTTCTAAGAAGAAAAAGAAGGTCTTAAATCAGTGTCCCCAACTTCGCTTCTTGTGTTATTATTGTGTGTTTTGTGTATTGGGTATATTCATATGTTCATATGTATGCTTAATCATTATGAATGTAATTAATACATTTCATAATTACGATAGCGACATCACGAAATCAGACACAACCATCATCAGCACGAAAGGGGGACGAAGAAGGTGGGCAAAATGCGGCTGGAACCGCCGGAAATAGTGGCGGAGGCGGAGGCGGTGGTAATGCTGGTGCACAACAACAAGACTGGAGCATTTTATGGTCTTGTTTTGAGAACCCGCTAACCCTGCTTTCGACCACGGAGAGTCTACCCAAAGGAATGCAGGTACAATGAGCCAATACTGATATCTCTGAGTGAGTGATTTTGATTTAAGACATATTACTCATAGGATATGGTCTGCAATGCTGTCGTAGAGATGCGTCGTTACTATAGTCGTAAGGTAATTGATGTCCTCATTAAAGTAATACGTGGCACATTGGACACCATCAGACGTCGTTTCATTGCCGACGAAAATGATACGCTTTCGAAAAAGCCGATATTTGCCTTACATGCACAGTTGCAGATTCCACATGTTGTGATTAAACCAAATCTGGATGAGCTACAAGAGATACTAATTACAGCTGGTAAAAATATTACCGGCATTGCAAAGGGTGTGGCACAGTGGACCAGCGGCAAAGAGCCGGTAAGTTTATCGTTATTAATGTGACTTAAATATGCATATTTGGTTTCTTTGCTAATTCGTTACTCGTAAAGCAAGTGTCAACAACACCACAACCACGAGTTGGTCGAAATCACAATACCGGAAATCGTACACGTCGCCGCAAGCTCTACACTTTGACCTCCGAGGAACGACCACAAATGCCGCATATGTTGAAATCATTTTACGCCGCAATTATGGATAACAAAGAGGTGGCTAAGGCATTGAATTTGTTATCGAACTGCACAAAGAACATCAAACCGGAGATACAAACCTACATAAAACGTTGGAAACCCTACCACTTTCTCTGGAAGAACGACCGTACAACGCGTCAACTAATGGAGTTCGGCTTGCAAGAGTTCGAGACAACTTTGCGCTGCTTAGCTGAGCTAGATGCCAATCTATTGGTGGAGCCCGAAATGGAGGTGTTCGGCCAGTGCGTAGCCGTCTACAATGAGCGCCTTAAATATGGCTTGGCCATTGAGATCAAAAGTAAGTTAGTACGGTATGCTGAGTGAAGTGTTTGTTTGATGTTGAAATTTCGTGGTAAATGCTAATATCAGGTAGCCAGCTGCACATAATCCGTAACATAAATTCTTTAGGGAAAATTCGTATTGTTTCATTATTGGCTTTTGCCAAACGCCCGCACAAAAACACGAGCTCGGCTAAACGCCAATTATGATTTCACTCAAATCAGCGCACGGCTTTCGTTTGAAGTGTAAATTGCCACACATTATGATATTCGAAATACAATCGGATACAATGGATATCGTAATTTTGCAGACGCTTTCAGAAAATTCTTCTCCTAACGCATTCATAGCGAGTTTTTATTTAATTCCCTGAGGTGTGCGAAAGTAAATAATGCGAAAAGTGTTTAGCAATGGTAGCTTGTACGTCTCGTTGATAGCCTACTCCCTTTCAGCTTGCAATCACAAGATTGGACAGGCCATGAAGAAGAAATACAAGAAAGAAATGGACTATGTGTACGCAGTGATTAATGAAATGGATCGCAAGTTGGATCGACCAATACGGGATCTGGATGATGTACGTATGATAATGGAAACATTAAGTAAAATAAGAGAACAAGAAGTTGACATGGAGTTGCGTATTGACCCCATAGAAGTAAGCTGTGACGATTCCAAGCTATTTGCATTGGTCAGTAATTGAAATATTTCAATTTTTAGGAGGCATTCAATGTCCTTACGCGCTACGAAGTGCAAGTGGAACGTGAACAATTCGATTTGGTTGATAACCTGCGTAGTACATTTCAAAATTTATTGGCCTGTGCACTCCAAGCTCAGGTCAAGCTACTCGATATGCAACCGTCCTTTCAGGATGATCTTAAAAATAATTTGGATAAATTTAAGCAAGATAAAATTCAATATGTCAATGAATATCGCACAGCTGGTCCAATGCAGGCTGGTCTCACACCGCGCGAAGCTTCCGATCGCTTGATACTATTCCAGAATCGTTTCGAAGGTATGTGGCGCCGTTTGCAGACCTACCAAAGTGGCGAAGAATTATTTGGTTTACCACAAACTGACTACCCGGAATTGGGACAGATACGTAAAGAGTTAAATCTCCTGCAGAAACTCTATAAACTATATAATGATGTGATCGATCGTGTGAGTAGTTATTACGATATACCATGGAATGAAGTGGACATTGAAGAGATCAACAATGAATTGATGGAGTTCCAGAACCGTTGTCGTAAGCTACCGAAGGGCTTGAAAGAGTGGCCTGCTTTCCATGCACTCAAGAAAACGATTGATGATTTCAACGATATGTGCCCGTTATTGGAATTGATGGCCAACAAGGCAATGAAGCCCCGCCATTGGCAGCGTATCATGGATGTCACAAAATATATTTTTGAGTTTGATTCGGAAGGTTTCTCATTGAAGAACATACTGGAGGCGCCATTGCTGAAGCATAAGGAAGATATTGAAGACATTTGCATTAGCGCTATGAAGGAAAAAGATATTGAAGCAAAGCTGAAGCAAGTCACCAACGAATGGTCCATACACGAATTACAATTCATGAGCTTTAACAACCGCGGTGAACTGTTGCTTCGTGGTGACACAACTGCCGAAACAATAGGTCAACTGGAGGACAGCTTAATGGTGTTGGGTTCATTACTTTCTAATCGTTATAATGCACCATTCCGTAAGCAAATACAGCAGTAAGTATTCACACATGTGTGTACATGTGTACATTGTGAAATATTGCAACAGTAATAACCATTCATTTCAGATGGGTCTACGATCTCTCCAACTCGAATGAGATTTTGGAACGTTGGCTACTGGTGCAGAATATGTGGGTGTATTTAGAGGCCGTCTTTGTTGGAGGTGACATTGCCAAACAGTTGCCAAAAGAGGCAAAACGTTTCTCCAAAATTGATAAATCTTGGCAGAAAATAATGCAACGGGCTCACGAAACGCCGGGTGTGGTTGCGTGTTGCGTTGGCGACGATCTGCTGAAGCAACTCTTACCCCATTTGCAGGAACAGCTTGAAATATGTCAAAAATCCTTGAGTGGCTATTTGGAGCGCAAGCGCATGATGTTTCCACGTTTCTTTTTCGTTTCGGATCCGGCACTCCTGGAGATACTTGGTCAGGCCTCCGATTCGCATACCATACAAAATCATTTACTGTCAATTTTCGATAACACTCGCAAAGTGAAATTCCATGATATTGAATATAATAAAATGATGGCGATTATATCCAGTGAGGGTGAAATGATACAATTGGATCGCGCTATACGCGCCGAGGGCTCCGTCGAGACATGGCTAACTCAGTTGCTGGTCACAGCACAGCAGTCATTGCATTCGATTATCCGCACCGCTTATGCAACAATAAATGATCCAAATTTTACATTGTTGGGATTTTTAGAAAAAGTCCCAGCGCAAATTGGCCTTTTAGGTATACAAATGATTTGGACACGCGACGCGGAAATGGCGCTGATGCAGGCCAGGCATGAGAGGAAAGTCATGTCGGAGACGAATAATAAGTTTCTCGAAATCCTTAACACCCTGATTGATCAGACTACAAGAAATTTGACGAAAATGGAGCGCACCAACTTCGAAACTCTTATTACCATACACGTGCATCAACGGGACATATTCGACATACTGGTGAGACTGCCATATGACATGGCGTATGATATTGAACGACCTATAAAATTAACACCCTGCGAAGGAACTCATTATTCTTCATACATAATTATTTATGTACATATGTAATTGGTTGTTTGTGTATTCTAATATGTTTTCAGTGTCGCATGAATATAAAATCAGCTAACGATTTCGAGTGGTTGAAACAGTGTCGATTCTATTTCAAAGAAGACTTAGATAAAACTTGGATTTCAGTGACCGATGTGACCTTCACCTATCAAAATGAGTACCTGGGTTGTACAGATCGCTTGGTGATCACGCCGCTCACAGATCGGTAAGATTTAATTATGTTTTGTGATAGAAAATTTTCGTCAAACGTGAATTTTATCATTGGGATGGCTTTTAAACACCCATAGGTGGATAAGTAGCCTCAGAAAGGAATCACGCGGAATGATTCATGTTTACGAAAAATTAAATTTTTTTTAGAATCTAGAAACTATTTATCTTTCTCCGGACCTTGTGTATATATATATATATACTTCGCGCTTTTTATGATTTTGCGTCGTGATGTTTTTCAAACAAATGGAGGGAAATACAATTCATACTAAGCCGCCTCCGAACGGTCGATGGTTTTTCTACGAGGCGCTTTTCTTTCATGTCCGAAATTCAATCGGAGCAGTGGGCATGCCCTGCCGAGGGGCGACCGCATATAGAATATTTAATTTAATTTTTGATTTAAATCAATTTTCCATAAATTTTGGATGTTGGTGGCACCGGGATATGAACCCGAGCCGTCCTTATTTTTCAAAACAGTACAACATATTTAAACAAAATTAAACATTTTTTTTCAATGTGACGTAATATTTTGTGAAATTCACGATGCTCCGTATTTTATAGAGTATTAAATAATGGAATAGGGAAATAAAAAAAAAAAACAAAAGTTGTTTATATGTTTAAAATCACATTTTAATGTTTAAATTTATTTTCTCTTATCGCAATTAGTAGTTTTGCAATTCTTTTTTTGTTTGGATAATATAAATAAATTAACTTGGGTATAAATATAGCTGGATGTATAAAGTGCACTTTATGAGCATATGTACATACGTACGTAAGAGCAAAAATATCTACTCGCATCTATAATTTATACTTTGCATTCAAATGCACAAAGCTTTCGGCCAAATTGTTTGTATGAAATGCTTGGTTTTTCAATTTTCTTCCCATTTCCGCCACTGTCATTGCATCGCTGACTTTATTGGTTGCTGTGGAAATCCGTTCTCTTCCCGACGCAAAGCTGTTACATTACCCTGGCCCAAGCATTAACATTGAGCATGGGTGGTGCGCCATGTGGCCCAGCGGGCACCGGAAAAACAGAGACGGTTAAGGACATGGGCAAGACGCTGGCTAAGTACGTGGTTGTATTTAATTGCTCCGATCAAATGGATTACAGGTATTAAAATGTAGTTGTGTAATAAATTTCCTTTAAGCTGTGCTTGGGTTATGCTAGAATTTATATGCATAAGTTCTAACACAGTTATATTTATATAAATGTTGTAATGGTGAATAGTAAGCAGATACGCAAGACCCGCAGCATCGCACACTCCATTAACCCAGACTCTATCTATTTTTCATTTTCCCACAATCGCGAACATAATTTTTTTTTTTTTTTTCCAAAAATTGCAAAAGTTAAGCTGAAACAAGTGTGAGTGAAAATGCAGTAGATGCCATACTGAAGAGATTCCCGGCTTGCTCCTACCCGCAATTGTCGTATGTGTCCGGATGCGTTTTCAGTAAATAGGGGAACTGTTGATTGATTTTTATTAGGTGCTTTTTTATCTCATATCGAAAATAAACTAGGAGAAGTTGAAAATCCCAGCTGAGAAGCGACCGCAGTTAGAAAACGTAATAACCTACCTAATGCTCTTTTGCCGGTCGAGAGCAGGCGGCTTTTTAGTAAAATTAATAAAAAATATATAAATAATTGCTAAATTCGCTTAGTGTCCCCTATCGCGTTACTCTCTTTCTGTAGTGAAAATGACAATTTGAATGATGAAATCCGGCCCCGTTTTTGCTCGTAGGCTAAAACTCGAAGAGATGCATGTCTACGACCGCGGCGTGTGCATTCGCTACCAAACAACTCTTACTAACTTACGACAGTAACTGAGGAATTATATATTTACACACTTGGGAATCGTACGTCAACCACAAGACTTTATTGATATGATATTGGATCACAATATCCAGCAGCACTCACTTATGTTCTGTGACAGCTCCTTGAGCCAATTAAAGGAGTTTTATTGTTATAAAAATTGTATGTTACTTTTCTGTTTCATTTTCATTCATATTTCAAAATAATCTTATATTTAAGCGATTTATTTGTTTTTGTTTCTATTTGATAGAGGTCTAGGCCGTATTTACAAGGGCTTGGCTCAATCGGGCACGTGGGGCTGTTTTGATGAATTCAATCGCATCGAACTTCCCGTTTTGTCGGTAGCCGCGCAACAAGTTGCCGTTGTATTGACAGCCAAAAAGGAGAAAAAGAAAACATTTATCTTCACAGATGGCGATACAATCGAGATGAATCCTGAATTTGGCATTTTTATAACAATGGTAAGTTGGCGAAAAGAGCAAGCTGGGTGTGGAAAACAGGTGGATATGCGCACTTCGCAACATTTATCATTGAAATTCCCAGGTAAAAGACGCAAGAAATAACTTACGTACAGAAATAAACTTTTAATTACAACAGTAGTAGCGGGCACAAATGGCTCGTCGCACAGTGTACTTGTTTCTGTCTTTAAGTGCTCGTTTATCTATAACTTTTGAACGGCTGCGGTCTTTCTTTCAATAACAGAAGAGTGTTTCCACATAGATTCAAGGACATAAATAGCAATTTATTTTAGTAAAAGATCTGTAATCAAATTTGCTTTATTTGTAGTTGCTTGAGGCTATTCTGATAATTCATCTATAAGGAAAAAGTGGTTGATATATCTTTCCCATGAACTAATAATACCTTATGAAGTAAAATCTATTATATAATATAATTATAGTTTTTTGAAAGTATGCAGACTTAATTTTTTGAGAATTCAATGCTATTAATATTTTTCGAAAATGTTTCAGTAAAATCTCAACATCAGCGCCGGTGTACCTACGGTAAATTAAATTTAATTTTAATTAAATTTCCTTCTCCCTGCGCAGTCGGCTTCATAGCTATCTGACATTAAACGTGTTTCGGGTTTTCGTGCTACCTTCTTCTCTTAAAAAAAAATATACAAATTTTAAATAAAAAATTTGTGGATAATTTTCACATTTTTTAAATGTTTAATCATTAAGAAATCACGTACTACAAGTATATTGTATTTTGCAACCCCTGATAATGAAGTTCATCGAGTGTATACCTTTCATGCTTGTTGAATTACAACTTTGGTAAATTGTAAGAAACTATCAGAAAGGGAAGAGATTTACCCACCAAAATTCAAATCGAATTCAAGAAGATGAGAAGCTGGCTGGACTTACTATATCTACGTTTGAATGCAAAGTAGTCTTGCAATTTTAGAGTTGTTTTAAGGAAATTTTGTAAACAAACAGGGTGTTTTAAGAGTTATTTGTTTTTTTTTAAGAGCAGTGAAAATTCATTATAAAAATCTCATAATTACGCTTGAAGTCGGTTAAACTTCCAAACTATTTTGAATTCAAATCTCAGTTCTTATGATACCTATGTTGGTTCTGTGAAGAAGATTTCTCTTACCTTTTTAAATACTCAAACCAGTTGGTATATTTTACGAAGTTGAGGAGATTAATTATGCCTAGACATGCAAGGTATGCTAAGCAATCGAAGAAATTTCCGAGAAATCTATAACGAACCGAAGAGTTCACCGAGGTTATGACTATCCTCTCCTTTCTTTCCCTACTATGTATCTACATATTTAGCAAACACTTTTCTTGCCTCTGCCGCCTCACAAAAACGGCGTGCAACCAATATTTTTATATATCCATACTTGTATTCAATATTAAAGCACCTGCTTAGAAAATCGCCCCGAAAATAATTAAAAGATTCTCTATTTGAATATTTTACATGGGCCAAGATCAAACATTTTTGAGTAAACACGTTTAATGTCAAAAATTTCGAAGTGAAACTGCCTTACAGAATTTTTGTATCATGATATACAATGTAGATGCCTTAATAATTGAACTCTGTAGGTTTCTCTTTTTTGTTGCTGAAATTGTTCTACTGTTCTACTCGATTGTAGATTCTTCTGCCTTTTGCTTTTTCAATGCACCTCCTTTGTTCCACTTTTAGTAAATATTTAGGTGTGTGGTTCCATGAGTATGGTTAATAAATTTAATTATGGTGCTCGTTTATGCAGCATAGGAATATCGTTAATATGTTGCTATGTTAAAGTTGAATGCCAAGTAAAAAAAATTACTATATTATTATTAAAAATTTATTTAATATAGCAATCACATCCTGATTATGAAAATATTTCTTCTATATAAAAAAGACGATTTACAAATGCATAATTTTTTTTCTTGTTATTTCATTTTTTTTTTACAAATTTTTGAAAACCAACATACCCCCATTCCCACTAAACTGTCTCAACGAATAGTACTTTTGGGTAAAGTTGCTTAGGATGCAAATGAGGGCAATTTTCCCGTTGGAAACGGTATTTAAAATAAAATACTAAGACTATGATCTTAATCCCAAACGAATACACTGTACGCCGTCAAGTTCCTGTTTGGACAAAGTTTCTCATTTAAATTCCATTAAAGCTTGTCTCATTAAAGCAAAAATGCGTGTATTGTCGTGGTTTGCCGGAGGGTGATTGCCAAATTGACACGGCGCGCGGTGTGATGGACCTGCTTCCCTTCTTCGTCGTTTAATTCGAAAGTACACAAAGTAAGCGTCCGCAGAGTTGTTTGTTGTCTTTATCGTATTTTATTATTTCCACTTGGATTTGACATTGTAAAATTAAAAAAAAAATGCTTTGACAAAGACATAAACGCATTCGGACGGAAAATTAAATACAACTTTAACTGACCTTGTATGCTTTACAAATTAAATTAATAAAAATTTTTAATATTTACAATTCAGCATCTTAAGGGAGGATATGGCTCATTAAATCTGCACGGTTTTTGGTTCAAGTAGTAGGTGAAAGAGTTTTAGCGTCTGACTCAGTGACGCTTAGCGTTTGTAGAATTATTAAATCGGACCTTAAAGAAGGATAAGGGGAAACTAACTCAAATGTGTAGTTCTGCTGGAGGCATTCAGCCTCAGGTACGTGATAATTGTTTACAATCAATTTTCTTGTGGGTATCATAAACAGCCGAGATATATTGCACAGTTATATTGACACATGTGCCAATATTTTCTTATGCACTACTCTATACGAGTATATGAGTATGTGAATGTGTGGAATGTGTGTGTCCACCTCAATCGCATCGATTTAGTAAAAGTGAAAGTAAATATACCTCGTGAAGATACACGTATGTACATAAACATGCAATGTGTGTCATTGTTTGTTAGGTGTCTGTGTTTTTAGTGTAATTCAATATCACTCTCATTCAAAGCCTGTTTATCTAATTACATATATACATACATATTATATATATAAAAAGGACTAGCGTATGCACGTATGTATGTGAGTACATGGCGCATAGATCCCCAAACCACTTAACCGATTTCTTTCGTATTTTAAGGGCAGCTCGATAAAAACCCGGACTGTTCCTGTAAAGTTTGACCAGCGAAGCGTCTGGAAAATAAATTCTATTTATGTAAATATGCGAGACAGCGGAAGGCTATTGGCAAAGGATATATAAGAATAAGTTACCCCGACGCAAGACAATGCCCCATATAAAGGTTTACTTCAATAAATAGTTCTTTCACTAGCTATATGGCAACATCCTCCTATTCAGGCAGTATTATAACGTTCCCTTGAACTTTAAAGCATTTGGCAATGATTCCCACTGCGCACAAAACACACCAAACAGAGACTTTTTTGAGGTGTATCGGCGTCACAAAAATGGATGTGGATTTTATCACTCCAATTGCGATAATTTTTTTTATTAACATACCCATTCAAATAAGCGTGAGCTTCATTGCCGAAACTCATTTTCTTGTGAAAACCGGGATTGGGCCCTTTCATCGAACATGCGAGGCACTTCAGTAAAGTCTTCCATAAAGTGGATGGGCACATGTTTGTTTTCTTTGATATTATGCTCCACAGCAGCAATAGCGTCTTCAGTGCGCGCTGCATGAGCTCTCTGAGGATGTTCATTATCCACTGAAGTTAAAGTGGTGGAAAAGGATACATGACTGATTATATTACTGCTGTCTTCGCTTATGTCCTCTTCAAAAAGCAACCAGTGGCTGAAATGCCAAGAAATGATACAAGAAAATTCTCAGATGGTTTTCCGCTTTTCATATTGATAATTATTTAATGATGATAATGAGACGGAAAACTTACAGTGGTTCTCAAATATTGAAGACTTTTGGTTTCAACACCCTCTAATTAAAATTTGAAATTTAATTCTCATCAAAGGTTGCACAGTGTGTTCCTTGGGGCCTCCACTACATTCTTTCACTACTGTAAAAAAATAGGCATTTACAAGTCCTAAATGAAAACATAACCGTATAGTTTAAATTTATTCAAAACAAATAATTATGTGAATCGAGTAATGAATTTACCAAAATAAAAAAGAGAAGAAAAACTGCTTAGGGTCAGACAAAGTACTCGTAAAAGATCCTTTTTATTTGTAAGAAATGTTTGTGTAAATTTTTAAAAAATATATAATCTACATATTATATGTATGTACATATATGCGTGCATACATATGTAAATAAGCTTCCTGTGTACACCTGCTCGGCTAACGAAGTTAACAAAATAATAAAACTTGGCATTAGTTAGTTAGGCTGCGTGTGCGTGTGCGTGTGTGTGTAGGTGTGGTTTTAACTGCTTGCCTTGCCATTTTCAATGATTGTTGACGAGTTTTAATGGCTTATGGCATCGCTAGGAGCATACAGTAGCTTGCGTACCTATGAACATACACGCATACCGTTATGCGTTTATCAACAGTGGGGAATTATGCACGTTAAACACATATATACATATATGTTTCATAGGAAGGTGGGTTGTGGTTCTGCGTGACAAATTTGATTATGCCTTAATCCCAACACCAAATAAGTCATTCACTTCTCCATCCGATAACAAAAGGGAAATAAGAATACGAGCTATAAAGTTGTCTTGAGCCAATTCGCATATGTGACATTTCGCACGTGAGATTGTTATATGTATATTAGTATCACATACATGTAAACCCACATGCACACACTGAAACGTTTCTGATTTTAACATAATATTAATGCATTAATGTGAATAAAAGAAAGATATATACCAGGTTACACCATTAGAGGTTGTTGTTGCTGTATGTGTTTACGTCTTAACTTCGACGCTGTTCTGGTGAAATGTCAATTCGCATACATTTCCACGCATAAATGAATAAAGAAATTAAGAACATAAAGGAATTTCGGAACGATTGATGGAATATAAAACAAAATCGAGATATTTTTTTTATTTTTAATCGATCTCCTGTTCACTAAAAGAAACAATTAAATGATATTTTAATCAGTTAAAAATGCAATAAATTTTATGAATTTATTGGTTTTGATTTTCAAAGATTCTCCGATTTCCTCCCATAGTCTATCGGCTACATTTTGATATTCTAAATCGATAATCTAGTTTGCCAATAGCGCACCTATGAGTACAATCCATTCAAATCGGAAAGTGCGCAAAAACCTGCAGAATTTGGGTGACAAACTTCCGATTCAGAGATATCATCAACTTCTGATTCAATCGCTGACTTCTTTAGCAAAGTTGAATCAAAAGTGTGACGAAAGCAAGGCCACAGCTGATTGTCAAATTTTATAAGAGTTCATAACGGTTCTCCTGAAGGCGCAATCGCAGAGCTGTATCATTATTGAAGTGAATACGTTATGCATGTTCGTATGTGTGCCTGTTCTGCATTGTAAGGTAATTGTCGTAAACACATGAACATATACACACAAACATATATGTATGTATCCATGAACAACTAAAGACGATACTTGCAATTCATGCAGTATTTATTCTGTATGAATGAAATAAGCGCCGACTAAGAACAAGCGCACCCAATTGAAAGAAAATACTCCATGATATTCATGTTTCGAAAAGATATAAATTGTTTAAGCTGAATTATTGTTGTATATTCGACAACATGTGTCTATGTATTATATATAAAGACACACATATGATTAATGGCGAGTGTTATCTGTATTACCTGTCGTCATTGTTTGGCCTATTGGTAGGTACTTAATGTTTTTAAGTCCTCTGAAGTCATCTCCATCGCTGGAAAGCGAAATTTACTCATCCAGTATTTTTCAATGACTGACATTGCAGCAAAGTGATTTTTTGTAAGGAAATTTGAATTTTTAATGCTAAGAAAAGGGTTTTCAATTATTAGAGAAAATGCAATGGAAGCTATTATTCGGACGTGTCTCGGTAAAAAGTCATAAATTTGTTGTTTTTGTTGTTGCATATCCATGCCTTGCCAGTACTTCTCGAGCCTGTAGAGGCAGCTCGTGATCTTCGTCTTCGTTCGTCATTCACGATTTAAGCAATTCGTGGCGGCTTTGGGAAAAAGAAAGTGTATTGCTGGAATTCTTTCGATGGCGCCCCTGGCACTCTCCAGAGATCGATGACAAGGATATGTGTTTGTCTGTCTCTGTCGATAGCGAAAATCTTGGAAATATCCCTTTTGTTGTTTGTGCTAGATATATTGTATTAGCTGCAGCTGTTAGGTTTTCTTGGCAGACTTTTCGCTGGCTTATTATTATTATGGGAGCGATTCCATAACTGGTTTCAACAGAAGGTTCAGATTGGCTTCTTTTCCAAGATGCTTTCGTATTCCCCCACTATCTGCTTTTACCGCTTGATTTCCTCTTTACCAACTCAGCCGATAACACACATAATTTCCATTGTCCCGACAAGTGTTCGTTGTTGTTGCTTTCATTTTTAGTTATTCTTATTGATTTTTGAAAGATTGTTTACTAGTCCGCAAAGCATAGTTTGCAAAGAGAAAGAGAAGGCATTTCATATTTCCAAATCATCGCGGGTATCGGAGGAGATCGTCCGCGATCAGCTACTTGTTTATCGTGCGCTAGCCATTCAGCCATCCTCATGGGTTTTGATACCTAAATTTAGACTTAGGTTAGTCAAAGCAAAAGTGAAAGTAAATTGATTTTGAGTCGATCGAGGTGTCTGGATGATAAGCATCGCAACATGAACTGCATTATTCGCCTCAACTGTATTCATATCAAAAGTGCCATCAGCTGCCTTTGTAAGTTACTCAAAGCTATTTACTGTGCTGAACTAATGTTGATCGCTTTTGCGGCATACGAGTATGTATATCAAATATGCAAGCGAACAATTTGACTTTGAAAGAAACTACACATTTGCAATTTTTATATGCCCTTTTTATATACAGTTAACCGTTCAAATGCTTTTGCATTCTCGTGTGCTCTTTTTCGCAGAATCCTGGTTATGCTGGCCGGAAGGAACTACCTGAAAATTTAAAGATACAATTTCGCACTGTCGCCATGATGGTGCCAGACAGACAAATAATTATACGCGTCAAGTTGGCGTCCTGCGGCTTTTTAGAAAATATTACATTGGCCCGCAAGTTTTATACGCTTTATAAGTTATGCGAGGAGCAATTGACAAAGCAGGTGCATTACGATTTTGGCTTGCGAAATATTTTATCGGTACTGCGTACGTTAGGCGCGGCCAAACGGAGGAACTCAAAGGATGGCGAGAGTACGATTGTGATGCGGGTCCTGCGCGATATGAATTTATCTAAGCTGATCGACGAGGATGAACCGTTATTCATGTCGCTTGTGTCGGATTTGTTTCCCAATCAGGTGAGCAAATAATCATGTACATAAAGCATATAGAGTAAACTCTCAATATGAAATTTGGGTATGCCCTCGTAGACACTCGAAAAGACCAATTATCCAGAGCTGGAAGCAGCAATTGCACAGCAGACTGAAGAAGAAAGTTTGGTCTACCATCCTCCATGGGTTCTTAAGCTCATTCAGCTATATGAGACCCAGACTGTACGACATGGCATCATGACATTGGGTCCCAGTGGCGCGGGCAAGACGACATGCATCCATACCCTTATGAAGGCACTCACGCAAATGGGTGATAATCATCGTGAGATGCGCATGAATCCAAAGGCTATAACGGCAGCTCAAATGTTTGGACGTTTGGATGTAGCTACCAACGATTGGACCGACGGTATATTTTCGGCATTGTGGCGGAAAACACTGAAACTGAAAAGTGGAGAGCATGTATGGCTCGTACTCGACGGTCCGGTCGATAGTATTTGGATTGAGAATTTGAATTCGGTATTGGATGATAATAAAACATTGACCTTGGCAAATGGTGACCGTCTTACGATGGCGCCAACAGTAAAAATTATTTTCGAGCCACATAACATAGATAACGCCTCACCTGCAACGGTGTCACGTAATGGCATGGTTTATATGAGTTCCTCAGGATTGGATTCCAGACCGAGTAAGTACATAGAATGGAAGGTAACTCTACAGATACATATTGAAGGTGAACGCATTTAAACTAGTTGTGCAAGCTTGGCTCAAGAACAGAGCACCTGGCGAAAAGTCGGTATTTTGGAATCTCTTCGAGCAGACTTTCGTACAAGTTTACAATTGGGGCACGCAAAATCTGAAGTTGTTGATGTCGGTGCTGCAATGCAATATAGTCGGTCAGATGCTGTCGATTCTGGAGGGCTTAGTGCCGGTTAAAAAGGAGGAAGAGCAGGCAGTGAGTCTGTCAAGTAAAGAAACGAACGACGGTAAGTTTCACTTTAGAGCTTAGGAATAACTCAAGTTTTTAATCTTTAAATTGCGGTATTGTTAAGAAGGGAACAATATGCAATATACAACAAATGTCTATGTGTCGGCTATGTGTGGGTGTTTCTGTAAAGCAGAGCACACTACTGACTATTTATGTGAACGAAAATATGAAAAACTTCCTATGGCTTTAGATTTTATAACAAACCATACATATTGCAGCAACAAAAGCGGAAAAACAGAAAGTCTTAGCGAGAGTGAATGATGTAAAAGATGAGCGCCGAAACTCCGCCGTCAGCGGAGATGGCGGTAATGTATAAGCCAAACAAAACAAACATTTTTCACAAACATTTACCACCAAAATTATCGAGCAATATATTTAAATTATTCATTTTGTGGAGGTGTCTACACACACGCGCCAAAGCAAGTTCATGCCACAGATGTCAATTAAAACAAATTCTAGCTCAGTACGTGTGGGTAGACACCGTCTTTACATATAAACTTTAAATATTTTTGGCAATTCGAACAGAATTGCCTCAAAAATGAATTTTCTGCACAAAAAACAAAAAACACTCAAAATATTTCGTCGCACAGTGTCCTTGTATTTTTCCAACTATTTAGTAAGCAATTTTGGTTTCGTAATTTAGCTGTGTAACGCTATACATACACACACACTCACACACACAAATATATACTCTCCCATACAGAGGCTCCAACACACGAGGGGGCCATCAGAAGTTCCTTTAGTTGACAGAAACAAAAAGTTCCTTTCATATTCAACCTTACTTTCAACTTCTCTGAGAAGTTGTATTAAAATTTCTTTGCTTACAAGGTCATCGAATACAGCTTTCCCCAACAGTTCATATGATTTTTGGGTCAGAACTCTCAACTGCCGTTGTTGGTTTGAAGTGTTGACGTTCAGGAGTATTCTTGTAGCAATCCTGTGAAATATTGTGATTGGTCTATTTATCTCTACTGCTATTATTCATTTCTTCAGCACCAGCATCTTAGAAATCACACGATAAAGAGTCACTATATCTGAAACTTCGCTTGGCTTCCAACGACTTGGAGAAGTCCGTCCCAATTCTAACTACGCTTCTGGTATTTTCCAGCATCGGTTTACATGGCGTAGAAGCAGCTCCCTAAAAATCAATGAAAATGTGAAGTGTTTCGATATATTTCTCAAGGGGCTTTTCCAAGATTTGAGGTATGGTGAGTAACGCTAAAGTCGCCGGTTGTGCTTAGAAGCGAAGGGAATCTTTCCATCCGTATTTTGTTTTGTTTAGTAGCGAAATTGACTATAAGCTAGAAAAATTTTGCATTTGCCTCTCCACTTTAAGAATTTTGCGTTTTTTTAAATTTTGAAAGTTCTCAACTAAGCGAATTTTTGTAGCTCCCTCGTACATAGTACAATATGTAAACAACAGTACATAACAACATAACTATGTGTCCAGTGTATGTTCTGTGTAAATGCACATCTTCGTCTATCTATGTTAGTGTGTTAGCGTGTATGTAAGTGTGATCGATTTGTTGATTTCGTTTGTATGTACTACTAACTTCTACTAAACAACTTTGTCGTCGTGTGTTTTCATGTTCAGATTTGGTCTAACTAAATGTACTCAACTTATTAACTTGCTTACTTAGCCGTGATTAGAGAGCCAACAATCTAGTGTGTCTTTCAATATAATTGCTGTTTTGTCATGTTTCCACAGACGAGCTTCCGGAGGAACCGGCGGTGGAAGAAAAAGAAGACACTTGCACACCTGAACATTTGCATCGACTGTACATCTTCGCGTTGGCTTGGGGTCTCGGAGGATATCTTAGCGCTGTTGATCGGAAACGTTTGGACCTGTACGTTAAAGAAGCTTTCCCGCAGCTAGACTACGCCCCGTCTACAGCTAGTGAAAATAGCATATTCGATTTCTTCGTATCTGAAACAGGCCAATGGCAGGCATGGAAGACACTGGTTACACCGTATATGTACCCTGAGATATCTACACCAGATTACCTGAACATTCTAGTGCCGATCGTCGACAATGTACGCATGGATTACCTAATTGCTACCATAGCGAATCAGGAACGTGCCGTAATGTTGATCGCCGAACAGGGCACGGGCAAAACGGTTATTATGAAGAATTTTATGAGAAAAATGAATCCTGAGTCTTATATGGGACGATCCTTTAATTTTTCATCTGCGACCAGTCCATATCAGTTTCAGCGCACAATCGAAAGTTACGTTGAGAAGCGTGTGGGCGTCACATTTGGTCCACCTGGCGGACGTAAGTTGATTGTATTTATTGATGATGTAAATTTACCGGAAATCAATGAGTGGGGCGACCAAGTGACGAACGAGATCGTGCGTCAGAGCATGGATATGAAAGGCTTCTACAGTTTGGAAAAGCCTGGTGACTTCACAACAGTTGTGGATGTGCAGTATGTCGCTGCAATGGGTTTGCCGGGAGGTGGTCGCAATGACATACCCTCGCGTTTGAAGAGACAGTTTTGTGTATTCAATTGTAATATTCCGGACGACGATTCGATTGATAAAATATTTCGTGTCATTGGTGAGGGGCACTACAACGCGAAGCGTGGCTTTGCACCGGAAGTGCGCAGTCTGGTGAAAAAATTGATTGTGATAACTCGTCATTTGTGGCAAAAAACGCGTGAGAAACTTTTGCCCACGCCAGCGAAATTTCATTATGTTTTCAGCTTGCGCGATCTGTCCAGAATTTGGCAAGGCATGGTGGGTACCTTGTCCACTGTAATTACGGCAGACAGTGTGCTGATGTCACTGTGGAAACACGAATGTTCACGAGTGTTTGCGGATCGTTTCACTACATTCCAGGATAAGGAGTGGTTCAGTTCGGAGTTAGCTTGTTTGGTGCGCGAAGAGCTTGGTGAGGCTTATTCGCTGATGATTATTCCAAACCCGGTGTTTGTCGACTTTATGCGCGATGCACCTGAGCCAACGGGTGAGGAGGGAGAGGATGCTGATATGGAGTTGCCGAAGGTCTACGAACCGGTGAATTCTCATGAAGTACTCCGGGAGCGTCTCGTTATGTTCCTCGCACAGTTCAATGAAATGGTACGAGGCTCTGGGATGGATCTGGTCTTCTTCCCAGATGCTATGCTGCATTTGGTGAAGATTTCTCGAATCATTCGGCATCCGAGGGGGAACGTCATGCTTGTCGGGGTCGGTGGATCGGGTAAACAATCGTTAACGAAATTGGCATCATTTATAGCTGGCTACAAAACATTCCAAATTGCTTTGACACGTTCCTACAATGTGGCCAATTTTTTGGAGGACTTAAAATTATTATATCGCACCTGTGGTGTCCAAGGCAAGGGTACAACATTTCTATTTACCGATATGGACATCAAAGAAGAGGGATTCCTTGAATACCTCAATAATATATTATCGTCGGGTGTGATATCAAATCTTTTCTCACGAGACGAACAAGCTGAAATCGTACAAGAATTGACTCCGGTTATGAAACGAGAAAATCAACGCAAAACAGCGACCCCGGAAAGTGTGATGGAGTTTTTCTTGGCCCGCACTTGCGCCAATCTTCATGTGGCCTTTTGTTTCTCGCCGGTCGGTGAGACCTTCCGATCGAGGGTGCAACGTTTTCCGGCACTGGTGTCCGGCTGCACCATCGATTGGTTTCAGCCGTGGCCAAAGGATGCACTCGTCTCGGTGGCAAGACACTTTCTGAGTGACTTTGAAATTGAGTGTACACCGGCCGTGAAAGAAGAGTTGGTCAACGCACTTGGCTCTATACAAGACATCGTGGCCGAAACCTCGTTGGAATACTTTCAGCGTTTCAGACGAGCGACGCATGTAACACCAAAATCATATTTAAACTTTATTGCTGGTTATAAAAACATTTATCAGCAAACACAGAAAGAGTTACGTGACGGCGCAGAAAAGATGGACACTGGGTTGGAGAAATTGAAAGAAGCATCCGCCTCTGTTGAGATACTAAAAAAAGATCTGGTGGTAATGGAGGAAGAGCTAGTGGAGGCCTCCAAAAATGCCGAATCTGTACTGGTGGAAGTGACAGAGAGAGCAATGCAGGCAGAAATCGTAAAGAATCAAGTGCTAATTGTTAAGGATAAAGCCGAAGCGCTAGTAGCTTGCATAGCACACGAGAAAGCGCTTGCAGAGGAGAAGTTGGAGGCAGCCAAGCCCGCGCTGGAAGAGGCCGAAATGGCATTGAATACTATTAAGCCGGCGCATATTGCGACGGTGCGCAAGTTGGGTCGACCGCCACACCTGATTATGAGAATAATGGATTGCGTGTTAATCTTGTTCAAGAGAAAACTGCATCCCTGTATACCAGACTCCGGTACACCGTGTCCGAAGCCGTCTTGGCAAGAATCTCTGAAGGTAATTTTAATGGCATAAGCTCGAGAATTTACTCTAACTCGTATTCCCTATGTTTCAGATGATGGCAAGCACCACATTTTTGCTACAGCTACAGAACTATCCAAAGGACACAATAAATGACGAAATGATTGATTTGCTTCAGCCGTACTTTCGCATGGAGGACTACAACATGGACATGGCGAGGCGGGTTTGTGGAGACGTGGCCGGTTTGTTGTCATGGACAAAGGCTATGTCGTTCTTTCATAGTGTAAATAAGGAAGTGCTGCCCCTAAAGGCCAATTTGACTATGCAAGAGGCGCGGTTAAAGGTAAAAAGCGATGAATTTAAAATAGTCCAAGTAGAGTTCCACAAATGCTTAACAGTAGTACACAAGAAGAGGTAAAGTGATAAAGTGATACTTACTTACAATAACAATTATTTAATTTGCTGTCTTTGCTTATTTTTTTTTAATTAATAAGCGACTTCAAACGAACTTTTGTAAGCTTGATTACATTTGCTTTGTGCTGCGTTGTTTTCGAATCTTTGAGAGAGTTTTTCAGTTACTGTCTTTAGCACGACTGATGCTTAATTATTTTTATATCACTTCCTTCATTTACATGATTTCTCGTTTTGCCTTCTTCCTTTTCCTTTTCCTTTTCAACCCATAGTTGGCCATGGATGACTTGGCTGGTGCTGAGGAGCAGCTGCGTGAGCGGGAAGAGGCACTTCAGGCTGTAAAAGACCAATATGACAAAGCCGTAGGCGAGAAACAAAGGCTCACCGACGCTGCCAATGTGTGTTTACGAAAAATGACTGCAGCCACGGCATTAATTAATGGGCTCTCAGATGAGAAGCATCGCTGGACCAATCAGAGCAAAGAGTTCAAGATACAACTGGGCAAGTTGGTTGGTGATGTATTGCTGGCGACAGGATTTCTCTCGTATTGCGGTCCATATAATCAGGAGTTTCGTGCTAATTTAATCAGAACATGGATGGGTATCCTCAAACACAAGAATATACCCTTTACGACAGGCTTAAATATCATTAATATGCTCGTTGATTCATCGACGGTCTCGGAGTGGACTTTGCAAGGGCTGCCAAATGATGAGTTGTCGGTACAAAATGCCTTGATTGCGACCAAATCTAGCAGCTATCCACTGCTGGTCGATCCTCAGACGCAAGGGAAACTTTGGATAAAATCGAAAGAGGGCGATAATGAATTACAAATCACGTCCTTAAATCACAAATATTTTCGTACACATTTAGAAGACTCACTGTCGCTGGGACGACCGCTACTCATTGAGGACGTCGGCACCGAGCTGGATCCAGTGCTCGACAATGTGTTGGAGAAGAACTTCATCAAGTCGGGTAGCATAGAGAAGGTCTTGGTGGGCGACAAGGAGTGTGATGTAATGCCAGGGTTTATGCTCTACATAACTACGAAGCTGCCAAATCCGGCATTCAGTCCCGAGATAAGTGCTAAAACTTCCATAATAGATTTCACCGTCACAATGCGCGGTCTTGAAGATCAACTTTTAGGACGAGTGATTCTGATGGAAAAATCTGATCTCGAAGCAGAACGCGTGGCACTCTTCGAAACAGTCATGACGAATCAACGTAAAATGAAGGAATTGGAAGCAAATTTGTTGTACCGCTTGAGTTCATCACAAGGATCGTTGGTGGATGACGAAGCTTTGATTGAGGTATTACGTGTTACAAAAACCACATCGGAAGAGGTTAATCAAAAATTGAAAATTTCCGAAGTCACCGAACGAAAAATAATGAAGGCTCGCGAAGAATTCCGTGCCGTGGCAGCACGCGGCTCAGTTTTATATTTTCTCATTGTTGAGATGAGCAATGTCAATGTCATGTATCAGAACTCTCTGAAACAGTTTTTAGTTATATTCAATAATTCGATTACAAAATCGGTTAAGTCGAATGTGACCGAAGAGAGAATACAGATTATCCTACGGTATCTCACATATGAGGTCTACAAGTTTACCAATCGCAGTTTATATGAGCGACACAAGCAGTTGTTCACCTTGATGTTGGCTATTAAAATCGACTACCATAACGGTAATGTGACTCATGAGGAATTTATGTCATTTGTCAAAGGCGGCGCTTCGTTGGATCTAAATGGGGTCACGCCAAAACCGTTCCGTTGGATCTTGGACATAACTTGGTTGAATTTGGTGGAGATAAATAAATTGGAAACGTTTTCAAATGTTTTGACTCTGGTGAGACCAAATAACTTTATTTGAAACGGGAAATTGTTGTTCAAATTTGGTGTAACTGTTTTTCAGATTGAATTAAATGAAAAGGAATGGCGTGCTTGGTACGAAGCCGAAAAGCCAGAGAACGAGGAAATCCCTTGTGGCTACCAAGAATCGTTGGATGGCTTCAGAAAGTTGTTGCTGGTGCGTTCATGGTGTCCGGATCGTACGATTTCACAAGCAAAAAAATACATAGAAGGTGCGTGCATATGACCAGATGAACACACCTTTTTTTTAAATATATATATATGTATGTGCGTATGTATGCATTTTATATATTTTTCCGCGCAGAGTCTTTGGGTCCTGAGTACAGTGAGATGCAGATATTAGATCTTGAAGTAACATGGGCTGAGTCCGAACCACGCACACCATTCGTTTGCTTGCTGTCTATTGGTTCCGATCCTACCACACAAATTGCGGCTTTAGCCAAGCAAAAGGGAATACGTAAGAGAGCTAAAATATCACTGACACATTCACACGAGCTCATGCACACATTGCGTGGCATCACAAACGCAAACGTAATTAAACATTTTTGACGGTCTCATTTGCAGCTTTGAAATCGGTTTCCATGGGCCAGGGTCAAGAATTCCACGCACGCAAAATGATAATGGACTCAATGTCCGGCGGTGGTTGGGTGTTACTGCAGAATGTTCATCTCTCATTGCCGTTCTGCTCGGAGGTCATTGATATGCTAGTGGAGACAGAACACATCGACGACACATTCCGTATGTGGGTGACCACAGAACCACATGCAGATTTCCCAATCGGCTTACTTCAAATGGCTATAAAATTCACCAATGAGCCACCTCAAGGCATACGAGCCAGTCTCAAACGCAGCTACCAGGTAAGTTAACTGCATACATACACATTGACGCACCATATGAGTATGCTGGATGGATGTGTGCTTTTCTTACTGTCAACGCTTCGGCTTAATACTCACACACCTCCCACACACACAGGCTTTCACTCAGGACTTTCTGGACTATACCGCGGCGTCACAATGGCCACCACTACTTTATACTGTAGCATTTTTGCACACAATCGTTCAGGAGCGTAGGAAATTCGGTCCACTTGGCTGGAATATACCGTATGAGTTTAATCAGGCAGACTTTGCGGCGAGCGTGCAATTCATACAGAATCACTTGGATGAAATGGATCCGAAGAAGGGTGTCTCTTGGCAAACACTTGTCTATATGATTGGAGAGGTGCAGTATGGTGGTCGCGTGACTGACGATTTCGATAAGAGGCTGCTGACCACATTCACCGCGGTGTGGTTTTGCGAGGGACTTTTGAGCAACTCATTCGAATTCTACAAAGGATACAAAGTGCCGAATACGAAAAATTTGCAGGGATTCGTTGACTATATAAACAGTTTGCCAGCTTATGACACACCAGAAGTGTTTGGTTTGCATTCTAATGCTGACATCACGTACCAGATTAATTCGGCAAAAGGTGAATGTGACTTTTCCATTTTTATTGCTACCAGTGTAATTTTATGGAATAGAGAGAATTTGAGTGACCTGAGGAAGGTGCATTGGGCAGGTAATGATTTGAGGATATACGAATGTGGGTTCGTAGATGAGGTTATACAAACTACATACGTGTATGTATGTACATCTGCACATTTTTTGTTTATTTAGTGTTAATTGAAATGTGCAGAACAGTTGAGTTTGTCTGCGAAATATTGAAGAAAGTTAACGGTGATGCTAAGGAGAGGGTAAATGTTTAGACCGACTGATTAGTGTTAACAATCTTTTCCAAATGAAACAAGTTTAAATCGAGAAATCATAACATGGAAAATTTCATTGATTGCTATGGAAATTAGGTTAAAACGATCGCAATCATTAGTCAAAGATTTTACTACTACAATAACGAGACATAGTAAAGGACTCCTGCGTTTGTTTTTTAATCCTTTTTTTTATAGTTATAATTTTTACTTCAAAATGCATAAAATAATTGTCATTTAAAATTGATTTAACTTTAAGAGAGTTATATGGAGGTGTTCAAAACAAGTAGTTGACGTGGACAGGATCTTATAAAATTTATTAGTGGTAACCCTGGGACCATGTACATATATGCATTTTTTCATTCCTATTATCTTGTTTATTTTAACAAACTTAAACTTATTATCCTCTCAAAGGCATTTTGGATACGATATTAAGCGTACAACCGAAGGAGGGCGGTGGTGGTGGTGGCGAGACACGCGAGAGTATTGTCTATCAGCTTGCCGACGACATGCTGCGCAAGCTACCCGCACAGTATAACGCTTACGAAGTGCGTGAGAACTTACTCCGTATGGGAATTTTGCTGCCGATGAATATCTTTCTCAGGTAACTTACCTTACAGTTATTATTGCGAAGCTCTTTTGCCATAATTTATATGTTTTAAGTAATGAGTGGGTGTCGATTATCGTTGCTAGTGTTAACGAGTATGTATGTACGAGTATATCTGCATTTTTTTAATATCTTCTCTGATAGGCAAGAAATTGATCGCATGCAGAAAGTGATTAAGAAGGTGTACACTTGCTTGTGTGACCTGAAGTTGGCAATTGATGGCACAATTGTGATGAGTCCTGCATTGAAGGAGTCCTTGGATGCTATGTATGATGCACGCATACCCGAGTCCTGGATGAAGGTCAGTACACGCGCAACCGTTGTAAATATGTATGTACAATAGTTATCTATGTACATATGTAACAATGTGCTGAGGCACATTGCACACGCTATAAGAATATAAACAGCCAGATATGTAGGAATATACATGTGAGCATGTATAACAGTAAATACGAACGAACGAAATACGTGATAACACATTAACGTTATAAGAAAAAAGTTTTTTTTTTTTTATTTGGAAAAAGCCATAAGATGGATTAACAGATGAACGTGCGTGCCAAAGTTTAGGCTGCTTTGCTTTTGCGTGCACCGTCGTCATTCGTAAATGTGTGTGAGTTACCATTTATTTAAGTTGAATACGAATTCACCGGCAATCGGGCGGAAGATAGTGCCAATTCACTTGAGGTAAACTGCTTTAGACAGGTACTTACGCTGGATTTTAAACGCAGCGCAGAATAGTGCTTTCCTTTCTATTCTTTTTTCAATCAACATTCGTAGAGGAAACACAATTTATACGCGTCACATTCCGAACACAAGAAAGATCTAAAAAACTCCCCTCACCGAGGCCTTGACAGAATGCATTGTTCGAGAATTAATAAATAAATTTAATATTATTTTTATCCACAGTGGCGTCACGTGTAGTGAAAGCCGTTAGTTGTGAATGAGAAAGCTACCAGATTGCATTTCATTGACATTTCAGTAAATTATGAAAAACTACAACACTTGCACACTTTGTGCAATCAAATGTTTCTGATTCCTTCGATTATTACAATTTTGTTAAGTCTCGATTCAAAGCGGCACTAATTTTGATATCTCGAAAACAGGTAGAGCGTATTAACATCTCAAATATTTACTTCCATCTCTCGTTCACAGATATCCTGGGAATCGACAACTTTGGGCTTTTGGTACACTGAGCTACTGGAACGTAATGGACAATTTCGCACTTGGATATCGACAGATCGACCAAAGGTGAGAAAATGGTATTTGAAAATAACATACAATGGAATAACTATTGTTGGAAGTAGTTTACTCGAGCTTTCAAATGGGAAAGTAGACAATGAGACAATAAATTGAATAGGCGGATGAGCTGGCTCAACCTGGCGCCACTGGTGATGTTGTCACCATCGATTGTCTCAAGTCTTTGAGCGCCTTCAAATGTTATTTGAAGCATTGGACCATGAAAGGATGCTTAAGGACCTGGAACATTTCCAATGTAGGACGAACAATAAAACTGTTGTGGATTGTAGACAGACCAAACTATTGCTAACATTTACAGAAGAGAACTTAGTATTCTTGTGGATGTATTGACGGGGATACCTTCTTCACAAGTTAGGTAAAGTGAAATCAGCTTAGGGTAAAACATGACCAGAAAATAACGAAACGCTGCAGCACTGCTTTTGCGAGTGTTCAGCCTTTAGTCGATTGAGACGTCACATCTGTCACGGTGCGCCTAAATCCAACCTAACGGAGGTGGGAACACATAGTTGGAAGAATTTAGATGTAGATATCATAATACTATGTAACCGCTAAAGCGATTTTCGGCCAATCTCCTCCTCCAATTTGTGGTTTTTAACAGGAGCCTTTTTCATGACAGAAATGCACTCGAAGGGCTTGACATTCCCTGCCTAGGGGCGATCACATTTAGAAAATTTTTCTTAATTTTTTATTTAAATTATTTTTCTATTACTTTTTTGATGTTAGTAGGACACCAGAACTTGAACCCGAGCCGTCCGAATGGCAGTACGCAATGCTAACCACTCGGCTACCACGGCCCCGGCGATATGTTCAAGAAAAATATAAAGACAAAGCCAAAGTCAGCTCTTCTATCTTGTTTCCACTTTTTTTGGAACAACTTAACAAAATAAATTCATGTTAAATTTCAGAATTCAATTAAGGCTTTATACTGGTCGTGAGTGATTTTAGAAAAATTTAAATAATTCCGGACTGATCTCGGTTGAATGTAAGCAACTAAATATTTCAGCGTTCATTCATACCTATATTTGACAATATGTTTGGTATGCATTTCTTTAAAAGTCAACGAATAGAAATTTTGTATTTATTGATATCGTAAAATATATGTACATACATATATATAAATATACTATCTTATTTTACCTGCCCTTTCCGTTCTTTTAATTTGCCCTTCCATTATTGCAACTGTTGCTGCAACAAATTGACGACCCATTGGCGATATCTGTCTGAATACACACGAATTCAATTTGCGACTTAACGAAATGCGAAATTCTTGCTGAAGGTATTTTGGATGACGGGATTCTTTAATCCTCAAGGATTTTTAACAGCTATGCGTCAAGTGAGTTTACGTTTATACTTTATCATATCTGTGAATATACGAGTATGTGCATGTCAATGAGAAAACGCAAGTGTGTGATGGTGTGTGAATTTTCAGCAATTCGACCTTAGTTTTGCTTTACTTTTATCTTTAAGGTATTTATTTCATGTCAAAAAATTCAAAAAGTTATTTCTTTGCTTCTTGCTTAATACAAAATACATAGATAGTATATATTGTATTTTAAATTAAAATTGAATACTTAAGATAACGACATTAAAAAAAAAACGAAAGTTTCAAAAAAAAGCTTATAAAAGGAATTTTTTTTAGACATATGCTTTTCAAGAATCAATAAAACGCACATAACCTAATGTTATGACCAAAAATCTAGATTTATTGCAAAGAGAAGAATTTGGTATTATCCTTTGAAAATGATTAAGGACAAGTGACCGTCGCAGCTGAGCCGTATGAATTCCAGCCGAGAGACGAATTTTCGAGCAATTTTTGGAATCTTCTATTCCAAATTGTCAAACGTCTCTGCTTATGCTAAATCGCACCAAACGTCGTTCACATCAACATTCTCCAATTCAGGCACGAGAAAGCTATTACTCATTGCTCTATAGCGTTCTCCATTTACTGTAACTTTGTGTCCGCCTTAAATTCTTAAGAAATATGGACCAACAATTTTCCCTGTCCATAGAATTTGGTATGTTCAATGACCTCTTGAGAATGTAACGGCGTCTCGAAAATAACTTGTTGATTAACATTACTCCAAATGTGAAAATTTGGTTTATTAACAAACACATTCGACGAAAAGTGGGTCTAAACGCTAAAGAAAAATCTCTTGGGAAAATTTGATGCTTTAGGGTCTCTGCTTCAATTCTAGTGAGTTACATTTTGTAAACCCACAAATAATGATACATCCGAAAAACTTTCCATAAATTGGATGGGCACAGCCCCAATTCTTGTTCTTCGATACTCTGCCCCACAGCAGAAATAGCGTATACGGGGCGCATTGTGTGCACTATCCATTAGAGTAACCGTTATGTGAAATCGATGTGGTTGCTCAAATCTTTATTTTGGGAATCAATTTTCAAGTTTTACAATTTTGTTAAGGAAAAAACTATTACCTCACTGAAAAGCATTCGCCTAAAGGAAACGTCCGCATGGTTCAGCGAGGCATTTTTACGCGACTACTTCATTTGCAATACAACTCCAAAATTAATGAATATGTTGTTATCTTTTTTCTTTTCTGCAGAAACTCCAAATACTATAACTTAGCGACTGCGAAGGGTTTCCTATTATTACAGTTGCACTTTTTATTCCTCTCTTCTTAACAACTTTTAACAGCAAAACTTTTTTATGTACTAACGGCAACGGTATTCGTATTTACTGAAAATACAAAAGAGGAACGAGTGGATAAGGGTGGCCCATCCAGAAAATAAGCATTCAGCGAATGATTGTAATACAGGTCATGATGCGCATAATGAAGATATTTCTTACTTTTTCTATACTTATTGCACATTTGAAATTGCTACCAACTTAAAGCCAGCAACAGAAACGGAAATTATTATTTGGCAGAGGAGCGAAAGTAATACAATAGCAGTTTTCTGCTTTTGACATACAAACATAAGTAAGTAGATATGAATGAGCGGCATCAGGTGAGGCAGAAACCAAATAATGATGACCATGCTAGTGGGTTGGCGCTCTGTGGTCATATTCGCGAAGGGAGTACGCAAGCCACGTGGCACAGTGATTCATTTGAGTGGTGTAGCAATGAGAAAATAAGGTAGGATAGAATTTTTTATGTAATTTTATGCAACTGTTTTTCCTGTCACAGATTGTTCGCAAGACTTTCCTCTTAGCGGCTTCCAAGACCTACTTATCGGATGTCGACGTCGTCCCCTACTCCTCTGCAGCATAAATAGCAAGTCGGGAATGATGAGTGGATTGTAGAGGTTGAGTTTGATACCTCGGGAGACCAGTGCGATGACTGTTTGTTTCTGTTTGTTTGATTACAGGAGATTTTTCGTCTTGTCCTCGTTGACTACCAGACCCATTCGATTCACTTCTTTATTAAGTCTGGTGGCAGCAAATCTAACAGCGCGGTTTTTAAGATGTCATCGACATACGCCATCAAATGGATACTTTTTAATTTTTTTCCTGCATTAACTTGAAGAAATCACGCAATGAATTCACTCTATATATGTAGGGTGGAAGGTTGAGTTGGCATTCTGAGGGTTTTCAATTGAAATATTTGAAGAATTTCTTAATAAAAGTTGGCTGATGTACTCCATAGCTGTATTCCATAGGCCCACATTGGTTTATGATTGTTGAGTATGTGAGTATCTTTTTTTGGGTACATAATTTCGAATGGCGACTTATGACACAAAATTTTAAGCATTAAAATGAGGACCCTTAATCTTGTAAATATCTGAGTTCTCAAAGGGAGATGTGATTTATGTTCTATTAGTTGTATTAGTTTTGAAGCTTCAGAGAAGCTGAATTGGGAAGGGGACAGCAGTATCATTACCCTTCCTTACTCTTAGCAGCAAAATTTTTTTTCTCAAATGCGAAAGATATTTCCTCCACGAGTTGAGACTTTTCTGCTCAATCATTAGAAGCAATGTTTTGTGGAATAGCATTTCCATGATTTGTGACAGGTAAGCTTGTGATACTTTCCATTAAGAAGGATATACCACCCTTTAATGTATTGCGTTTAAACGGGTAAGTCAAGGAAGTAGTACCCTCCAAGGGCAATTGTTTTAATATATGCATAGCCATTTAATTGATACCTTTTCCAGATGTCGCCCTAGTCACTTTTTGCCTACTTAATACTTTCCATACTAATATCGCATTGGTTTAATGTCGTCTAGAGAGTAATCTGTAGCTGCTGTTGAGTCGATACATGCAAATGACAACAATATTCTGGCTATGTTTGTATCTTAAAGACATTTTACCAATCTTCATGAAAATTCGAGCCACTGTAAATTTGTTTTAGTTTGCCAAATAAAAACTGAAATTTATTTTTTCCCTTCAAAAGTTAATGGAGTTGATGATTATTATGTTTATGACACCATCACTATGTGATTAAATTGCTAAACAAAACAGTGGAAACACACGCACTCATAAATACTTATTGTGGCCAATGGTCAGCGAATATGATTATTTTTCCTTGGAACGTGCGGGTGAAAGAGATTTTGCGCTTGAGTGCTTGTTTTGATCTCTTTGAATGTTTGCGTTATAGGTATTTTGCGGCATTTAGAACTGTTTATTATTTCAAACATTTCTAATTTAATTTTGTTACTTTTGTTTTTCAATTACATTGTCCATCCAATCCAAATATCTACCATCGTCATTCATCGCTCCACACCAACACTCGCTTGCGTTAACGGCGGCTTCATGCGTATGTCTAACTGTGTGTGTGTACTTTTTTACTGTGTGAAACACAAACTGAAACACGCATAAACTGTAACAAATGGGAAACTGCTCATATAACCTCGTTTGGCATTCGCGTGGGATTTTAGGAAGTGACACGCGCACACAAAGGCTGGGCACTGGACTCGGTGGTGTTGCAAAATCAAATAACACGCTATAATAAGGAAGACATCTCCGAATACCCAACCGAAGGTGTCTACGTGCATGGCCTTTTTTTGGAAGGTGAGTATTCGTGTGCTTATGACGTCTCAGTTCATTGCGGGCCAATATACTTGCTTTTGCTATACTCATAGAACATATACTTGTCTATTTTTAACTATTTAAACTTATCAATTCTTTTTACTATGTAAATTGAGAACATACTTACATATATGCGTATATAAATATTAATATGTATACGAGCCACATCCTCTTAGCTCATATCAATATATAATATTTGCAATACTTACACAAGTGTGCCCATATACAATACATACACATATATTATATATAAATAATCCCATCAAACACTTTTCCTTCAATTTTCAAACATTCAGCGTGAAAGGAAAATAGGTTTAGGTCAACAAATCATTCGTCATGTTTGAAACGATGTGAGACTTTTTGAATTCGTTTTTATAGAGGGTAGATTAAAGGGTAGAGATATGTTTTATTCATTTTAATTTAAATTATTGTAACTTATATTGCCTAATTTATATTAATTTCATTTTATTTTGTTTTTTTTTTTTTTAATTTAATTTGTTTTATTTTATTTGCATTTTATTTTATTATATTTTATTTATTTCATTTCATTTTATTTTGTTTTTTTTTTTTTTAATTTGTCTTATTTGTCTTATTTTATTTGTATTTTATTTTATTATATTTTTTTCATTTCATTTCTTTTATTTTACTTTCTTTTATTTAATTTTTATTTTATTATATTTTGTATGATTTTTTGTTATTAGTTTATTTATTTTTGGCTTTTGTTAACTTATTTTATTTTAACTAAATGTAATAGTTTTTAACTTTATTAAATTATATTATTATTTTATTTTGCTTTAATCGATAAAAATTAGTTTTTAGATATTTTATTCTTAGCTTATATATTTCTTTGCTAATTTAATTGAATTTAATTTACTTTGTTTACAATTTATATTTAGTTTTTATATTATTAATTTAATTTAATTTTTTATTGTTTTATTTTATTTTACTTTACTTCGTTTTATTTTCACTGTTTACTTTGCTTCATTTGTATCTTACTTTAATTTATTTTAATATAATTAATTTTTTTTAATAATATAGTTTTTTTTTAATTTCTTTGCTTAGTTTTTGATTCGATTAATTAAATTCTTTTGCTTTTTTTACTTTCCTTACATCTTTTTCGTTTATTTGATTTTTTAAACTTTTTCCTAAAACTCTACAATTTTTACGTTTACACAAGAGAGTTAAAATCTTAAGACTAAATTTATAAAATTAACTTTCACACATGTCAATTGAACCATTCCAAGTTTACATAAAGAGTTGAACATGCATGCACATTAACGTCAAATATTATATATGTATTCTTTGTTGATCCCTTCCCTCTTTCTTATGTTTTTTACATCGTAAATCCATTTGCACTTTCTCCCACTGGTCATTTGGTGTCCAAGCAAGCACAACCATCGGATTACGTTTGTTTTATATGTACGAGTATGAATGTCTGTACAAATATGTTTGAAAATATTTATATGTAAGTGTGTTTGTCTTCTGGGAAGTGTGCTGCTTAGTATAAGCCAATTCTCCTCAACCCCTTTACAGAAAGGTTGTTGCTGAGCATTGATGAGCAATTCGTACATAAAAGGCCAAAACCTAAACTCATATCCCACCAAACAATATAGAAACTCAAAAACTGGTGTTGAAACTTTCTCTTTCATGGTTGAGTGCCGTAATTGGTGTTTACCTTTATAGGGTGTAAGTATGTTCCGAAACCAGTATGTACCTGTGTTTTGAGGTTATTTATACGTCTTTTTATAAAAGTTTCATATTTTGGGAATAATTAAATTATTACAAAAACGTTGAGCTTCAACAGAAGACTTTTCTACTAATTTTTCATTTTAAAATTTCAATAATTTTGCAACACTTTCGACAAATTCTGTCTTCTTCTGAGAATGAAAAGATTTTTCTTTTTCGTCCAATACTCTTACTAAGCTTCTTCTTCTTATTCAGTAATGGGTGATGTTTTTATACACATTTATATGTTGTGATTATGTATGTACATCAAACCTTTGAGCATCTGTGACCAGGTCGAGGTGCAATGCAAACCAAGAGAATCGCTCCTTTTTAAATACCTTTCTCGCACTCGGTCAATTTAATTAAAACAAAGTTCCACACACATCTCAGCAAAAGAAAGGTAGCAATACACGGACGTATGCATTTATTAGCTGAACTCTGCACAAATACAGATACATGCATATTTTTACACACTTATACATTTTTTTTTGCTCCTCATTTTGTTAGACACTCACAAAATTATAAACACGAACACATATATATATATATATATATATATTCATATATACATATGTGCAGTACATAAAAACGCACTTACTTGAGCTTGATGACTAACTTAAAATCGAACTTTACCCGCCAGGTGCTTCGCTGGATCGACGCAGTGGCAAATTGGTGGAGTCCAAGATGAAAGTGCTCTACGAACAAATGCCCGTTATTTACATTTACGCCATAAACACTACCGCCGGTAAGGACCCAAAGCTCTATGAGTGCCCAATCTATCGCAAACCGCAGCGCACTGATGCCAAATATGTTGGATCCATTGACTTTGAGACGGATTTCAATCCGAAACATTGGACGTTGCGAGGCGTGGCTCTGCTTTGTGACATTAAATAAACGAAACGCCATGCAGTGCTGATGTTGACGAGGGTGAGGAGAGGTTGTGCACTGAGAAGAGCAGTAATGGAATTGAGGGGCAGTTATGTTGGCAGTCACGTGTTTCCTGCTTTCAATTTAATGTTTACGTGTGTGGTGCATATGAAAAAAATGTATGTATGTTTGTACTTTGCATGTTTGCGTGTATTCGTAAGTGCCAGTTATGTGTGATGTTCATGGCTTTGTTCTTAATGTTAGTTTGTATACAACGTAATGGATTTCGTTTACAATCCAATAATATCCATCAAAATGTAAATGTATATACACACACACACACACTTATATACTTGTATCTCGAAATGAAACCGCGCTGAGAATTTGTAAAAAAATAAAAATAAAAAATGGTTGAAGAATGGAAAAAGTCTTTAAGCTTATTTAACTCACGAAGTGGTGCAAGTAGTGTGTTTATGTATGTCGTTATTTTGTGTCAAAAATAATTTAAATATAATTTATATTTATTTTACACTGAACTGCAACAAATGTGTATACCTTTTATGAGCATACAAGAAATGGTATATTAACTTTGGTCCGAAGTATGCTAGTACCAGGAGAAGAATAGAGAGATCCATCGAAATTTATAACGATATAATGGTGAGTTGCGTTGATTTAGACATATCCGTCTGTCCTTCTGTTCGTAGGCAAACTAATCTCTTAGTTTCTGAGGAATTTTAGCCAAAATTGGTACACAGTTGTAGTGGTTTATTCAAACGATCATTTGTCAGCACCGGCCAGATCGGCTCACTATAACATTTATGCGGCCGATTTTTCGTATTTGAGATTTTGAGTCATCAATCCGTACTAACTAATTACATATACTTGAAAAAATTTTCGAAATCTTAGGACTGAATTATATACCGATATTTTAGATATAAGAATTTATATTTTCACCTTAATTGAAATACCATGAATTTGGTTAAGTTCCAAATAGAAAGAAAATGAGTTTTTTATGCCAAAGTTTTTTTATGTCTAAATCAGTCCAAAGTACAAGATTTTCTATTCGGGGATTTTAAGTTAAAAAATAATTCCTCATTTTATCCAGTTGGTTAGCCTTTTTATTTTAATTGAAAATTTACATAAATTTTTAGTTCAATACTTTATGCATTTATAACTGTTTATTTATGAATGTATGTATGTATATATGTACGTCTACAGCAATATACAATATATAAATAATTACGTCTAACATAATTTGAAATTTGTGAAGAACTGATATATTTACATGAGTTGGACTTGAGGCCACGCCAAAAGAAATAACTTTCAAATTTGAACTTTTGATTTTTTAATTTGCCTTAAATTCATTTGATAACTTCGAGGTAAAACAGCTCAAATATGAAAACATAAAAATGAAAATTTCATAATTGGCGCTACTGGGAACTGACTGATTTTATATATTATTATGTACATAGTAAATATATACTATATATTTGAATATAAACATCAAATATGCATGCAGCATTATTATCTAACGGTAAGTAGTGTATATATTTCTTTATTTATCTCACGAAATTCGGTAATGTTATGCATTTTTCTCTGTATGTATGTGTGTATGTTTATATATATTATAAAATTAACCTTTTACAATATTTTAGTGTACATCAACTTTGCTAGTTAATTATTTTAGGTTTTTTTAATAATTAAATTTCACTTTGAAAATAACTAACTGTCTTAACATTTGTACTTTAAATTTGAGGGAAGAATTTAAAAATTTACTATTATCTACATGACTTTTATTTAACATATTTGAAATTGTACTTATTTTTGAACGAGTTTAATTATATAATATTAATTATTTTACTGTGTAGAGTTTGCCAGCACTCAAGAGAATAAAGCACAATTTTTCCATAAATTATACCTTAAGATTACGAGCTGCCATCATTTTAAATTCAATATACTAAAAGTATTTCGTTTTAAATTTTAGATTTTATTTTCATTCACTTGAAGGTTTTGAATCAATTAGTAAAAGAAATTTTTTTTTTTTATATAATATATAATTTTTTTTAAAGTTTTCACATCCGCGTCACAGCAATAAACTGTACCACTGAGTTGGAGACTCTGTGTAGTTTTGTTTAAAGCAGGTTCTGCGGGAAGAGATTTTTTTAAATTAAAATTTGTGCATTTGTAATTGGTTTCTTCCGCCCGCGGAAGTAAATTAATTTAATACGGCGGCACAACAAGTTGTGTTAAATAAACACTCCTAAATACATACGTGTATGTATATTAGTATAGTCCCTGGTGTGGAATTTGTTTATTTATTTTCTCTCTTTGACGTAGCTCAATTGGAATGATGCTGAGTTTGCAAAAGGCGTCAAATCAGATCCAAATCACAAAAATTAGTTAAAACATAATTATTTCAAATCTCTTTTCCCATGCGGGCTTCAAAGTTCTGCGATATAATTAAATATTAGTAAACTCCATTTGCTGCCCTTCTGCGAAGAGTTATGTGGGTTACAGATCAGCCGAATATACATATCTTCATATGAGTACATAATAAATTTTATTAGACTCAAAAACAAAGTTTAATCCTCAAAGAGTAGCCGGAGCGTTTGCTTCACCACATTTCAAATAATAAAAAAATAGAAGATGATTTTAATGAAATAAATAAAACCTTTCAAGAATAATAGAATAATAATCTTAAAATTATAGAAAAAAGTTTTGAGCGAAAAATCATAAATAGAATAAATACGGAGATTCATTGTTTTCAAACAATTAGTCGAGCTATCGTCAAGCAAGCAACAAAATCCGAAGTGAGGGGATCTTTTAAAGACAACCCGAGAAAGGGAGAAAAATCGAGGTGAACTTAGCAAAAAAATTGGAAAAATTGTCCTCGACCATGCTCGACCAAAGAAGAAAAAGCTCCCAGATATGGTAGGAGTATGCTATAAAACCATTATTATAATTCTGAACTTTTCTTCAAAAAATAATGGTCTATTGAGTCGGATTGCTACTGGTGACGTCACTTGGGCTCAGCATTATGAACCGGAGTCAAAATATAACTCCAAGCAGCGGCATAAAAAGGGCACAGCATCTAACAAGAAGTTTAAGATTTCACAGTCAGCTGGAAAACTCATGAGGAATATTATTGATCGATTACAGAGAAAAAGATGTTTCTATAACTTGATACTACGCTTCAATATTAGGTCGACTAAAAGAAAGGAGTGCTGCTTTTGTACGACAATGCAACCGTCGACAAGAGGGAGTTTCACCCCTTGTCCCCCATTCCGCGCACATTGAAAGCCCCGTCGTACTTGGTATATAAAAAACACTTCGATCCCATTTATCTATTTCGCAAACGTTTTCTTCTTTCCGATCGGAGCATTGCAGAAAAATTATAATTTTCTTATAATATGGATGATTTGAAAAATACAGTTTGCAGAATTTTATCCTTGCCAATAGTTTAGCTTTATTTTTTAAAATAATCAGGTAACGAAGATTATGTTACAAATTTTCTACATCTTTGTACAGATATAAATAATTGTACTAAGTTTGCTCTTAAATACGTACAACATGAACTCTTCAATGCAACTTCAATTTGAACTTTTTTAAAATTTTATTTTTAATATTTTTTTCGATTTCCAATAAAATTATAGTTTTGAGCTTGAACTTCTTACAAGTGCCAGTGTTCATGTGGATATTTTCTCAGAGTATTATATAACGACTATTAAATATTTATATGTTAATTTTTACATACACATAATGAAGCTTTATTTTTAATGCCATTTGCATACATTTAATGCATCTCTTCTTCTCTTTCTTCATCATCTTACACCAAATATAATATGATTTCATCATATTTACATACATACGAGCGGTTCGGGAAAATTTTTATTAAATTTTCGCTGAAATATACATTTGGGATTTAGGTAACTATTGTATATATTTTGTACATAAATATTTATATATGTATATAAACTTAGGTTTTAGTCTAGTCAATAACACTTAGGTAAGTAGAAATAAGCAGAGCAGAGCTAATCGCTAGAAAAGCTCAGTTTTAACATATATATACTACATATGTATTATTAGATTATATATGTATGTATATTTGTATTTGGTTAATTGGTGTTAAACGAAATATTTTTCAAATAATTTATTCGACGTTCAAGGGGTGTGTGGTTGTATTTGTATTTGTATGGGAGAGCGTGTGTTTTTTCAGCTTACTTTCTCATGCTGTGATGCTTCTTGCGTAAGCCATAAAAGTACCTCAAACGGTAGTCGGCATTACCATCATTTCCATCGACACCTTCACCATCCACCAGTTGATTAGCATCCTTAACAGCGGGTTGCTCGTTGCCAGAGAGATTTTTGGCCACGAGACCATTGTTGGCCAAAGCGCCAGCATCACTGCTAACACCTGCACGTTGACTGTGTGATTCCGGTGCTTTATTATCGGCGGTCATATCATTTCCGTTGGCTTTGTAAATATTTACCTCGCCCTCACCGGCAGTACTTTCCAGCGCATTCAAGTACAACGGAGTCTGACTGTCCACCTCAGCTTTACTTTCGCTGCCAGCGAGTGCTGTTGCTCCCAAAGTGGCCTCATATGTGTATGCCGGTCGTTGCAGATACTCAGAGACGGACACATCTGGCGCATATTCCAATTGATTGGTGTATTGTGGCTGCCACAGTTGCTGCAGTTGGGGGTGTTGGGCACCATGATAGTACGAGTATAATTGCTGACGATAGGGTATGTGTGTGAGTAAGTATTCGAGTTGCTCTTGTGTGTGTGCTGGCAACTTGTAGTTGAAGTCACCAGCGCCGGTGCTCAGCATGCGTTTGCCAACGTTCTTCAATATGGCACGATTCAATTCCACCTGTTGCAGCAGTGATGTGATCGAATGAAAACAAAAGTAAAAGACACAATTACTTACATGAACAACTGGAAATCTCTTGAGAAATTTTGTATGCATTTTTAAATTTCATTCGTTATTAAGAGCTAGTTGGCGACACAAGTGTGCATAGTTATTTTTCTATAAATAATTTGAAGCGTGCTAATCCGAGGGTTAAGTTTAAGAAAATTAGCTGAACAGAAATTTCTGCATTTTTTTCGTTCACCACTTTCATTTACCGGCTAATCTATCAATCGCATGTTTATGAAATTTATAATTGACTACGAGTTTTCACTCCTCTCGTAGCTGAATTCGCTATTCACTTTCATGCTTGTTGCACTTACTTTTTATACTTATACGAGTATGCAAGTTAAAGCTCACATATGCACACGAGCGTCAGTGAAACATAAAGAGTAATACCTCACAACACTTCTCTCAGAGCAGATGGGAAATGACATTGATGGTGAGTTGACAAATCAATTTATCATGCGGCCCATAAAGTGTGTCTGATGTATGAGTGCGGCAGAGATGATATGTTGAGGGACCTACACTTAGATACAAAAGTATGCAATACTTGCAATGTGCAACGAGAAATGTGTAAATATCACTTCATGGAGAGGTACTAAGTAGTTGCCAACTCGGTTGATACAACGAGGCTTCAAAGTTCCTTCAATACAGAACTCTCGGTTATCGGAAAGTGAAGTGGACATAAGGGTTGGCGGGAAATTACTTCGAGGAAGGCATCAAAAATGTATACCCCGCTTCACTTTTTGCATAGAAAGAAATGGGAAACGGAAAGTAAAGAACCAGTTCGCTTAAACATTTCTTCAGCGGTTGCATACCGCCAATTATAATACGTAGATTGTATTAGAGAATTTATTTTTCTTATTCGTCTTACATTCCTTTCAGATGTCCAAAACAGATTTGAAAAACAGAAATAAAGGGAAATTTGTGGAGCTACTTTTTGGACCCTTATTTTAAGGGGTTTAGAGATTTTAGGTCTTAAACCTATTGAGCGTATTCTACTTACTTATATACAATTAACATTGAACTTCATCATTACCGAATTTTCAGATATAAGAATTGATTTTTGATGTAAATATATGTGTAATAAGTTTTACCGAAAATATAATACCGTTATAACCGGTATAAAGACAGCCCTTCCTTCTTGTTGCTTTAATTTTTAGGAACCTCAAAAATTTGGCGAGCTTTCGTCCTTAATGCAAAGGTATTATGACAGTCGCATGGGACAGAAATTAAGAGTGGCAAATATTCAGATGATAATTTTAGTAAAATTTAAAGAAAAACTAGAAATTTTAAAATTAATTATTTAACGGACATTAAGTTTTTAAACCCAAACTTGTCGAATATTAGTTTTTACATCGTAATAATAGAATTGTACGTCTTTCATACAAAGAGCATTTTTTTGTTCACATATATCTAAATCTCATATACTCTTTTCAGTGTAGAAAAATTAAATTCAGATCAAAACTCCATTACTTTCTTGGAATTTGTTTAAAAAAGTGCAGTCCAAATATTTTAATGCAAAACAGCTCGCTTTGAGTTCAATTCTTTCGAAGTGTGTGATGCTTGCTAGATTTCTTTATTTCTTTAAAGGTTTGCAAAGCCAAACTGAAATTTATGTCCTTACATGTTTTATCTGCGGAGGCTTTTACAACTCTTATAATATATTATTAAAGCTCTGAGGTTAAATAAACATCGTGTACTATCATGACTTTCAGGGGTAACTTTTTTGGCCGTCGGCAAATCCGTCGAAATACCGGAAGTACAAGTCGAAATTTATACTTATTTACTTTACTGCTTGTTCTTACCTGTCTTGTGTTTTCTTTCATTTGCCTCCGAGCGATTTCCAGTAAGAGTCTTTGACGCAGCACATCTAACGGATTCACAATGGACAGGGATGGTTTGTTTCTCTTTTCCAGCAAGTAATCTTCCTGCGAACAACGCCAATAAGGATAATAAAAAATTAATCGTATTAAAATTGGTAATAATTCCAGTTGAGCACAACAGTAATGTGTAAAGTTTTTAAAAAGCTAATGAAAAAGCAATAAAGATAAAATACGCAGTGTACTATTGTAGTATATGTATGTAAAAGTTAATATATTCAATTAAGTTATAATTATGAATGAATTTCGAAAGGAAAATCGGTTATGATTATCATCGGGGTGTGGTAACAAAACCACTCTGGTACCGCTGATACCGCTGGTTGGTATTCATACACTTATGTACTATGTATATGTATTGTACAAGCTTTTGGTTTGTTTGTGCCTTGTGTATAAGCCGTTAGGAATATTTTACTGTTTGTGTAATTAACTGAAAGTAAACATATTTATTTGAGTTGGTGATGGTGTCTCATGCCAATAAATGAAAGCTCTGTAAGAGATAACGGATGTTTTTACAGTTATTCAACTACAATTTAAAGCAGAGTGCCACCGCTGTTGCGAGCCATAATTTCTTTCATATGTATTTATGTAATTGAGTGTGTTTCATATTCACGTTTAAGTGGAAACGTTGGCTGAAAATAACCAGTGTGGGCTGCTATTTCGGTAAGCCGACAAACTGTTGATAGCATTTATGTGATCACTGTGGCTGCTTTTACCAACTATGATGTTCATATATAGTTGTGCAATGAGTATTGACGATGAAGCATGTGATTTAAATATATTTCTCTCCTTGTTGATAGCTCGATATTTTCGTCATTATTTAACAGTAATTAATTTGTAGTATATTTTATATCATCTTCATCCATACAGTAAATTGAATAAATGCTTTATTAAATTTGAGTGACATATAATGTTTGTAATAGCAATCGCTCTATGTCAAGGGATGTCTATGCCTCCTAGATCATTTCTGACATGAAATGAAAGCTTGCCATAAAAATGCATCAACCGTTCGGAGGCAGCTTAGTATAAACTAGAGATCTCTGTGTATTTGTTAGAAAAACATTGAGGTGATCAGCGCAAATTGTAGGAAGACAGCTTTTGTTCATTTTGTAGTGATTCAAACATTCCAATAATTGGCCTTTCCAAATGTTTTCCCAATTTAAGAAATAAAAATATATAAAATAAAAATATGTATGCTTGTATGTATTTTTGTATACAGATATACTGATTGTCGTAATCACGCACCCGAAGAATAAATCTGGAAATATAAACTCTGTTGATATTTATAATATTCTTCCAAATCACAAGTTTACCGTTCGAATTCCAATGACTACAGCAGCATTTTGGCATACGGATAGATGAAGAGAAATTCACTTTCTATTTCAATGCCACACGCACACTCATACAATTAATATTATTACATGTCATATGCGTGTACGAGTATATGCGCATGTGTGTTCTAAAAGTATGCAGACGGGGGAGCAGGCGGCTACTTATTAAAAAGTTTGTGACTTGTGACTTGTACGTGTTGAACAATTAAGAATTATGACCGAAGTGTGGGATGAGAATTTTAAGTGAACTTTATAAACGAAAACAGAGCTAACTGGATGAGAGACAATATGAATGACGACGCTGAATGTGACTCTTAAATATTTGGTCTGAAAATTTGTAAATTGTTATTAAGTAGATGATTTAGGGGAAAAGAAGCGTTAACAAATACAAATGGATGCTATGTTTGGCTCATTTGGCACGGATAATTAGTTATTGGGGAAAATATTTTCAAATCGGTTTATGTTGAAAGTTTTTGCTTCCATATTCAGAAAAAGGAAAACTTGATATTTTTCTATAATTAAGAGTGGGATAATTTATTATATTTTATTTTGGTTTTGCAAAACTTCTTAAAAGTAAAAAAAACTCTGTAAAAAATAAAAAAGTAAAAAGTTCTAAATTTTAAGGAATTGTTGAGTTTGCTGTGATGAATGGCGATGAAAATATTTTTTTATTTTGATAAACACAGAAATTTAATGAAAGAATTATTATGACTTTCTATTAATATGTAAACAAATATATTTACTTTTATAATTTATGGTTTCATGGCTTTTGTGTTGAAAATTATACGCAATTGTTTATAACTTCTATTATGTCTATAGTTATTTTAATTCATTTGGGTTTAGTAAGACCCAAAGTCTTTTCGTTGTACACAAAATTGACAGTTAATTGTTGGGAAGCTGTTGAATTTAATCCTAGGAATAATTATATACATAAAAGAAAAGCTAAATAATAATAAAATAAAATACAAAAAAGGTAAAAAAAATTGTAATTTTGTTGACGGAATACAAAAATGCGTTGAAAAAGACTCTGCTTGTCTATCTATCCACCGCATAAAACCGCATAAAAGCATCTAATCGATAAGTGCAAATTGATTCGGTCCGTTTCTTTTTATGTGTTCAAGAAAGTTTCTTTTTTTTTTCAAAATAAAAGTAAAAAGGTAGATCATTCAAAGCACTGTCGGCGGCGGAGCGATTACTTTTTCTCATCTCCCAACACAAGAGAATTACTATTAGTCAGAAGCACCTTGGCGTTTTAGGCATTAGTCACAAACTATTTACTCGCATGAAAGCCTAAATAATGTGATAAACACAAATATTAAACAATTTTGTCTAAAACTAGAATGAATAATAGACTAAACACCTTGAAAAATACTTTGAAGTCAAAGCCTTCGCTATTGATTAAGTGGGAAAGAAATAATTGTTGTTAATTAAATAAACGAAATGCCAAGGAGTAAATTTATAGCCTGCGTCAAAATAATACAAAAAAAAAAAAAAAAAAAAAACACGCATATATACTATATAAATGATTGTGTTGTTCGTGAATTTGGTGTGGCTAGGGTAAAAACTTCATTCATTCATTCTACATTTTGGAACCCACTAATGTAAGAAGCAATAATTTCAGAATAACTGTTATGTTTAAGTGTGTGTCTATAAGTAGCACATTCTTTAAATCTGAAACTAATTATCTAGGCCTCCTTCCTATGAATACATAATAAAATCTTTCTGCTGGGTATGGTGTGGCGTATGAGCAACCTTTCATTCAAAACTAACATTATATGTCCAATACAAACAAGATAATACGAGCTGCTGGCGCATGCCTGGCATCAACAACCGAGCCGTGAGTTTGGCTTTCTCTAGGCTGGATAAGGATGCGAATCGTGTGGGAATTGTAGTGCGCAGGGAAGCAGTCACTGCGATCGTGACTCGGCGGCCTGTCACTGTTGACAGTCAAAGCTTTGTAGGCGTAGATAATTTCGTATATTTTTATTTTAAAACCAGCATTAACACCAACAACAATTTAGACCTCAACCAAACTCTACAAGTCGCTCATAATACCCAGCCTGCTATATCGTGCTTCTATTGACTCACTCAGCATTGGGAGTTTTCCAGAGAATAATTATGCGTAAGATGTATGGTCCTCCGGGCGTTGGGAACGGCTAATTCCGCAACGACATTCAGTTCAGGAACAGGGGGAACGCTGGATAGATCATATTGTCCGGATGGATAAGAATACAAACAGCGAATATCCACTGCGTAAGCGGTGTTTACGCTAGTAAAGAGGAAGAAGTTTGGCCGTAGACCAATCCGAATTGCTGACAATCATCGTAATCGGTCCGAGTGTACTTTGAAATATTTTGAATAACGGTGTCTCTCCTACTGCCCTACGGAGCAGATCTAACAAATCTACCAAATTATTTACTGGATGACAATATATGTTCAAGATGTCTATAATGGTGTATAACACATACATACCAACATAATGAAGAGCTTACCATGTCTGCATATCAAAGTTTCGTATGTGTCTATGTATGTGTGAATGTGTATATGTGTTTAGGTGTCAAAACACTGATAAACATGCTTCTGAATGTGTTTGAAGTTAATGCTACAAGAGTTGAAAGGCTTCGCTCTCTTTATGCTCCACTAGAGGCGAATATTTCTAAGCTCTACAGTAACATTCCGGTCTGCGTCGTTGTGTTGTACATAAAGCACTCACATACATACTTGAGATATAGCATATATGTTACGTAGCAATGAGTATGTACTCGTAGACTCCATGTGAATGAGATATATTTTTGTGAATGTGTGCACTTAACATATGGACTTTTGAAAAAAAAAAAAATATGTCCGATTAAAAGTTTTCGTTTGCGAGTATTTACCTGTATTAACTTCGCGTCCGCATAGTCCAGTGGATAGCCGGCGACACCGTTATTGTGGTTGTATCGTTGTTGCTGCGCTGTGCAGACAAGCCGTGCGGCACAGATCAGCAATACAATTGGGCAAAGTCGCGTTGTGGCTTTCATATTGCTACAACGAAAAATAGTGAAAGAAAATCATCAGTTTTTATATCACAATTTCATGGTAACATTTGTTATATCGCTCGCCTATGACATTTGAAGAGAGAAAGAGAATTTTCATTACTTTTCATGACAGTGTAAGCAAATTGATTTTCGTTATTTATTATAACCTACACACATAAATTGTGACGGTGCAACTCTTGACACATTTATTCATGCACTTCAAAGCAAAGAAAATAGAGCGAAAATTGTACATGTGAATTCCAGTTGCTGCGGGCGCTTTGTGGGACTTGTGGGCGATACTATTTGCGGTTGACGTGAGAGAATATATGACAGTAAAAATGAGCTCTCAAATAATAATTTTTGGTTTTAAATTTTTTTTAAATCATTTTTGAAATCAAAGTTAACAGAAAAAAAATTAAGAAGCACCATTTTGTAAAATTTAATTAATCTAAAGAAATTTCTTACAATATCAAGTAAGCACATAAATATCCATACCTTTCGAGTACTTGAAATGGTATATTGACTTTGGTCCGAAGTGTGTGAACGGAATTACTAGCTGTTTTGGCGGCACCTTCTTTTAACTATTCAATCGCGGCATGATCCTGCCACAGAGTTGAAGTTTTTCATGAAATTCAGTCAGCCACTTGGAGGTGAATTGGAAAAAGTTGTATCAATATAGAGGGTGTGGGTGAGGCAATATATTTTTTCGGAGTTGGATTTTTAAATGTTGTTACTCGATTTATGCTCAGTTTGGTTTGTCATTTCATAATAAACATACAAATTTACTTATTACCAAAATATTGGTTCCATTATTCTGTTGATATAATCACCCAGCAGAGTGGGTAATTGAGGAAGCAATTGCGCGCAGTAAAGCAGAGTAGCGAAGAACACCCGAATGAGTCCATCTGGGAGATTTTAAGGAATGATCTTGGCTTGCTGACTTACAAAATCCAACTAGTGCAATGATTGAAGGCCAACGACCATCAAGCGCGTCAAATGTTCGGTTAATGAGACCGAGTCACTGTTTGGTGTGCTCTGTGTTAGGAGCGAATCATTGGACCATATTTCTTCAGAAATGAAGCCGGCCGTACTAGAATTCATTCATTCATTTTAAATAATACCTTTATAATAAAGTTGAATTTGTTGCTTTTGTTTCTTCTTGAAAACCACATGCCTAAAAACACCCTTTATATTTGCAAACTCGCTAAAAAAAACATAAAAATATCAAGAACTAATCATTAAATTATATAATAACTACCTATGCAATCTTTTCTCTCTAGTCTGCGCTCATGTGCGTCATTGACACTTGCAACAAAACGTTGAAATCATATCCTTAATGCATATATGCATACAATCATTCTATTAATTACCAATAAGTGTGTCTATAAACATTTGTATGCGTGTGTGAGTCTACCGTGTGGCTCCGTAGAACGTCAACAATTGTGCTTTGTTAGTGAAACATAGAATTATAGGAAATATATGATAAAAACAACTATATAAATTATATAGTTTAAGTGCATTTATAATGCATGGCGTACGCGTACGTACGTACCAATAAATTGTTGAATAGCTGCTCATGTGTTTAGGCCGACAATTGTCGGACAGACAGCTGGCTCTCGCGCTGTCAACGACATGCATCATTCTACATTCAGTCAACTATACATCCATTTATTCAAGAAGCAATCATAGATGCACATGAGCGCCTGATGGAAGCACCGCTACGAGTGTGCACTCATCTACAACTACATTTACTCGGATGGATGTACGTATGTATGTAAAGGCATTGACGTTTTGTATTTGCTTATATATATATATATATATATATACACTTATTCAAATAGATCATATTTCAATAAATATGTTAAACTCCGCGAAATCAACTTTTGACAGAACAGCCAAATTGCCAAAATCCTTTATTTTATACATACATGCATACATACACGTATACGTGTATAAATGGTACTCTATATATGTATATGCTTTATTTTCTAACACTTTCATGCTGACCTTATTGGATAATAAATAAAATTTCATGTTCGTGCATCTGTGTGTAATATTTTCATTGCCGGATTAATTGACTTTTTATTTACCTAAATGCTTTTGAAATGAAAGAAAAAAATTATACAACTTTATAGTAATAAATTGACATTTTAATTCAACTTTGTGTTTGTTTAAGAATTTTTTGGGTTACATGAAACATACATACGAATACACATATGCGTACATATATGTGTTAACTCCTGCTTCTCATATTTATCTACACATATACAAAATTTACCGTACAGTTAGTTGACACCAAAATATAATATGTAATTGGCGCTACATAACCGCTAAAGCGTCTTTCGGCCGAGCTCCTCCTCCAGATTGTGGTATTCGTCTGGAGGGACCTACAGTTCATACTACTGAGCTTTCTACGAAAGATGGATAGATTTTTATTAGGAGTTTTTTTTGAAGTCAGAAATACAATCAGACGACTCGGTATTCCCTGGAACGGCTGGTCCAGGCAGGACTTGAATCATGGCATTCCAGATGGTAGCGCGCACTAACACCAAAACACTTGCATAAAAATTCTCTCCCTCTTTATATCCACACTGCGTTTGATATCGATGAATGGGAAATAAGCAAACATTAAGTATTTCAGTAATTTTTAGAAAATGTTTCATTCGAAAATATTAAACAATTTTCGGGCTAAACACGCACGCATACCGTTTTAGGCAAACTTTGGCAAATGGCAAAGCACAAAAATGTTGTGTAACAGCTTTCCAATACAACTATGTACGTGTGTATACTCGTATATAGTATATAGTATATATATGCTTGCAAAAGTATGCACTGCAAACTTAACTGTGTGGGAAGTGGGAATTTCTGTTGTAAATTCTTATAAGTGAATATTGTGTGTAAGAATAATTTGTTGGTTTGGAAAATCAAATTGATTCCGAACCGTTCGGTGACGGTAAATACTCGTATTATATAAAATATTTTACCAAAGGCTTAATTTTGCAAGTCTAAGATTTTGCTTAGAAAAGGATGGTTCCCAATTCATCGCATATATTTTTTCAGGTCTGATCACGCTTAACTTTTGACGTAGTGCACCGATTGTGATAATTCATAATTTTTTCATAGGATTGAGTATAGCTGGATATTGGTTCCATAGATAGTTGAGAAAAATAAATTGGGAAGATTCATTAATTTCAACGTATACTCCACATAGTCCGGTTTGTGGTAATTCCTTTTGTGTTTAACAGGGTTTAAGGGTTACAATAATTACTGTCCAAAGCGTAGACGAAGAGATCTTTTCGAAATTTCGCACTACATTTTGCAACATCCATTAGCAAAGTTTCCGAGTTTATCTTTTTGTTTCTAATCAGGGTAGTCAAAAATTCTGTTAAAATGATGTTTTTTATTCCAATCGGTTTTTTATTTTAATGGCTTTATGATAAATTTATGTATAAGTCGTGCAACTAAAGTCTTTGCCTCATTGTACTAAAACTATCTGCTCAGTACTCACTTTCTTCGAATATAATTTTCTCATACCAAATATTAGAGAGAAATCATCACATTTGGTTTTCGGCAAAAACTGTAGGGTATCTTACAAACAAACATACATACATATTGTACATAGTAGTCACATTCTAATGGGATTTAGAGCTGTCACATGAGCTTTGCTGAATGGACGAGTTGTGAGTGCTTTTACAAGTTTTTTGGATAAATTATTATTTATGCATGTGTGTGAGCGTATGCTCATTGTAAGCTGGAATACATTAAGGCAAATATTTTTAAGAATTTCACCTCAAAGTGTGTGAACACACATATGTATAATACATACAACTATTCCAATACTATTCAATTCTTATTGGCCAATTGAATACAGTTAGTGAAACGAAATTCTAATAATATTATTATGTGACATGTCATTCGGTCAGCTTTCCTTGTGCGCTTGTGTGAAATGCATGTGACTAAAATTTTTAAATAATGTAATAAAAACAATAGAAGATAGTTATCTACGCTCAAGGTTAAGAGGAGAATCTTCAGTAATCTCAGAGATGTGAAACTTCAGGGATTTTTATTGAATATTCAACCAAAAAAATGGGTGGTTAAATACCGTGAAAACAGGAAGAGTATTATAACAGTAACAATAACCCATTTACGTATATACTGGTTTTAGTTAGTTAGGTTATAGAACCCTACTCTAGGTCACATATTACATTTTTTTGGAACTTTGAATAGTTTTGCAGAACTCTTTAATCCTCCCGAAATATATTTTTACTGCATGCCCGGAGTACTCACGTTTTTTACAAAATAACAGAAAAAATGATTAAATGCAAACGTAACTACTTCAATTGTTGTTTATTAATAACTGGCGCTACACCAAAATAAATATTGAAACACAAATTAGAAACCCTAAAAATCTTTTATGTCAGCATTTCTGTCATTTGTGTAATCTGAGGGAATAATTCATTAAAATTTCTTCTTAACAATACCAAGGCACTCCCGAATGGTTAGGTTCCATAGTGCGAGCACTGGGAAGGTGCAGTATTTGCACCTAATCGAAAATTATAATTTATTATATTAAAAATCAATCTTTTAAATAATAACATTTAAGCCAGCGGAGACCATTTTCAACAAACAGCATCATTCAACTTTTACAACTCCACAATGAATTTTAAAACAGTTGGCAACTTTGCTGAATTGTATGTAATATTTAACCATTCTCGAGCTTTTTTTGGAATACAAGGGCACAATTTTATCAAAATCGGTTGAGTTGTTTTGAAGGAATTTACAAAAGAATGTAAAAAATATATGTATGTAAAAGAAGCCACATTTCATGATTACCCAAATACATTGCATAAATTTTGTGAAGCCGTTCTCAAGTTATAAAGTATCAAAAAATCACTAATTTTTGTATTTTAGCTCGTATGTCGGACAAGATCTGTTGCATAATTTTGGTTGAACTCGGTGAAGCCGTTCTTAAATTATTGAGCAACACCGAAAACGGAAAGTTGTTTT